ATACTCTTTGTTTAACCTTCCCTATATCCCCATTTCTGCGGGCTTCCACGGCCATATCTATGCTTTTATCGTCGAAACGATAGATCAGGATGAAAATGCCTGTGCAGCGGTGTCGACTTTGTTGGAGACGACTAATACATATTTCCTTAAATAATTTCAATCTAAGGTGATTTATAGACCAAACAAAATTATTTTCTTCATAGTATGTTTTAAATTTATTATCAGTGAATATCCTAGAAACAAAGCATAAAGGCCAATGGTTCCATAAACTTAACAGAAAAAGACGATTCGTACTTTCTGAAATGTTGTCTAGCTTTACAGAAATCAAATGAGGAAACCAAAATAAAAACTTTATATCGTCTTTATGTCGTTCAAATGTTTTCATTACATACAATTAAAATGTCTGCGAAATTCAACTTCGCTAAATATGAACATTTTGCAACACGAAGCATTTTTTAGAATATAAGAGTTAATGGATTCCTTTGGGGCAGCATGTCCTGACGCACTGTTGTATGCTTCGAGTACATGTAGGCTACTAGTACTTTCAGAGGGAATCCCCTTAAAATAGAATAGAAAAAGTTCATTCGACCGCATTGTTTTTATGCCAACTTATGGTTTTCTTTCTGTGTGAAATTGCGATCAATTATTAGTTAATAAACAAACATTGCACCTATTTTATTCTTGACAATGAGAAATGACCTTCATGCAACTGGGTGATACAACCCTCATCAGCTCCGGTGATCCCCTGACACCTTACAAATGACAACAAATGAAGCAGTCAATGGTCAACCAACAAGAAAATGACGTTAAATTCCAAGAAAACCAAGAAAATTGTCTTTATCTTCTCAAAGCCAGGCCATCATCTTTCTCTAATATATATACCTGACAAAGAAACTGAAAGGATAAAATCTGCAGTCTTTTTAGGCCTTACAATTAGGCACGAATTAACTTGGGATTAACATGTATTCCTGATCTACACTAAAGCTAGTCATCGGATACACTCAATTACTCTCCTCAAACGAGCTGTCATACCAGTGAATGAGTTACTGAGAATTTACATGGCAATAATAAGACCAACACTGAAGGATGCATGTTAGGTTTGGCACCCTAGCCTTACCAACGTTCTTAGTGATAAACTAAAATCTGCAGTTCTTGGAAATGTATTTCAGAATATAATAATATATAAATTATATATTAATATCCAATATGTCTTTCATACAATTACCATTTTTTAAAATATGATAAATGTAGCATCCAACTTTCGGTTGCAAATAATCATTATTATTATAAGTTATACATTTTTTATGAGCCAGCAAAAATGCAAGGTGCGGTATACCAGAAGTAGGTCTTTCTGCGGTTGCCCAAACATTTGGTTCCTTTTTTGCTCACCTACTGCAATTGTGGAAGACTGCATTACTCTTGTCAGGGAATTATATCGATTCCCTGCTCTTTTATAGCACTTGGTAATGCAAGCAATTTAATCAAATGTAATGACCATATACGATGATGGACAACCATTGCTACTTTTTCAAAACAAAATGCCATTCAGACACCAACGATTAAAAAGAAAATGTTAAATATGAATCCAGAGAACTAAACCTACGGTAAATTGCATACAACTTCACCGTAGGCCTATTTTTCAGATATTTTATTCACAATTTTCTTCGCCCTCAGGTACATGGTGAAGAATAGCATGTAAAAAAAAAAAAAAAAAAAAAAAAAAAAAAACGTCTGTCAGCATTTAAAGCAGTCAATGTGGGTTAGACCAAATTTTGGCTTTTTTTTTTGTTTTGTACGCATTTGACATGAATGCGAGAATGGATACACGTAACTAGAATTTTCCAAAAAAAGGCACAAGTCCATTTTTTCGATTTTTCTTAGCAAACGGCGATGCCAGCATTGCTTTAGCGTCCGTGGTTTAACCTTTATTGAGCGGTTTCCAACGCCCTTCACTGTCAAAACAAAGACTGCCTATAAGTGCTTCTTTTCCAATCTCTTGTCACTCTCCGGGTAGCACCGCGCTCGCCAGACGATTCCCGTGTCTCCATTTTGGTGCCTAAGGGCGCATTCCCATAGATTTTAGATCGATCTATCTCCGTGGGGAGTCTCACTAGATTAATGTCAGATAATCCGACTTAAATGTCCGTCCCGCCTACCACAAGCTGTAAGAGGGTAATTAACTTTCATGCCCGACCGGCTGACAGCTATTTAGCGTGAACCCCCTGGGAGTTAGGTCGATCTAGTTGGATCGATCTAATCACTGGGAATGGGGTCTAAGACCCCATTCCCACACCTAGAAAGATCTAGCGGGATCGACCAGGGGTTTCTCGCTAAATTACATTCAGATTAAGCGGCTCTGATGTCTCGGAATGGGGTCTAATAGTAATATTAGTAATATTTCATTCATAAGTAGATTGCGACACTTGACTAAAAAAAATCGCGTTTTGCAGGCCGTAAATGGAGGTGGAAGCCGACAAATATGGGCTTATGGGCAAATTTAAAATATAAAACTCGAAAATTGATCATTGAATTTTTGCCTTCTCAACGGTTTTGCTATGGGTTGGAGGCGGGGAGACCATCGGGAATAAGCGGCATCGCTTTTGAAGTGGGGTCGGCAATATTTATGACGTGGTTGGTGAAATAGTTTCTTTGCCTGTTATTGGTATACTATAAAAGTACAAAACATATAGTTTTAGGTTTAAATAAAATGTGTTTCTTTACAAATTAATCAGTTGTTTTTATTTGTATTATTTGGTATTTAGTTTTGGCATTGTGTGCTCGTTGTCGGGGTCGACTTTAGATCTATTACGTGGTTTGTTTTGTTATTCCTATGCCTGATATTGGTGTACTATAAAAACATACAGTTTAACCTGTAAATAGAAAGTGTTTATTTTACACATAAAGCAAATGTTTTATTTGCATGATTTGGTATTTGGTCCGGCTGTTGTCCGCTCGCGCTTTTATTTCCACAGAACTGCACTGCCTCTTTATTCCAAATTGAATTCAGGATTAAGTTTCTTCTTTGAAGTCAAAAATTACTTTGTTGGTATCAACGCCTTAAATAAATAAAAATCTTAAAAACATTATAAACGCATGGAGGCTGACGGTATCTTTACCCAGTAGCCATGTAGATCACTCCTTTCATTCATCAGTCTGAGACTGTGTATGACATTACTACAAAGTTTGAGAAAATTTCATATGAGATAAATGTGACGGACACACGTAGCCATTGTAAATGTCTTAAATGAATCTATCGTCTGTTGATTTCATTTCAAATCGTCACTTTTTAGAAATTATATTTTCCACTTATATTTCGGACTGAAATCACAAAAATGACGTTTTTGACTCTCATCAAATATTTTCCACTTTTATATCGGACTGAAATCACAAAACTGACATTTTTGACTCTAATCATATATTTTCCACTTATATTTCGGACTGAAATCCCAAAACTGACGTTTTTGACTCTCATCAATTATGATGTGGTTGGTGTAATCGTTGATTTGCCTGATAATTGTGTACTATAAAAGCATGCAGTTTAACGTGTGAATACAACATGCTTTCTTTCTCATTAAACACGTTTTCATTGTATCATTTTGTTCTATTTGTCCTGGCCATTGTGTGATCGCGCTTTATATGCACTGCTTCTTTATTACAAATTGAATTCAAGATTAAGTTTCGTCACTGAAGTCAAACGTGCGTTTCTTGGTGTCAACATTGTTAATGAATGAAACAAAAGTACATTGCGTTTTGCGTGGAGACTGACGGTATTATTGCCCAGTACCTATGTTGACCACACCCTCCATTCATCAGTCTGAGACTGTGTATGGCATTACTACAAAATTGGAGCGAATTTCACTTTAGGGCACATTCAAACTCTTCGCCATTTCTTCATATCTTATTTTTGTAAATTAAGAGAAAAATTAAGAAAGAGAAGCCGAGAAAAATAGATCCGTCGACTTATTTACACCCCGTTAGTGGCGTAACTAAGTCGTGCGGCGTACTTTCCACGCCTAAACCGTGTACAAAGGCAAAACGCCTTTTGAGTAAACACCGTGAATCAAAACTGAAATATTATTATCCTTTTAGATTTTCTTGACGGAATATGGTGATTATAAAACACGGAGGAAAATGTTTTTGGGGGGACAAACAAAGACGGGAGACGCAGGCTTGCGTGACCAAGTTGTCTTCATTTATTCTAAATTCAACTTCACTGTAGTTGATTCTATCCGAAATTGACAACTTAATGAGGCCTTATATTACGATTGGTCTAAAAATGTCGACTAAAAACCATAATGATGGATTTCGGCTACAATTTAATTTTTCTCACTATGGTCCGATTAAGACGAACTGTGTCGGTCACAACGCACGCGCGCCTAAAGCACTGCCGTTGTGACGACGGCGAATTGCAGTTTCAAACGTTTATTAACCATCTCTTTCTTTTTTGTACATATACAAGGGAACTTATCCTCTAAAAATCTTTATACTGATCACGCAAACTGCAAAATTGTATTTTTGTTCAACATTGTCTTATTATAGAATCTCTTGAAGCATATTTTCGAATGTTATAAAACCAAATATCCTAAACAAGTTTGTTGAGTCTTTTTTGTTAAGTCGAGCTAACCGTAGTTATCAATATCATGGAAAATTACTTCTTGAATGTAGAAGAAAACAACCATTACAAACCTTTGATTTTATTGACAATTTCTATTCTTGAATAATAAAGAGCAAATTTCGTACTAGTTGACACTAAACAAAATTAAGCTACTTGCACTTAGTAACTTTTCAACTTTTATACAATTGGAATCAGTTTACTTTAATTTATTTACAATTTTTGAATTCCAAACCATTAATTTTGACCACAGAGCTCTTTCTCGTCAAAATTAACCCTATTTCGAGCAGCCTTTGTTTCTTGCTTTTAATCCGTAACGACGAGTGACTCACTTAGCAATGGCGTTACCTGGTATTGAAGTGAGCTCTGGATACAGAATACAGACAGCCACCAAGTAGCAGACACGCGAAGGAAAAAAACCGAAAAAAAAAACGACGGATACCAAAAATGCTGAGTGGAAGTCAAAAAGATGTGCGTATAATTAAATCTTAAGTGTAATATGGTAGTTTGTGTCCGCCACTAATTTTGTTTAAAATTTTGTAAAGCTTTTTAAATCTTATTTAATTTTATTTTTTGTGAAGCATTTTTCTCGCGCGGACTATAAAAACATACAGGTAGGTAATATTTAAAAAGGAAACTTGAAATATTACGGACAAATCTATTTGTCGAAAATGGGAGCTCATCAAAACTGACTACTTATAACACCATATAGTAAAACAACAACAACAGCAACGAAGAAAAAAAAATGACTTTTGGCATTTTTTTAAAAGACGTAGACTCTAATGATTGAAAAGGGGACCAGACTCACAACTTAGGCAAAATAGCGAGTTAAGTACAGAGTATCAGTCTAGTGAATATCTAGCATAGACATTAAGCGCCAAGTGTTGTCAGGACCGTGTCCTTTACATGTACCAGGGTCACAGTGTGATAACTGACACTAGATGTTTATATTAATGTAGCCTTTAGTAATCTAAAATACATTTTTGAATTCACTATAACATCAAGAATGGATTGGGGGGCTACATGTATAGGTCTATGGGAACATGTTGGCAATTGCAACTAGCACGAAATCTCAGACATTAGCACTCTTGCGGCAGTTTAAATGGTTCATCTACCTATCACTACCCTCCATCAATGAAACTAAGAAGGCAATTGGCACATTTTCATGAATGAAATAACCACGTGTTCTACCGAAAGAAAAAAAGGAGAATTCTCCTAGATCGGGGGATTTTTAAACTATGAATCGTGAGACTCCCAACGAAATCGGGCGTGTTGACAAGTCTGAAATATGTTGTTTTTTCTATTTAGATTTGCTTGACGGAATATGACGAAAGGTCTGAAACAACGCGAGGGGCACTACTTTATTATTCGTATTCATGCGCATAGCGATGCCGCTTGACATACAATACACAAATACATAGTCTAGTACATACAGCATGTTAAATATAGTTTCACCTAACAACATACTGTTACAACCCCTTTCGTTTAGCTTTTACTTAAAATACTTTAATGCAGGGTTAACTTGAACACTAACTGTTAAACAACTGTAGGTGCTTAAGTATAATGACTGTTAAACAACTCTAACTACTAAGTAGGTGTCTTACGCACTAGAGCTTAACTAAATGTTTTCTAAACAACAGATTCACTTTACTGACGAAATGTCTCTATGTAGCATAAAGTGAACAAAACATCAGCACTTCACAAAATCTATTAATCTTGCTGGTGTTTTAGTTTCTCTAGATGGCATTCTCAACTAAACTTGTGCTTTCACAGGACATTCATTTACTGATTCAGCTGGTAAATCACCTTTAACTACAGATCAACTTCATTTCTACTCATGAAATTTCCTGACATTGTGCTTGTTGACTTGTCAGACACGGTATTTGGCATAACATCAAATTTAACAGATTCTGACTCAACTTCTATCAGATATCTCGGCTTTCCTTGTCCAAAATGTGCCCATGATATTGGCACACTGAAATCGGCGAAATCCGGGCATAAGTATGCTCAGCACCTGTGCTTTATTAAAGGACAGTTTTTTTTTTGTTTTGGACGACAAAGATCGAACGCCTTTTAAAACCTATCAATGCCTGTACCCGCTCAGGGTGAAAAATGCATTAGAGAGGTTTAGCAAACGACGAACAACGAAGACGAAGGACGAAAATGTGCACTACGTCATCGCTTTACGCTCATCATAACCTCGTTTTTCGTAGTTCGTCTTCGTTGTTCGTCGTTTGCTAAACCTCTCTATTATGTCATTATAATACTAAGGGGTGGGTGACAAGGACCAGCTTTGAAAAAAAATAGACACAGGGTGGCCCAGATTCCGTGCTTTATATGGGTTTTTGATTACGACGGTTAAGCCTTAAACAATGCACCCGTTCTTTTTTATGTCTTCCTGTGACTTAAAAGAATCAACATCTTTTAAACGGAAGTCATCATTTTTCTATTGTTCTGTATCATATAAATATGCTGCTATCCCATCCTGTCCTTATCGGACTCGTGTCCTTCGATAATTGTTGGTCCTTATAACGCCTTCCCTTTTAGCAAGGTTGGGAGGGTTTATCGTATTATCTTCGAAGCTGAAAAAGTCAAAAGCACTATCACGGAAGTCAAAATGAGTATTTGTGTGAGTGCCCATTTGTTTTTATAAACTGTTAAGTTTATAAATAGGAAGATATCAAGGTAGCTACAGGTAGGTTACCGTGAATGCTGCATGCAATAGCCCATCAAGTAAAGCCCTGCATAAATACAGAATACTTGACATCACCAGCGTCATTTTAAAATTTTGGATACTGATCCCTTGAAAATCTCACACTTAGCGAATTTTTCTTGGTTTCACGTTATTATTGGAAAAATTAATTCCTTAACCCAAATTTTACCATCGCTTAGAGCTCAGTTATCGTACTGACTCCCGTATTCCGCAATTAAAAGAAGAGGTTTATGTTATGTTACTTGACGTCCAATGGGTCTTTGTAACTTTAAATATAGGCGGGAAATACGACTTTAATGATTGAAATAAGATCAAATAGAGTTTTTGAGTTTTATTTGATAAACAGATATAAAAACGTTGTATATTTATCATGAATAAATTTACAAACACTTTGACCATTAAATCTTAAAATCAGGCAATTTTCACATTTTGCTTTTACAGGGATTGTACTTCTTTACACTGCTAGTTGTGGCAGTAGCCATAGCTTCACCCGTGCGGCGACACACACACGTACTAAGGAATGGTTTTCATGAGCCAATAAATCCTAGAAACAATCTGGCCAACAACACGGAGACAAACTGCCCATGGTATATGATCTATGACGAAAAACATGGCAGGTATGTTTACCGACTTTTGCTCGATCTCATTCACAATCTCTCACTCTCTCTGTCTGTCTCTCCCTCTCTCTCTCTCTCTCTCTCACACACACACACACACACACACACACACACACACACTCTACCTTTACAAACAAACAAACAAACAAACAAACATACATACATACATATAAACATAAATACATACATGCATACATTTAGTCTAGTCAATAAAACGTGTTAACCTAACACGTTATGATAACGAAGGTTTTTTTGGTACTGTTATGATAACGTTGTGTTTTTGTCAACATAGGAAATATCTTTTTGTACTTTAGGATGGTTCGAAGATTGATATCCCCTTCTCTTGTTCCTGTTCCTGGTCGAAAACCACTTCGTTATCGTGTATTTCGTTATCGTTATTTTGTCTGCTATTCTCTTTTTGTATTACTTTCAGTAATAAATTTTTAGTTAAGACTTCTTAGGCTAACTGTAACTGTTCTGAATTCAACGTTGGGCTTTCGGCTTCTTCGGAAGAGTTACAAATGTTGAGTTCATCATTTCAGTTGGAATAGGGTACTGGTAGGTAGTTCGAATTAGCATTTCACTGTAACTCCGCGAGGACTCTTACTGAATGCAATCTGGGCTCCGTATCTCGAAAGGTTCGTTATGTTGCGCACGTGCGCAAGTGTCTCGATTCCATACCCGATTCTTTCGATATACGGGGCCATGGAATCGAGACGCTTGCGCACGTGCGCAACATAGCGAACCTTTCGAGATACGGAGCCCAGATCGACAGATTAACACTCCTCCTCTCGTTTTCAACGTACTCGAATAATTACCGGCTTCTCCGTATTGGACTCAACGTCAGGAGAAGACGTATTAATCTGTTAATCTAACTGCATTCAGCGAGAATCTCCACTGAGTTAGTTCGAACTACCGAGCACGATATCTTCATTGTGAACGCCTCCTCTGACTAAAATATTTCAAACATAAAATTTGAAAATCACAACATAATGAAATCTAGAAATGGTAATCAAACAATGTTTTATTATCTGTAGTTCTTTACTTAATTAAAAACAATTTAAAACCCAAGTCTAGGGGACCATTCTCGGACCCTGTCATACTAACTGTGGGTCGATCTATGTCCAAGGGGATTCTCGGTAAATGGCAATTAACTTAAGCGGCTTAGATGTCTGTCAGGCCTACTGAGGCTGCTACTGGTAGGGGGTAATTAAGACAGACATATAAGCCTCTTTAGCTGAAAGCAATTTAGGAAGAAACCCCTTGGAGATGGATCGATCCTGTTAGATCGATCTAGGTATGGTGACCCAGTCTAGGATCCAACATTATCTTCCTTGGTCATAGCCTAATTATACAAGCATTGCCTTCAATAACCGTTGACACGTGCGTTTGTATTTATACAGGCAACCCGAGATTTTACTGAGGGCACGTTGTCTCGCTGAACAATCGCTTGATGGACGCAGTAGATGCGAATACGTCAAATACAAGGTACAGGTGGACAACAAGTGGGTCAGCATAGAAGCGGGCTGCACGTGCGCGCCAGGGATTCCTTTTCGGTAGACGTAATAATAGATATCCAGGCGATAATGGCATTAGTTGTGGGTCAACTGGCGTCTAAGTTTGTGGAATAAGCAGCAGCAATATTCTGGAATCCAAGAAAGAAAAAAAGAAAGAAAGAGCTACATCAACAAAGACTGAATTTAATGATTGTGTTTCTCTAGCATACCGCGGGATTACAATGTATATGTATATCTTCATATAAATTTTAAATAAAAATCTTCAAATGAAATCGCCTGCAGCTGGTATCCTCCTTGCAATTCCGCTTTATTGCGGCAAGTGTGTGCAAGGCACAATTCATTTATAAATCACATTTATTTAACTTTTTAATGAGATCTTTGATTTATCTTATAACAAGTTTTAATGACACACAACGCGTTACTGTTTTATCATACATGTATTTGATATGATTTTTATATCTTTATTTATAGACTGTTACAATAATATTAATAAATACATATGCTACTATAATAGTATATATATTTTCTTATATACACTGTTTTCTATACCTTTTATATTCGAAAGACACTTATTTATATTTTTGTGTCCGTGATAATTAATAAACATTATAGTATTGCTAAATTATATGAAACAAAGATGTGAATATGATGTTCTGTAATTCATCATTATTTAGGCCTATAACTGTTTTAGCTCTAGATTTTTTATTTTCATTACAAATTTTGATGACATACAACATGTCGCTATCTTTTCTCATACGTATTGGATATGTTTTACTCTATTTTTGTGTTTTATAAACCTCTACACAATTTTATGTATGCGTGTTTGATTTACACGTTAGTATAAATAAATCTGAAAATGCAAGACTAATATTCACTTATTCCATATTTTCTTTAAAATAAAATCTTTAGATATTAGTTAAAAAACAGAAAAGGTATTTTTGTAAATGCATTGTTTTGCTTAACCTGAGTACCATAGAAATATTAATTATCGCCATACGAAGTGATATGTTTAAAGGTGGATTTGCTTAATTTTCAAAAGAATGAGTAAAAATATGTCTGTCATCTGGTAGGATGAGAAACAATTTTTTGAAGTAATCACTTTGCGAAAGAGCTCAAGGTGAGACCTCAACGTCGGTTAGTCGTTGACTTTTTTCACGTAAGTTCCAAAATCGATTTAAATATTTCCGTTTCAAAGAAATCTCAACACTAGATGGTGTCGATGGATAGCCATCGCATATCCCAGCACTTCCCCATAGAGCAGCTCACTCCTAGGGACCACTTACCACACACGCACGTACACACACATCACTGCTTCATCCAAAGGTATTTAAAAATATGAATGTAAAAAAATCTACAATGTCAAAAGAATTTAGAATCAACCAACCCCCAGGGACAGCCCAACCCCCTGTTGCACTAAAATTCAAAAGTGCCCATGCACATTTCTGAAGATGGGTATACTTATCACCAAAGTTTCAACTTCCTACCTGCAATGGTCTAGGAGAAAATAGCAGAAACTACAATGTGAAAAGAATTCAAAACCAACCACCCCCCGGGGACAGCCCAGCATCCTGTTGCACTAAAATTTCAAAGTGTATATCCACATCCCTGATGATAGATATTCCAATTCCCATAGTTTCAAATTTCTATCTCTGACGGTCAAGGAGTAGAAAGCAGAGATTACAATGTCATAAGTATTTAGAATCAGTCACCCCTAGCGACAGTCCAATCCCCTGTTGCACTAAAATTCCAAAGTGCCCATGCACATCCCTGATGATGGGTAAACTATTCACCAAAGTTTCAGCTTCCTAACTCTAATGGTCTAGGGCAGATGGCAGTAATTACAATGTCTTAAGAGTTTAGAATCAACCACTCCCAGGGTACAGCCCAACCCCCTGTGGCACTAAAATTCCAAAGTGCCCATGCACATCCCTGATAATGGGTAAACTATTCACCAAAGTTTCAGCTTCCTAACTCTGATGGTCTAGGAGGAGATAGCAGAAATTACAATGTCATAAGAATTTTGAATCAACTACCCCCCAGGGACAGCCCAACCCCCTGTGGCACTAAAATTCCAAAATGCCCATGCACATCCCTGGTGATGGATCTTCCAATTTCCATTTTCAATTTCCTATCTCTAACGGTCTAGGAGGAGATAGCAGAAATTGCAATGTTATAAGAATTTTTAATCAACTACCCCATAGGGACAGCCCAACCCCCTGTGGCACTAAAATTCCAAAATGCCCATGCACATCCCTGATTATGGGTCTACCAATTCCCAAAGTTTCAACTTCCTACTTGAAATGGTCTAGGAGGAGTTAGCAGAAATTACAATGTCATAAGAATTTTGAATCAACTACCCCCCGGGGACAGCCCAACCCCCTGTGGCACTAAAATTCCAAAATGCCCATGCACATCCCTGGTGATGGATCTTCCAATTTCCATTTTCAATTTCCTATCTCTAACGGTCTAGGAGGAGATAGCAGAAATTGCAATGTTATAAGAATTTTTAATCAACTACCCCCCAGGGACAGCCCAACCCCCTGTTGCCCTAAAATTCCAATGTGCCCATGTACATCCCTAAAGATGGGTCTACCAATTCCCAAAGTTTCATTTTCCTACCTGCAATAGTCTAGGAGGAGATAGCGGAAATTACTAACACACAGACGCACGGACGCACGGACGGGCGGGATAACATGATCCCCGCCTTTTGTCCCTCCAAAAAAAAAAAAAAAAAAAAATGCGGGGATAAAAACAAAAATGGCAAACCAAAATGTGTGGTACACGGATATCTGATACGTTGTGCTTGGGTTGCGTGCCATTGTTAACGCAGGCCAAGAAAGGGTAACACCGAAGATTGCAACAGTGCAAAAGAAATTTAAGATTACTTGTATGCTGTACGGTGTTTTGCTTCTAACAGCCATTCTGGTTTCACTTTTTTGAAGGGGGCATAATGAGAAACGCAAATGCGTGCTTCTATGGGCAATGGTAATCGCTAACGCATTGTTTTCTCGGGAAGAAAGCAATTTTCCCTACTCACGTAGCATAGGGGCTTTGTCCTCGAAACATATAAATCAATGAATCAGGTTATTAGTAATAATTTATTTCTGACGTATTGCGTTCAGCAGCGTATGATTTATTTCACAATCTGCTGCAGAGACCCAATATTTCTTAATAGCGAAAAAGATGGTGCTGGCACAAAGCGAGTGATAAATACCGTGGTTATGCTGGTTGAGCTATCAGCTGTGGTGCATGTACTGGTGTGTCACTACTTCTAAGCTCAACATAGAGATGATCAAAATATTGCATAGCGTCTGTATAAATAAGCAGAAAGAAACGAATTGCTCCACCTCAGATCAACTTAGGATAGAGATTTCATTAGGCCTACGTCATATATAAAACGAACAATCTTTGCCAGTTGTTTCTTGAACCCATTGCCAGCCTTCGTGAACTAATATGTAGTATTAATCTATTAAGTATTAATGTAACCCATGGATGCCATACATGTCTATTTTCTGTATATTTCTGAAAACTAGAGAAGTTAGCAAATCTACTGCTACAATCAACATGCCACTGGCAAGGGTTTTACTGTATTTTGTAGAATATTGTCCAAATTTATTTCGTTCAGGTTTTGTTGAAAACACACTTGAATTATATGGGCGAAATTGTTTCTTGAGTAATTGCTGCTCTGAGATGGCCTGAGGCACTGAGGGTTGTTTCTGTAGACTCGATCCTTCAGATAAAAAAAATTGTGGTTGAGGTCGGGCGAATGCAAAGACCACGCAGATTCGCGTTCGTGGCTGATGAGTCGGTGGGGAAACGTCTGGGCCAGCCACTTCAGAGAGAAGTTTGTTGTATGTTTGCCCGATGCTTCGTGCTGGTACCACTGGTAGGATTCTGTTTGCTTTGTCTATATTACTGTGTAATAGATAATTATAAGTTGAGATAATATGTTATGTGTTTAAGAAATTTCTAGTTTCGAGTTACTTTGTGTATTTGTTCTTATCGAATTGCCTCATCGTTTTAGCATACCGTGGCGTCTGTCAGTTTTAACGCTGGTCGCAGCACTGGGCTAGGTTAATATTGTGTGAGTATTTTCATTGTTATAAGCAAGTTTCTATATAACGTGCAACGCAGATTATTATATATTTATGTGAGTGTATTAGTTTTTTTACCTGTGTATATTTTGTGATTATGTTAGGCTTGGTGGGCTACTGTTATGTATAATCATTATTGTATTTATTTCTTTTAGACCACCGCTCCGTTCCACTTCACTACACTGTACCATACTGTGGGAGGTGGGGGGGTGGGGGTGGGGGGGGTTACAAAAGTATTGCACCATCTGTGTGAATAGTGCGCTACGTGACATGGGGGACCCAATCGTAAAAAAATGAATTGCGGTTTATTGCTAGGGTAACCAATGATAAATTTTCATCCATGTGCAATATAAAAGTGTCATCAAGGGTGTAAGCCCCTTCTGGTACGGGCGGTACGAGCACGGGAAGTACAGGAGCTAGCTCACAAATGAAGCAAGGGTATAAATAGTTTCTATAAGGCGTTGGTTTAAATATCCCCCCCCCCCCGCCCAGATAGCCGCCAGATATGGTGTGTCCGGTCAGACTGTATACAGGGTTTGTAGAAAAATGGAGAACACTGGTGATGCCCATAAGTCACTACGAAGTGGCCGCCCAAAGAAGACTACTGCCAGAGACAACAAGTGTCTTTTTCTACTGTCAAGACTTCAAATCAGCAGTGGTAATTTGAAGGTTGTGGTTATCAAAATAACTGTTCAAGGAAAGTTTCATGCTCCAGGAATTCACACCAGGGTTGCCATGTGAAAACCACTTATCATATTGGTAAACGAACGAAGAAAAGTAACATGGGGTGCAAGAGTCGTTGCATGAACTCTAGGCCCACTTATGGCGTCATTTTGTATTTTCTGATGAGACAATATTCACTGTTAACAAAGTCAATATACAAGTGAGAGTATGGAGGACATCATCCACTTCTTACAGCCTTAGGACATGCGTTTCTTTGCTGTACAGCTCACTTCAGGAATAGTTTGGGGATGCACTAGTTTCTACGGAATTGGTGAATGTAGCGTTGATGCATGGAGCGTTACATTGACATTCTGGACCAGCACTTTTTACCATCGGTAGAAAACATATTTGGGAACAGGAATCATCAATGCATTTTCCACTATGGTAACGCTACATCCCACAGGGCCAGAGCTTTACCTAAATGATATCAACAGGGTAGACTGGCCTACCCAGTCACCAGACGCAAACCCTGTTGAAAACATGTGGAATGAAATTGGAAATCAAGTGGCAAAGGTCCTCTCCTTTACCAGAAACTCCCTAATCCAAAACGTCTGTAGAGCCTAAGCCCACGTAGCCCACAGAAGATAACTGAACCGTTATCATTCTCTCTCCAGAATGATGGCGGCCATATTGAGATCACGTGGCTGTACCAAATAAATATTAACACTGGCGTGACATGCGTTATGTAAGGGCAAAGCATTGGTTTGTAAACCTGTATTAAAGATAATAACTTGGCAAAACCAGTTGTCAATAAAATAAAATAAAAAAAAAACTAAATGAAAAAATTAACAAACACAGCTGTTTTTCACTTTCAAACAAAATGGTACTAACACTTTTGTCACCCCCTGCACAGGTACGTTATATATGACATCGTCTTTGCGTCGTTATACCATTCTATAGCAGGGTAATTTTACTATGATTTGCGTGTGTTAATAAACCCTTTACAAACTCAGCTGACTTGCGGTGCATGTTAAAAATGAAGGTAGGGCATAAGCCACACCAATTAATTTTACAAAAATAGTGTATATCTGTCATTGGTGGTTGGATAAATAAATCATATGCAGTGCAGCTATATCCAACCTGTTATCTATGTCTTATAAGCCATAGCGTCTGCTATGATGCTGGTATTGATAATTCCAGATATAAAGTCGAGTCGAACGTTCCCTAGCTTTGACTTGTGGAGCTACATCTATGACAGGAATAGGGTACTGAACTACATGTTCGCTATTTATCACCGTCTTGCATTTGACAGTCACACCTGACGTAATATACGGGTTAATGTATATATAACAGCGGCAAAGCCAATGATGTCGTTCATAATGTTGTTTGGTGGGTCTTAGATTAAACATGACTCTGAAGCGTTATGCCGCTGTCCTGCGCCCACTGTTGAGGCCGTGCGTAATGGTCACACTGTGTTTTGTGGTCTACAGGCTGACCGGAACTCGACAAAGTGAAGGTGAGGACGAACATATGTACTCTTTGTAATAAGCGTGTCTGGGAATGGCCTTCGGCTTTTGATAATGAATCATTTCTGCATAACTGGGCATAAGAGCAGTCACATACTATGTGACTGGATTGCATGCCTGTTTCTGTTGCTAGTGCACATATGTAATAAGCTAGCTTATGTTTCTTCTGTATGCACAACACCACTGAGGATTAATTGTCATGTAACATGATTTAACCTTAGCTAATTATTATAATGTCATTTAAAAATCTGTTGTCTTCACAACTATATTTCCATATAAAACAAAACCTTCACTGACAGATCATTGTATATATATTTCACGAATATTAAGTAAGAACTTCAGATCTTTACGCCTAAGCATCTAAATTATAGATGCAGGCAGCATCGCACCTCACGTAAATAAAATTAAACATCACCGTTGTTAATAGCATTCATAAGCTTAAAGGGATAACAACTCTTCGTATAAAATTTATATTGCACAATAAAAACATTGTAAACAACTCAAGGAAATATAATATATACTATTTCACCACCAAAAATGGCAGTTAAAAGCAATTATTCTAAAATCTATGCCTGTCGTCCGACCATGTGACCTCCATAGATGGCTATAATCTGCAATGATGTCTTAAGAGATTAATACAAAAAAGCAAACTTTCTAGAAAAAAAACTGGAACTAAATTTGAATGTAGAAATGGATTCATTAACCATTGGTAAGAATGGGAAAATTGTTGTTATCCCCAGGAAAATTCATTATCTGGCCAAAATGAAGAGTTGTTATCCATTCAAGTGCAAGAAATATCTTCAGTCATCTCTTTATTCAAGCTGAGTACATATGGATTGATTTCCAGTGGTTTCTGATGTACACAGGCGGCAATACGACAGTCTAGGGAGTGATATTGTCTATCCCTACAAAGGCAGTATATTTGAACCTGACTACATGTACACTAATACCACACAATCATGGTTGCAGAGAGCAAATGATTTAAAGGTAACACTTGTTTCTGTTTTCACCCATGGAAAAGGGTTGTCTTATGAAGGGATAGGGCCTATTACTTTTTAATTTTCAATTGAATTTTTATGATAAAGGGAGTATTATATTTGAATTTTACTATTTTATATGTTGCTTTCTTGTTTGTAAACAATATGCATTTAAATCTGATTTATTTACCAAAAAAAATGTCACCCCTAACGCATTCATGTACGTGTATATTGCTTCAAGGGTACCCACAGATTTAATTTTACTTTTACGTAGCGACTAGGCAATAGATCATCTAAAAAATATGGATTTTCAAGAGATGTTGTTACACTGCTCCTGATAGGGTAAGATGTGCCCATGTGATCATGTAACCTTGGTAATTTAGATTTTAGCCAGGGAACCTGATTTAACTTTTTTTGTGAAACCGGGACCAGGAAACAACTTGAGCAGCGGCACTATTCTCATTTTAAAGCAGATTCAGCGTTGTCAGAAGGGATGAATGCGTAAAATTCTGGAGAAAAGTTGTTGAGACCTATCTTCTCAATTATTATACATGTATGCATATAAACTTAATATATATAGGCATGTAATATATGTACATAGGCATTAACTTGCAATTGGGTGCTGTGAAAACTACATTGGACAAACCGTAGACGCCTCCCGACACAGGTCGACAGACAGCAAATAAGACCAAAATATCAGTGCACATCTATCAGTGGCCATATTAGAGAATGCACTAGAAACAACAATAAGGACTTCATGGACTTAACTTAAGTTTCAAGGCGATCTGAGCCTATTGCCCACTTGGTAACGGGTTTTATGAACCGATACAACATTCGGCTCATGCCCAACCTGCCAAAAACCCTAATATGAACCTATTAAAATTTCTGGGGCGAACTGATGAGTGCAGTATAAACGATCAGGCAAAAGTTAAAAAAATTATAATAATTAAGACAAGCTTTGACAGCATGCTCCGTCGCTTAGTGGTCCTTTATTATGCACATAGGGTTAACACCCACTATTGGTATAAATAATTGTATTGTATTTTTTAAATTAAATTATTATTGAAATCTATTATAATCTTCCTTGGGTAATTATTAGCGTATTTGTTTAAGTAGAATCTGTATCCAAAAGAGGACAATTGCAGCGGCCATATTAAATAATCCATTCAGTACACAGGACGCATACAATAAAACCGTATTTGTTTTGTTTCTTTTGTATGTCTAGTTATTATACATTTTGCAACTGTAATGATACAATTGTGCAAAAAATTTGACATGAAATTGGCAACAAAATTCATAAATTTTGTATGTTGCAACAATCATTTTGAGCAACTGTCAGATATATACATACTTATTCTTTACTTATAGTTGTCATCAAGGCAGGTGTCAGAACAATGGCTACAAAAGATGCACATAAGAAAGCAATATGTGAGAGATGTGTGCAGGAAGTTCAATTTGAGCCAAACTACCCTCTCAACCGACAGCTTATTAGTGGAGGCAAGAAGCAAACTTTTATACTGCAAGGTACCGAAAATTGCCAACACCAACTGGAAACGACTTTTGTTGGGGCTTGCCGGTGTCCTCAAATATAGTGATTTTGTTAGAGTAAAAGCAAAGACAATTCACTATGATCTCATACCGAAACATGTGAAATTACTTAAACAATATACGCTTATTGAACGTGAACACGTGTTGAAGAACTACACAAAGGTGATGTTTATCAGAAACCCTTTGGAACGGCTGCTTTCGGTATACAGGAATAAAATAGAAAGCAAACCATATGAACATCCAGAAATATTGTCACTTGTTGGGAACTTCGTGATGTCGCAATACCACGGCAAGAAACCTGGATTTCCTGTTCATATCAAACGTGCAAAAGACTCAGTCCAGGGGCGGATGCCATCCGGCGAAAACTTTGAAGCGGACCTGGATAACATCCCTAAATTATTTCCAGATGTGAAAATAACATTTGAGGAGTTTCTGAGATTTATTTTAGACAACCCTTTTCGATTTAACGCTCACTGGGCTCCATTCTACGTTATATGTACCCCTTGTACAATAGACTATGACTTCATCGGAGACTTTGGGACGCTAGTTGAGGACGCAGAAAACATATTGAAAGTACTAAATGCTGACCCAGAACTGAAATACCCGAGTCCAGAATTGGGTAAGATTCCCACAGCTTCTCTTATGGATGAATATTATGGTCACATTCCGAATGATATTATAGTCAAAATTAAGACAATGTATGCCGTAGACTTAGAGATGTCACTGTTAGTGTCGAAGAAAGGTGAAGTCTCCTGAATGACTCAGTACACCCAAACCCAATATAGTGGTGCATTTCACACACTGAAGTGTCAAAAATTGTTGTATTCAATTTTTTAAAACATATATAGAACAAAAATCCACGACTGTCTTAATTTAAATTCAAATTTTAATTTTTACCATGTCTTTTATATTACGCAAGAGTCCGAAATGGAAACGTATGTTCCAAAAACGTACGGTAACGTATGCTCCGGGTCATTTAATTTTAACTTTTATACCGCATTCCGATATATTTTGTAGTGGTTCAGTCATAGTAAATTAGACATGACGTAAGGATGATTTTAGAAATATTTTAATGCTTATTTTATTGTCGGTAGGGTGTATTTCCCCCGCTTTTTAAATATTCAGTGACAAGCAAACTAAAGTTGCTAATAGACAATTAAATGCTCTATCGTTTACAACGTTATACTTGTAGGAGATAAATCAAAAACCAGACCCAGTGATGATTGAATTTTCAAAGTGAGTAAAACGAACGTTTCACAGTTGCACGTTTTGCATTTGTGACAGTAACTTTTGTTCCTTTTGGGGCGTTAGACGATTAATTATTTTTTATTATCCAAGGTTCCAGGAGAGTGAAACTTTGATACAAACTTCTTCGTATGGGACCTTAAAATAATCAAACATAGTTTGCAATCTGAGCACTAAATATTTTAAGAGCATGCCTGTGACATCAATAGCACCTCTATATTGGTGAGTAATGACATTGTGCCGGCTAATTCATAAACCGTTATCTCAAATATACAAAAATGGCGAGAAGATTAACAAACCAGCTATTGTAAAGAAATTATCTGAGTATTAACTTATATTGTCCCAGATTTAACGACTCAAACAGTTAGCAATCTGCGCTGGAGTAATGCGGATAGGTGATATTTAACTCAAGATAAAGGTGTCGTAGAACCCTTTCAGACTCTAGTACTTAACGTGGACTGAGTTAAAAGCAATGGCATTTAACCAACCTGTCCATTAGTCGAAAAAAAAAGATATTTTGTCCAGCAAGTCAAAGAGCAAATAACACTGCAATATTTGGTAGTGAAAATGCGCTCAACCAAGAAAAAGCAAATTGCCATTTCATTTAAACACAGGGCTGAGCACTAACATCACTATACGCTAAATATTGACCAAGTTGATTTTGATATATTAATATATATTGTTGTGTTCTTAAAATGATCGTGTAGCACTTGTGTGTAATTGATTGTTTACCTCAGAGCCACTTTAACGTAGAAAGTCAGAAACTGCGCAGCTGGAGATTATCAGCTGGATGTGGCTGGAAATGTACACCCTCAGTCACACAGTACAAGGCTAGAAATGACCAGCTACAGGTGGCTGGAAATTACCGCTGGGGGGTCAAACAATGCATGGCTGAAAATAGCCAACTGGAGACGGACGGAGAGTGCCGCGGAGGTGTATAAATTGGGGGTGCACTCTCAGACTATGGAGAGTGAGTAGCAGTATTAGTATAAGAGCATTAGATCACTATAAGCAGAGCACTGGCATCTTCAGACTTAGATTTAGAGCACCTACTTACTAGTTATTGGCTGTAACTTAGTTTCAATAAACAGAAAGTGAATTTGCAAGAAAAAGTTACGTCTTCCGCCTTGGTTTCTTCGGGTGAAAAACGTAACAATATGATGTATCAACTATGATGTATACGGATTCCGCTAAGAAGACATGTACATTAATAGATTAAAGAGTTAAAACAGAAATCACAGTACAGTGGGAACAATGAAGGCCTGTGTGGTTTTTCTTCGATTATACAACTTTTAAGTTTAAACTTTTAAAAACCTTTTAGTTTTAACTTAAAAAAAGCAAAACTCTTTGAAGGCGTGCATTTAGTCTCTAATAATTTACACTCTGTCAATATGAACAGGATCTACGCATCTTTTATTCTGCGGTTTTTCGTTGAAGCGAGATGGGATGGTTTCCAGTTTTTATGATCATATTGAATAACTTTTTATCACATAAACTTGGTTTGTTTACTTTCCATTACTTTTTATGTAGTCATAATTTAATACTGTTTATATCTCTTAGTCATTCTTGTCCGTAAACTTGAACATTTTATAGGCTTGGAATAAATAAATCTTTTATTATTTTGCGTATGTCATACTGCGAGGTCACATTTAAACACTAAAGTCACCTTGAGCAGCCTAGTCGCGCTGTTGGCACGTTCGTGAGCCACGATGCCAAGAACAGGTATTCCAGAAAGACGCGCTTTTTTGAAATCCATTCTTTTATTATCATATACTTACATATTTAACGGAGTGATAAAAAAGGACAGATAAACCTCCCCAACTAATGACTTTAACAATCCTAATGTACTAATATTAGACAATGAAATATCTCTTTTCGGACTACATACACATGATACTGCCCCTGACTTCCTTGCGATGACCATTTAAAGGCCTCATGGAATCACAATATATTTTGCGGTCAGCAACAGAAAACACCGTTTTCTACTGCACCAAGTACTTTACCAAATGAAACTTTTTGACATTTTTTTTGGGAACATAGTTAACCTGGTATTAGCCATGAGATGCAGTTTAAATATTTATTAAAACATCCTTACGTCGTGTATAATTTACCATGATTAAGTCACTACAAAATATGTATAAAATTTTTAATTTAATTACCCGGAACATATGTTACATGTACCATACGTTGCCAGAACACACATTTATGTTACCATTTCGGCCTCTTTGCGTAATGTAAAGGTGCAATTTTAAAGCTATTGTTTTGCTGTCAGAGTGATTAAAAATTTTTCTTAATCTTTTGGCATGTTGGTTTTTTGAGTCGCATAAGAAACTATAGTAGAACTAGTGTATGCCTTACAGCTTGGACGAGTAAAAGGGATTGCATTTACAAGGAAACCCTTTTGATCTTTGTGTATTTAAATATTAAAATACAGGTATATCAAGTATTGCCCTTCGTTTGTTTGCCAGCCAAGAATATAATTGTTCATAAGTGGCACTGAAGAGCCAAGTAATTATCTAATTCTGACTATTCTTGGGGGTTTCTGTCTTGTGTTATACTAATTATACTAAGTGTATTGCTGTCAACCCCCCCCCCCCCCCCTCCAAAAAAAATATGTGTGAATTTCCCGTCAGACATACGAGATAATTGACACTGAGTGGTGGGATGCGGTAGCCGTCTAAAATATGAAAGTAGGTTTCACTTTTTTTCTTAAAATCGTCTCTGCTCGTTTTTATTTAAAAAAAAAACAAAAAAACTAGCGATAAAAATAACATTTCTGCCCAATGAACAATGAGTATTGTCACAGTCATCAGTGATCTTGGTCACAATTTTATTGATATATTTCCGTTTCTTTAATTAATAAAAAAAAAGTCTGAAGGGCTTTTTCACTTTGATCATTCCGCCTTGTCCTGGCTCTTGTCTTTAAGTTTCTATTCCCGTAACTTTCACGTCTGTTTTTGTATTAACCAAACAAATCACTATACAAAAGACGCCTTAGATATTCACCACTCAATTTAAGCAGTCACGATAACAAAGAGGACCAAAGGCACAGTGACGCTCTTCAAACTCCAAGTTATGCCTCCCATGGCGCCAGAAGTGCCACCTAGTGTCGTCTGTTCAGCGGTGCTGTAAGTGTAAACAGACGCGTTCACCAAAGGCACAGTAAAGCTCTTCAAATTCCAAGTAATGCCTCCCGTGGCCCCAGAAGTGCCATCTAATGTCGTCTGCTCAGCGGTGCTGTAAGTGCAAACTGACGCGTTCAATCCCTGGAAGAAAACACCTATTCCACCCAGTAGGTTTCTAGGGATGAATTCGGAGATGGCGAAACGACCGATGTCCGGACCGGCCAGGCATCCTTCTTCAGTACGGAAACCGCTGCACTGTCGTTGAATGGCCGTATAAGCAACAGTTTTACTCCTCTCCTGTAGTATCAAGTAATAGAATGTGTAAGAAAGATTTTAAATATCCATTTTTTTTTTTTGCACAGGAATGAAAATGAATGTAAAAGATTGCATTCTAATAGTATTCAAAACCAAGTATATTCATTTTTATTTACAAAATAAAGCCTTTCGGTAAATTTGTTGTAAAAAAGTTCTGTCAGTTACAGGTTGAAAAAAAAAGAGACGTGAACGGTGAGGGCGACGGCAAAGCTTGTTCTCTACAAGTGGCTTTCTTTACCAGTTGCTCTAATACTGGTATAGTCCTTCGTTTCTACAGTATTGCGAGAGCTACAGAATACCCCTGGTAGTGGGGCATGGCCAAGCACTTACAGTGACTAAACACACACACACACACACACACGCACGCACGCACCCACGCGCGCACACACGCACACACCTCGCCTATGGGAAGAAAATGATGATGATACTTTTTGTATACTCTTGTCTTTTGCATACGTACTGTGGTAAAATTCACTTGTCCTGCTATCCGTACCACAAGGCAGGTTCCCCGGCAGTCTACGGCTGATAATAATTGGGGTCCCTCACCACACAATGGGTGATAGGTCGGATAGTGTTGTGGTTGAGCGTTTAAAGACCGATCCAGTTCAGGGTCACCGGAGACAAAATCCGCCTGAAAGCAGTTGGGACATTTGGTGGCAGGAACTGAAAAGAAGAACAGCGTCTTTTCAATCAAATAATAACAATAAGGATAGTCATAAATTAAAAGAAATAAGAGTAAACATTAATGAAATTAAAAAAGAATCATATGCGCTGCCCACTGCTACTAGAATCAAGAATCAGTATAGCTGAATCAGATTTGAGAAGATTTACCTTCAGGTAAGTTAGGAAAGTTCCTTGTGTCCGTGTTACAAAAATCGGTATTGCAGACACATTGTTTTCCGAAAACGGTCGCATTTGGGTTTACGAAGCCGATGCCAAGGCCCATTACTGCCTGTCCATCCTGAATATCCTTGCAACCTGTGTCAAGGCTCTTTACGGGATTACACGTGCGAGTAAAAAACTGGACTTCTATGTTGCTGGTATTCTATAATTAAACAGCATCGCTTATAAAAATGTAGACTGTAATTACGCATAAATATATAATGCCTTAATGTCACGACACACAAGAAGATATATGTGTTAAAAAGCAGATGTTATTAATAAGTTCATAAATCAGAAGCATCACATTAAGAATCATCTCTGATATAAGTATTAAATTCATAATAACAATAAAATGTACTTTAGAGTGACCGTACCAAGGTGGGAATGCCATACTTCATTGTGAAATTCGCCCGGACGCAGGAACCGGGGCAGTTGATAGTTGTTTGGACAGCGGTTGGATCGTCCTGGCATTGTTGGTTAAGCATATCACTATTGTTATAGACGAATTTAAAGGCATTCAAGGCAAATTCGTTGTCCGATTTGAAGGCAATACATGAGATGCATTGTATAGCGTCGCCTTGAAAAAAGAAAAGGGTGAAGAAATGATATCTTCATTTAATAAAATAAATGGCAAAAGGGAAAATAAATGGCAAAAGGGAAAAATGAAAGAAATAAAAATGACACAAACTATGAAACGTCAACAGACAAACAAAATTTTGTCCTCACATCAGAAATAAGGTCAGGAAGAGGAATCAGATGCTTGGTAGGCAAGCCTCCTCCAGTATCAGACCTTATATACAAATATACACGCTACTTTAGATTTTCCTGGGCTCCTACAGGGTACATTTTCTTCTACATGTACATTGGAATTACATGTATTTATAACAAGAATAAGGAGATACCTTAACAGGGCAACCTTATGTAATACTGGGTCACATCTTTATCCGAATTTGATACCTCCTGTGCAAATATATAAGTTACTGAACTCAAACATGTTCCTAGAATTCCAGATTTTGTGTTGCAAGTCTGTTGACTGCTTTCTATTTACAACAAAACAAAACCGTTTGGAACAGTTTCCCTGGTTTACATAAAATACACGCATTTGCACGTAATTCATCACCCTGGTTTGTCTACATTGTGCTATGAATGTTCATATTGTTTAAGCAAGCTGGTGTTTTCAAATATTTATCCGTGTATGGAGAAAAGCTGAAGTTGGTTTTACCTTAACTTACCTGTGGCTAATGTTGATGAGAGAGAAAACAAAAGGTATAGACCGAACATCTTCATAATGAATAATGTATACTACTACATGCAAGTGGTAGAATCCGGTTCAAAGAGGGAACAGGTTCTTCGTTCTCAAGGTTATATATAAGTGTGTGGTAGGAAACGTTTGCGACCGTCGTAAAAACCACATCCTGAAGTATCCAATTTGCATGAAAACGGTTTCAACGAAACGAAAAGTGGGCACGGCAGGAGGGGAGGGGAGGGGGGCGCAGAAAAATTAATTTATGTTTGCCCATTTATAAAATTTATGTAGCTGACCCGGATGTACGTTTGGTGTGTTCATTACTTATATTGCTGGTATAGATAATGAGCTGTTTTCGTGCCCAGATATGTTTTTTTTTTACAAAGGAAAAAATACAGTACCGTGAGAATATTGAGACGATAAAACACCAGCATATCTGAATCCCTTAACGCGCACTATGGCAAACACTTTTATTTTACCAAAATAAATAAATAAATAATAGTAAATGAAATAAGGTCAAGAACAAATACTCATAGTGATTTTCGATTATTTCTATATATCTTTCGTGTCTTAATGCGTGTAATACCCTTGTCATGCTGATAACTTTTTCTGTGCACTTTAACAAATCCGCCCCACATGCACTTTATCATGATAAATATTGATTTTATTATAACCAGTCTTTAAATAAAGTACGTCGTAGTCGTAGTTACACAATTTACTTACGTAATTTTGCTCCGTTCCACTACAAGTTTGTCATAAACCACGTAACTGCTTTATTACATTTTGAGATGAGTCACTGCAACTTTGGCTGAGAAATTCCTCTTGAAAACTTTTTTCTGACACGGATTTGGTTTACCGCAGACTTGGTAATTATAACCCGATGACTTCACAGGCTTTCTTCATCACTCTGCTCTGGAGCCTTAGGTTCTACAGACCCGGAATCATCATTAGATTAAATTAAAATTTCAAACGATTTTTTTTAAATATAGGTAAAATTGATTCTTTTTTTATAATTTCTTCAATTCATTTAAAACATATGCTGATTCTGAATGTTCTCCCACTGATGAAAAACAGTTGAATCGGATTCCTTTTGTGAGACGCGCCTGCCTGTACAACACTAAAATCTGAGTCAGACTCAAGCATTTGAGTACTAGCTAAACAGGTCATATTGACTTTAAGCTATCGAACCAGGTAGCTGCATATCGATGTCTTCTTGGAAGACAAAACAGTGTTTTATTGACCCTTTACACTACCTTCTCCGAAATGAAAAGCGAAAATGAAACTTTTTCCACTGGCGGGGTGGTACTTTCACTTTCAATTTCATCAATCCTTCACTTTTTTATATTCATTTTGAACTTACATGTATATTTGGTCGATATGTTCCTAATTATAAAACAAGTCGACAAATTGCAAAAAAATTAGAAAATAATTAACTAACCAGACGGGAGGGACACACCGGCCACGTGCCCACCCCCTCCCCCAGCGTTCAAGACACCTCTCAGACCATTCTCTACCAAACCTCACCCTGTTCACCTCTAAAAAATAAAACGAGTCCAGACAAAACCAAGCAACTTTCTGTCCCTTTCATCCACATGTTATACATTAATGTAATAAAGGTGGCTCGTTTGTATTTGTCGAGCAAAGAAATTTCTTTGCCCTTGTGTCCCCTCCCCACCTGAAAAATCCAGACGAAATTGTGGTGATAAATTCCATAGATAATAAAAGACAAGGTGCGCTTCCGGATTTCCTGTTAATTTAGCGAAAAGGATTTTAACCAGACCATTAACTTTCACTCCTATTATTCTTAGAGTTTTAAGCATATTTTGTGTCGTTCTCTGAAAAAAAAAAGGATATGATGAAATAGGCTAGGGGGTATCTTGCAATGAAAGTAGATGTAACAATCATGAATAATCTGTGGTCCTTTTTTGTAGGGGCGGTAACCGAATCATCTGTTTCGGAAAGCCGCATTACCTTACCACGTCTACAATTGCTTTATTTGGTTTAGCATTATAGATATCTTTAGAAATGTGAAGGCAAAACATGCTCTGAATTTTCTTTGAACTCCTCCGAAATGGAAAGAGAAAGTAAAATGCAAGTAGGGCCTGTTGTCCACTTCCCGCCAAAATCTATATTATGTATTAATGTGTTAGTCTTGAACAGAAGAAAACACTATACTAATATTGATCAAAAAGGAAGTCAAGGTCAAACAACGCACGTCAACAAAATCCCTGGATCAACCCTGGATCAACCCCCTGGATCAGTTGCCTAGTTGCTTAAGTCAATATTATATTTACACATCTTTAGTTTTTATCAGTTTATTACTTGAATTTTTAATTAAATAAAAGCACAGTGTACTGACAGCTCTAGCAGCATGTCTTTATTGTGAACGTCATAGTACAGATCATGCAATTATTAACATATTTTTCTGTGGTCCCATATACATGTAACAAAACAGAATTATTCTACCAAAAAAAAAGTTGTCTTATAAATGCATGTGAGATGACAATCAGGGATGGGTTAAGAAACATGTTCGTAGACTGTACAATATGTCAGTAAAACTGCTACTATTCAGGAAATGTGTTCTTCCGAGAACTGCTTTTTCCAATTATTGACACTTCTGTTTACAAGGGCAGCGCTATATATAACGTCGACCTAAAAACAGTTTGTTTACAGTGTTAAGATATATGCGAGCACCAGCTTCGATGCATGACACCAGGTACAAACTGTACTGGAGATATAATCATGATATGATGAAAATGCTCTGCATGCAAATGCAAAGCTCAGTGTAAGTCACTGCATGTCAGTTGCTGCAATGAGGCTTATGTTTAAGGTAGGTAGTGCACATCTAGCTTCGATTCAAGGTTTGGACGTTACAGCAGTCCCGCGTAAACATACAAGCACCCATTGTTGTTGCTACGATTTGGGTCTGTCATTCTCTACCACAGCTTGATTTTAACTCGTTTTTACTGATATCTTCATGTGTAATTCATGATTATCTTCACAGCAGATAAAATTGCCATAGTTTGCCAGGGATATATTCATGAATATTTAGTGAAAATTAATCTGTGGCCTTAGTGGAGGCTAGGTCTGTCTCTCTCTAAGCGCTTGCGTGTAACCTACTACGTGTAGTTAAATCCTACTTTTGGATTGTAGGAAACGATTGCAGCAAAATGCTACATGATGTAAAAATTGGGTGTATGAACTTGAAAACCACATAAATAGATATAAGAGTACCATACTAGTCTACAATAACGCACAAAAAAACCCCATAAAATCGGTTTTATTATTCAAAACGAATGTCGACCTAGGGTCCTAAAGAGTCAATACAATAGAGAAAACAGAAATAATCCCCAAGCGCCAAGAAAAAAAAGGCTTTTTGAAATGGAAGTGTGCCATTGGTAGGTATTTTTAGATTGACCCATAAACACTCCAACATCTTAAGGCCTTAAGTAAGAGGTCGGCACCTGTTTACGCCATACAAAAATAACATAATCACCAAAACTAGCAAATTATATTTTTCTTTAGGCATTATTTGCAGAATATAAATTGTGTATGTTATAATGCTGTGGGCTAGGGTGCAGGCTTATGGGAGCCACTCGTAGTGTGCAGGGTGATGTGTCGTGAATGACAAGGAGGGGTAAAAATTAATTTAATAAAGTTTCTTGTTTATTGATAATAATTTAAATGATACCTTGTACAGGGGGTAGCTGGCTCTATCCCAGGCGCGGATCGGGAGATGGAGACAGATGCTATGCATGGTTATATTACATGCAAAAATCCCTCCTATTCTCATTGCAGACAGAAGTGTAGTCACTGAAACGAGATTGAAAAGCAACTTTTCAAGCCTGTGCCCTACATACTGTACATGTATTATAGTGAAATTATTCTCACCTATTTAGCGATCGAAGCAAGGCTAAATTTATTATCCTGACGCCTCCCTGCTCCTCTTAGCAAAATCCTACATCCTACATCCAATTAATGCAGTCTGTACCATAAGTTCACATTCTGCCTGGGTTACATATTGATTTTTCACTAAATATTCACAGATATGCTCTGGTTAAATTGACGGTTTTTCACGCGTCAGAGAAAAAGTCCACATAATAAATTATGTGGCTCTAGTAGAGGATACTACAAAACAGACAGCAATTATTTTTGTCCAATAAAATAACTCTCCATGTTGTAGCATACTTGCACTCACAGCATTACCAAGAGGGATTGTAGAACTTTAGATTTTCGGGTATATCTTTAAAACATACAGGTATTTTTTAAGCATGTCTAATGTACATGTCTCAATCTGTCATAGTCTCATTCTTTTTCCAGGCTTTAGGCTTATTATTTCGAGTAGAGCTTATTGTAGTGACCCCATGCATGGGAAGCGTCATCAACACCACCGAAACAGACTGCGATTATTTTACGCATTATAAGGTCCGGCTCGAAAACGGAGACGTAACTTGCCGAAGATGCACGAAGTGTGACCACAGCAAAGGGGAGGGAACTATATTTGAGTGCCAAAATTACACAGACACAATATGCGCCCCATGTAAAGACGGAGAAACGTATTCTTTGGAATATGATGAAGCAACTGTCTGTGATGAGTGCAAGAGTTGTGAGGAGGGACAAGAAGTGTTGGAAAACTGCACAAGGTTCAATGACATAAAGTGTGGAATGTGCTTACCAGGTATCGATTTGTAGCATGTACATGTTCTACTCACTAGTGTTGTTTATCGTTATTATGTTATCATGCGTTCAATTAAAAGGGGGAGGTGCGCACCGTAGAATACACGTACGTGACGATCCATAAATTTGACATTCCTGTAAAGCTTTTTGTGTTTATTTCATTTACTGGTATTTGTTGCTATTTATGAAGATATGCAGTTTACGATATTAAATTTACATTATTTCCTTTTTACTGAATTATTCAGGTTATAAGTACGATGACGTGACGGGGGACTGCATCAAGGTAGACATCGTCCAGGTAAAACCAAAAATAACATATGCACATGACCAAACCGACTTGATGGCAGTGCCGATGAAAACGCTCGTGATTCCAAGTACCACTGAATTGAGTAAGCTTTAATTAACTCTTCGAGAATGACTGCTCACTGTTGCATATATAGTTACTACATGTACCTCAATTTACTACTCACCGTCAATGTGAGGCATTTGTTCCAAAATTTATTCCACATATTTACAAGCTTTGGTTATATCTAGGTTTTCGACCGGCAGGGATTTGAGATGTAGCCATGAGAAACTTCAAAATTAAAACCGTGCCTTGTCCTACCTGCAGATTCGTGGGCTACAATATACAAAATTTATATTTGATATGTTTTTTTTAGATTTAAGAGGCGTGTCTAGCTTAAATGTATTGTTTTTTAAGAAACATACATGTGTTCGTATTAAGACTTTTAAAAGCTTCTGAAGAAAAAAAGGCAACGAATTGTATTTCTCTCATTTTTTTGGAGGGGGAGTGATTTTAATCACTTTTAAATAAAAGTCCTTTTTATTTTGAATTCATTTTTACTGTGCATTGTTTTTTTTTCTAGTAAATGCAACACCGACGCAACCAGATGGGAAGAACACGAATTCATATGTTATTATAATAATTGTTTTGGGGATGGCTGTAGTATCATCGTTGGTTATGATTGTACTTCTTAGACCTAAATGCGTATGGCAAAAGAAAAATGCTAGAGCAGAGGAAGGTAACCGCATGATTTCACAAGAACATACAGCCGATGATCAGCCTCTTCGTGGTTATTATGATAATTTCATGTCCAATGACCCTGCAACAGATGACACCGGACTAAATAGTCGTAATCAGGATGAAACGATTGTTGGGATCGCACCAGAGCCAGCGGACCGTGTCAACCAATGTGACACAGAATCGGAATCTGAGAACTGCAACGTTCACTCACATCATAGCAGCGAGCATTTGTATACGACAACATGAAAATACAGAAACACGGCACATAAGGCAAACAACGCGCATGCGTCTCGCATTTAATCCGATTTGCCTTTTAATTTAAAAAAATCCATGTGATATACAGCTATATATGAGTGTGTGTGTGTGTGTGTTTACGTTATAGCTTTTCAAATATCTGATCACAACTTGAAATCCAACGGTAAGGTTTTTATTTAATTTGATTGTGGTGGAGGAGGCGGGTGTTGCATCCAGCACAACCAATGCAATATTTACATATTTGACAACTTTAAATATTCAGGGCAACTCCATTTAGTATGCATATTCTTATTTCACTCCATTCAGTGTCTCCTTTTATATCTCATTCATTCCAGTGTACAATAAACTTTCATAACCCCATTCACAACAAAAAAGAAGGCAGCAAAAATGTCGATTGTTCGAGATTTGGTCAAACAAGGCCGCTTTTATTATACTGTACATGTACAACCCCACTATCCTTATCATTTTAACAATTTTTACAACGTAACAAATTATTGTCTGTATTTAATGTTATGACCTACTGGATAAAAATATATATCAAATATTCAATAAGACTCATCATCCTAAAAATTATGAGGTAACGAGTGAACAAAAGTTATAATTTTTTGTTTGTGGGGTTGCGAAGAGGTCTTGAATGAGTGAGGCAGACTTGCATATCCTTGTTCTCGATCAGCTACTTACAGTCAGATCACAGTAACTTGAATTTATAATTTATAAGGAAACGCATAAATGATGAGTGTTTAATTGTGATAATGTTAATTTAATCATGATGATGCACATATATTCATAGTCTTACCTGTGTAGCCTACATAATATTCTGTTTTACATATGTGGCACTTTCTTTGATTGTCATAAATAGAAAGTTTATTTTCATGTATTTAAAGATGTTTATTTTTATAAACTTATGTTTACTGGTTATGTATTATCATGGTTTTTTTTTTTTTTTTTTTTTTTTACATTTTTTAAAGTTTTTCCGCGTCCTGCCAGATCCTGTTTGCAATAAGAAAGATCAGTGAAATTAGTTCTGCCTTCCGTCGATTTTTCTTTATCTGTATAGCTCTCGCGCGCTTATATCGGTCCTTTCTGTGTGAGTTATCAATCAATGATGCATTTGGAAATTGTAACAAGGATACCAAAATGTGGTCCCTTGGATTAGAGTGAGTGGAAAGCAAAACCCATTTTATTTTGACAAGTGTACAATCCAACAATGGCGATGACATCACCAATATGAGAATGCCAAAGGACTCCTCCGGTTGTATTTATTTTCTGTTTAGCAGCATTTGCTGCGGTTTTAGTTTCTCTGGCAGTGTGCATGAAGACAAATGAAATAGAAAATACAGATGTTTAAATAAATTTGAACACATTCCTCAAAAATTTGCATGGATGAAAACTTCACACTCCCACTCCCTTCATCACCTAATAATTCACTAGAAAGGGCTAAAAATTATTCAGTGGTCGGTATTTTAGCTTTATATTACCTTTGATTGTGCTGGAGCCTGGATGGTTCATAGGACTTGTTATAACACAATCGCTTTATTTAAGAGTTTTATATAATGCCATCCATCACTGTGTTAATTTTTGTTAATTTTTTTTTTTAATTACACACATTTTATTTTAAACAAAGTGTATTTGTGTCTTTTAAAACATACATATGTATTTTTATCAGTCTCTGTGTTTACAAGCATTTTAATGATAAGCATATTAAGTCTCCAATTTGTTTATTAATAGACCTGAGCAGCCCGGATGCCCCCCCCCCCATAATTAATTTAAGCTTCTATGATGATACAGTTAAAAATCGCTTAAAATAGAAAAAAAATATATGTAAAGGAAAACATATTAAAGTGAATTTTTTTATACATTACATACATTTTATTTTAAACAAAGTGTATTTGTGTCTTTTAAAATATACATATGTATTTTTATCAGTCTCTGCGTTAACAAGCATTTTAATGATAAGAATATTAAGACTTCAATTTGTTTATTAATAGACCTGAGCAGCCCGGATGCCCCCCCCCCCATAATTAATTTAAGCTTCTATGATGATACAGTTAAAAATCGCTTAAAATAGAAAAAAAATATATGTAAAGGAAAACATATTANATAATTAATTTAAGCTTCTATGATGATACAGTTAAAATCGCTTAAAATAGAAAAAATATATGTAAAGGAAAAGATATCAAAGTGAATTTTTTATTCATACAGTTAAACCTGCATTATAATAAGATAATAGGTAGATTTTAATTCAAAAATTTAATATTGGATCTTACGTTAAGGGAAAGCTCTCAGTTATTTATAGTTGTTTGCACTCTTAACATTCCCTTACAGTATTAATTAAGTCGCAGATTATTTTGTCAGCTTTCCCATATCATTCAATGGTACATTTCTGATTAGTTATAATTTTGCACTGGTACATGTATCGTTTGCCATTATCGCGAAATATGTGAAAGAAACATGCAACCTTTCAATGCCTTCATCCACTTGGAAAACATTAGATTTATTCCAAACAAGAATAAACTTCTAATTCTAAACTTGTTGAAGTTAAACAAAATAAACAGAGAACCGGAAAATCGTTTTCACTCTAACTTTTGTGCTTAGAGAAAGGCCGGAACAATACAGTACAGTTGTAACCCAGCGTCAACAATAGAGACCGTGGTGTACTGTATATTGGAGATTACATACAACCGTGTCCGCTCGTAAAGGACTTATAAACAGGCGCTGCGATTTTATGTTGACGGACTTCTCAGTGAAATGTGACGACTTGTACTGAGAATATCAAGGCAGAGTAGAAGTCATCGGTATGATCCAAGACTTACAACATTTTTTCGCTAATAACCGACTTAATCAACGTGTAAAAATGGATAATAGTTGACGTGAATTTTACTCAACAACATGCGTTCCTTGGCCCTATCATAGGGACTGAGACAGCGATTTCACCGGCTGCTTTAAGGTATATAAATAATAGATACAACTTCAGCAACGTGGCTACCACAATTTAAGATGAACGTCAGTGCATTTATCAAAACTGGTGGTACTGATGGTGACGGAGAGGAGGAGGAGGACCCTGGATTACAGGTATGATATGTACTACTAGATACATGTTTTACCCAGGCCCGTAGCCGGGGTGGGGTTTGGGTGGGGGTGTGGGTGGGGATGGGGGTGGCGTTGGGGGCTTTGTAACCTCTGTAATTATTTATGGACTTTTTTGCTGAGGCGATTAACTGTGAATTTAACCGGAGACATATCTGTGAATATCTGGTGAAAAATCTAATCTGTGGCCTGGTAAATGGTAGGGGCTTTGGAAGGTTTGAACCAACCGCCCTTTTTAGCAGGGAAAAGGTCCGCTCTTGGGTGAAATTTTGATGTTCGCACACCATGTTTTTGTTGGGGTGAATTTAACGAAATATAAATGCTACGTTATATATGTTACAGTGAATTTCGAAAGAGTTTTATGTGTGTGTTTTTGGGTTTAATTTAGGACGTTGCGTTGTGACAAGATGTGAATAGCAGCACTTTTAAATGTGGGGGCACAGCAACAGTGTGCAAGTCATTTTAAATTAAAACCCAGGTTTACATTAGTATTTCCAATATTCATCCATGAAAATAACAAGCGCACCGTATTATTTGCCTTTCTTTTATTATTTTCATTGTTTTTCTGTCCTAAGAAACCAAAAATCCCGTCCTCCAACGTCCAGAGAAGATGGACAAAGCTAAAGGGGTTCGCTCACGTCCAGTCTATGGCCAATCAGACCTTCTCCAAGCTGCGAGCGGAGGGCGGAGTCCGGGGGAAGGTGTCAGGGAAAAAAGTGATTCGGAAAAAGAAGCTCCTGGAGCAGGCGCAGAATGACAAGGACGATCAGCCCCACAATGCACTGCAACATGACGACGCACGAGACGACGAGGAGGAGAGCGGAGAGTTCGACTTCGATAAAGGTCTGTTTTAGAAATAAGCGAGATTAAATGTGAAAAAGGCGTGTTTTTATTATGTTTTCGCAATATACCACCGGCTTATAAGTCTTTGGTTTTCAACGTTTATCTAAATTATGTGGTGACTTTAAGCCAGGTATTCAATTCGATTAGCTTTTTTTTTTCTTTTTGCAATTTTGTGTTCTTTTGTGTCCGTTTGTGTTCTTGTTAAAGAACATAGGCCTACATGTACTGGTATCCAGGCCTAAACATGCTCTTCCTCGTACATGTAACAGGAACCGCATAGTGAAAAAGGTATAATGCAAAAATGCCCCAATACTTGGTCAAGATGCCCCTTTCATTTCTGTCTTTGTATCCCTCAATCAGACGACCAGGACAACGAAGACTCTGACGACGAAATGAACCACCCCGACGTGAAGGCGTACGTGGCGGCCTGTAGACAGACAGGTGTGAACCCAGCCAGGTCCGTGGTGAAAAGCGTCATCCACGACCAAGTGAAGATAGCGCGGAGACCCATGGGACCTTCCGAGACAAAAGCCTGTGTACTGGGACTTGTGGTACGTAACGATTACTAAATTATAAATATCTGATAATTAAGTGGACGGCTTCACATGAGAGGCTATGTTTCACTTCTCTTTCTCTTCGACGTCCTCTCACCGGTCTAAATTTCTGACAGTTAAACTAGCATCTTTTATAGATATTGCACATCTTTAAATTTGCATATTTATCATTTCTATCTTTTCGCAGAAACAAGCATAGTTTTCTGTTTTACAGAAGTATTATTAATATTTCAGCGTAATTGTAACGTGAAGGTGTTGGATCTTACCGGGAACAAAATGGGTGACGAGGGCGCTGTTTACGTGTCAGACTTACTGAGGGAGAACTACTACGTTACCAGTCTGGTGAGAATTAGAATAATTTCATTATAATCCAACTTTCATTAAGTAAATTTTGATTTTGTGAGTTCGAAAAAACTGTGTCATCTTCTTGCATATAAATATTAATACACTGTAAGCATTAGAGTTTTTAATTTTAGAACGTTGAGTTTTATTAAAATATTAAGAACAGCACGGCAGTACCAATAACCCGGTTTTAAAATAAATTGTCACGGTTATTGACTAAATATTGTTATATGATCAACCATTTCAAGCAGCATGTATACTATATTACTGTATTCCGTTCCAGACACTCGCTGAAAACAACATCACCCGCATTGGGTTAAAGGTATTGGCCGAAGAGGTTATCAATAGTCGCTATCTGAAGACGTTGGATCTCTCAGGTAAAATTACGGTCAGTTTTATACATTGGATATTTTGTTTTTGAGGTTATTCCTACAACAAAATATGGAGAATCGAGTGAAAGACTGAAAACAAAATCTCGTACAAGTATACATGTAGCCTGTCTGGTTTGAATGCTTATTATACATACATGCGCATGTAGTTGTTGAATACATAGCAAAACTGGTGGGCTTATGTGACTTAAGTAAGAATTGGACAATGTATTCGATGTCATCTAGACCTATATCATACAATGCAAGCATTTAATATCATCTTATGACAATTGTCCCTAAAGATACATGAACATGCATTTTCCATTTATAATTGTAGGCAACGGTTTCGGTGAAAATGATGCTCATCATATCGCAGAAATATTAGAAGTAAGTATTAGCAAAAACGAGCTAGGCATTTTATGTACCAAACACATATCTTCCAAAGGGTCGGATCCAGGATGACGTAAAGGAGGAGTCCAGTTTTTTTAAAGAATGACAGGTCTCGTATGCGAAGCCAACCCTTGCCCCCTTGGTGTGGGTTTTTGTGTTTTGGAGGGCAAACTGTGTCATTTGGTGCAGTTTAGAACTATGATTCGGGTTCAATCAATCAAAAATCACATCAATAATCCCCTCTTGATATTAGAATTCTGAAGACCTGAGGTTAACCCCCCTGACCCCCCCCCCCCCAAAAAAAAAAAAAAAAAAAAAAAAAAAAAAAAAAAAAAAAACGCCACTGATTTCCTTGGACTGTCGAGGTTCGTAAAGCCGAGAACTATACCTGTGAAGTTTTCATTATGCGTCCGTTTCTTTTCTTTTCTTTTTTCACATTTATATTTATATGAATCTATCTATCTATTTATCCATTCATTATTTTAAACCTGTTCAGTGCGTATATCGATAAATGTGTACTCCTTTTCGTATTAATGAAAATCATCGGAGAAAGACCAAAGTCAGAGAGAGGTCACACACTGCACCATACTTGTCTCTTTCTTTCTAGTTTACATTAAATTAATCCAAACTGGAAAAGTCAGAAAAAAATAAGTCACACTTTTTGAGATTTTTTTGTCAATGCCTATTGGATTTTCTAACTTATACTTCAATGCCTATTTGGTTTTCTAAGTTTTGTTCCTACTCCTAGCTCTCTCCTAGGCTGACCTACACGTAACCTACTCCAGGCGTCTTCGTGTCTGTCGGCGTCGAAGAAGGCTTCGTAACCATATAGGTGCGCTATCCATTGCGCCACCGACGAGGACACAATGACTCCTGCATTTCTTGGCGTATTTACCTGTACTCTTTACCTTGAAATTAAAATATTTAAAACACACAATAATAAAAGAGAAACACATATCCAGTGTGGGATTCGAACCCACCAATTCTGGTTGAGAAGCCCAACGTCATTACCACTGTACCATCGCCCATATTACAGTTTTTCGAGTATAGAATGGTGTGTCGGCCTGTATTCAATCTCCCCGTGTAGAAATTTCTAATTTTCCTAAATATGGGTTGGCTTTTTAGATGGTATAGACGCAGAGTTGTTATATTGGTTTTTTTTTACGAACGTTAGTAAATTCAACACTATGTGAAACTGCATCGCCAACTACCTGAGTGACTTCTTAAAACATATTTTCAGAAACCAAAGGGGAGGGGGGGGGGCTGCATTTAAATCAGCCACTGTTCCATGAATTATATATATATCTACATTTTTTTTCAGAAATTAAATGCTCTTGTACTGGTGTGTTAAACATTTAGTGGAATTTAGGGAACATCGATGGTTTTATTTAACATGTTATCGTAATGACATGTAGATGTAACTGACATGTATTTGATTTTTTTGTGGAATCACCAAGTAATCATCTGATGTATTTATTTATTCAGAATAACCAGATCCTTAGGGAGCTGTATTTGTCACACAATGAATTCAGAGAACTTGGAGGGGAAATACTCTCCCCGGCTATAGGTATACTCTTACCTCGTGTTTTTAAAGCACTCTTCATGATAATTCACACTCAGACATTGTCATTAATCATACAAAGTTACATGTATGACTCAACGTGTTTTAAATGGGGATAGCTTAATCGTATTTAGTTATAGATTGCATTGCGCCTTTCCAATCCGTTGTGTTTCTTATAACAACTTCTACATGAAAAATTAGAGGAATTCAGAAACCGGTGAACGATTGAAAATGCGTTTGATATTTCAGCTAATAATGTGACACTAGAACTTCTGGATCTCAGCTGGAATCATCTACGACGAAAAGGTGCTGCGGCCATTGCTCAGGGAATAAAGGTCAGAGTTCCCTTTTGAGTTTCTAGATGTGTTCATAGCAGAAGCATAGAAGCCTCCGATAACACAGGCGCTTCTAGAACAATTTACAAAATTGAAGAACATCCAATAATTTTGTGACTCAATTGTATCAGACCTTGTGGTCAGAGAGCAGGGCCATATATACTGTAGTTGGTGGGAATTGATTTCTCGTCTGCCCAGCCTGACTTACCATATTTGGGCAAATTTCTATAGCTGCTGGGTTGTTCATCTAGAATTGTATGCATGTAGCCGACGAAATACCTGCTCTTCTTTAGATGGCTATATCATATACTGTATATTACCACACAGATGGTGAAATTATTTGCAGGATTCCTCCTGTTAAATTAAAATGATTTTCACGATGCTTACACTGCAAATACTTTTAAGCTGAAAAAATAAGAGGAAACACTTTGCGGTAGGATCTTAGTAAAAAGAACTGTGATCAATGGAACCAGACAATGCACATTGATTTAATGGAAAATCAATCAATACTTTTTATCTATTGCAGGAAAACATGGGTCTTAAAACTGTGAATTTAGCGTGGAACGGGTTCCATCTTATGGGGTGTAAGGCCTTGGCTGAGGCCCTAGAGGTGAATAAATCCTTAAAAACCCTGGACTTGACGTCTAACCGGATCGACCTAGACAGCTTAAAGGCACTGCTGAAAGGCTTAAAGCTCAACGAGGGACTGGAGACGTTGATTGTAAGCCGCAGCTTATTATACACTATATATATTGAATTATTGTATTATCTAGAAGATGATTTTTAAAAACTTGGGGAAAAATGTAATTGAGCAATTTATTTTTGCATGTAGCGTCGTGTATCTGTCTCGACATGATGCCTTGATCACATGCTTATTTGCATGCATTTTGTCAAAACTGTACCACTAAAGGTCATCTTTGCAAGGTTTTTTTTTTTTTTTTTTTGCGTACATGTGAATACTGTGGCATCTTTCTGACATTGCTCAAAACTTTGTATCGAAAACTAGATCGGAGTTGGGGTTGTTGCCTTGTTTTATAGATTAATAAATTAACCTAGCTAGGTTTTTCATCAATTTTCTTTTTCAATCTTTTAATAAGATGCCTAAGAATACCATCGGGACTGAAGGAACTCTGGTTCTAGTGAAGGCTATAGAGGAATCCGACGTGACGACCATAAAACTAATAGACATACACGTAAGTGCAGTCAACGATTTGCTGCAGTCGCGTTTACAAATAACTTGAAACGGCAGAAGATAGTGCCAAACAACAGAATTAGCATTCCATGATATTGATGTTTTCTAAACTGTCACAGTGTATCCTTGGGGTATTTTATTGGTTAGAGTATTCGTAGATAAAGTTGCAATAGAAAATCACAACAGTTTAACAGTATGAATGCTGTTTTTTGATTGCGTTAGAGGAGATGTCAGAGTGTGTAAATTGTACGGTTGCGACAGTTTTAAAATCACAAATCACAGTGGGTCGATTTCTCATTCGTGGCTATAGTACAGGTAATGGTCGTGATGAGGTCTAGTTCCCAAACAATATGTCTTGTATAGCAAATGTTGCGATTGAGACTAGACCTAGTTTATACAAGCCAAAATGTTGGTTTTAATTTATTCAGCCTCAGGTGAAAACTCTTCTGTGAAATCGCCCCATTGTGTTACTTGTACTTTTGTATTGATTGCACTAGCAAGTTAGTGTATTAGGATGGAGCGTTTAGGCATATTAATTAAAACACAAACAATTCAATTTAAATGGTTGATTTTGAAAACTGCATTGATATTGGAAAAATCAGTATATCACGATTTGGTTGGTAAGATGTATAGGACATGTTTAACTTCAATGGTATTGCCTACTAATCTTAATAGTAGGCCTATATGGCTACGTTACTTTAATTCTCTCGACACAAACGCGATGTCATGTCTAAGAGAAATGTCTTGCTATCGCAATAACTTGTTTTTCATTTCAGACCCAGCTTGTTACCCCAGAATTTCTTGCCGAGTATCGGGAATTAAAAAATAAGAGACAAAATTTTAAATTTCTTCACGGTCGCATATATGATCCAAGCAACCAATTGAAGCGACCAAAAACCTCGTTCTTCTGAGAAAAACTCTTTGTAATTATATCATGAACAATGATAATGAATGACCGTCACTGCTTTTGCTTTGTGCCACAAACTATTAGATTTGATACATGTAGTACATATAGCGGTTTGATTTTATTTTTCATTCATTCGTATTGTGTGTCGCTTTTAGTTTATATTTATTTAACGAAGCCATTTTTGTTCCAAACTCAATAAAACCCACGATAATTATCTATGTCTTATAGACGAATTATCGTTTATATCAAGTATATTTGCACTGTAGTAGAATCACGCTGAGCATATGTAGATGTAGCCATACATACATACACGGTGCAGTTGCAGTAGAGATAAAAAGTGAAAAAAGTGCAGCCGATGCAACTGTCAAAGCCGAGGAAGAACCAAGTGAAGCACATTGAGAGACTAACTGTAACGTAAACCAATGTCAACACGTATAGATGATAGGTAAACATATGTCAGGTAGGTTGCACTTAATTTTTATTTTTATGTTTTATGACAAATCAGAGGATAAACAGATACAATAAAAATTGGAGAATTTGATTTCCATTTAATGCAAAATACCGGGTTCTTTATCCTGCAACATTCAGAGACCGAAATATAAATATAAAAATTCAAATGCGCGTTTGACCTCTGATTTGTCTTGGTTTTAACGTCTGCGGTTTTTTGTTCAGTTTTTTCGTCCGTTCAGATTTTTCATTTTGTTTGTTTAACAACTTGTACATGTAGATTATCGGCACATTAACGTTCACAGAGCATCACCGTTTTGCTGACGTCACATGCAGATCAGTATGGTGCTAACATCACGAAATGATGGCGTCATTGCAGAGGTGACGTCATTAACAAAATTGCATTAGTTACGAAGGTTTTGGAAAAAGACCACCTAAACATGTCTATTTTAGGAACTGACGAATTCTCTTGACCCAATTTGCTCACACAGGCCGGGGACAAATTAATGTTAGATTTTCCCACCTACGATAATAACATTTTGATTTCGTTTTAGGAATCACTGGGTGTTTTAACCACTTCTAGTTGGTCAGAAGGCCCCACAGATGTCAAGTTTTACATACGTTTTTGTGCATGTATAAGTTTTAACTACCGGTAGTGTCACTTTTATGGATGCAACTACTTTCGTTCCATGTCCTGGAGTGAATAACCTTAAGTGATGTGTTTTTCGTTAGCTGAACATTTCCGGAGTATTTTTACCTCACTGTTTCAGCAAAGATGTAGTCGTACAGTGGTATTCCTAAACAATGAGAGGTCAGAGGCTTTATTATATCACAAGTTAAACTATATGACTTCTTAGGTCGTTTTAACCTCGAGTGGTATACTTACCTGAACCTTTCCACTTTGACGAATCCTAACATATAAATACCCCACTGGGGTTCCCCCTCCCCTTTTCACAAGTTCTCCAGAAGTTCACACCCTGCTTTTAAGTTAATTGATTAGCCGTGCATGTCAAATAGCTCGGAAGCTCCGTTTGTGTGGCTCTCTTCCTTGCAGCCAGACTTTTGGCTCTCATTACCTCAAAGTGGACCGGTGCAGACATACCAGCTATAAGTATACCGCTCCATGTGGGCCTAAGCAATAATATGCATTTATGTTCTTATTCCGATCTTCCCGGTCTAGTAGCCGATTTCCACTCTTTGTCTATGCTGAAATGTTCCAGAGCACTTAAAGAAATACTGCAAGTTTCAGGATTTCCAATTCTTTGTTTTTTGCAGCTCTGATCGTCCTATACGGTAACTATCGAACGTCTCAGACATGGGATAAAAAGCAAGGAATGAACATGGCATTTTTAACTATTGAAAGCTATGTCCAGTTTCAAATATCCATATATATATAACTTTCATTTTAACTCACATAAATTCATTACACCTTTGCCATAGAGAGTTGTTCAAAAGCCTTTGAAAAAACATATCATGTAAATCTTTTTCAGACACAGTGCGTTACACACTCATTTATCGACATGCTTGTCGAGGCGCAGGACAAAAGAGAATTTCAAATCAAATATGGACAACTGCTCAATCAAAAAGGTGAGGAAATATCAGAGGACGATCTGATGAACGAAGACCCCATGATGGTACTCAACGAGTTCAGCCGGCAAAAGAAACTGCGCCTGGTCGACCTCTTTAAGCAGTTGGACAAAGATGGGAGCAATTCGCTAACTTTCCAAGAATTCGGCGAGGGATTGCTAGTTCGTATGCAGTATATTTCTATTAATTTATTTATCTATTTATTTCACACTGCATATCTTACTGTTTCTGCAATGGAAAATATGAAGACGGCGTATTTTTATAGTGATTCCCCGAATGTTCTAGACTGCTTAGTTGGTTTATTTTCTGAGAGCAAACCTCACAGATTTAATTTGATTTGTTAGATAATATTCATTAATAGACATCTGTAACTTTTCGCTTCACTTCTTTTCTTTTTAGTTGTTGATATTTCATAATTATTTCTTTTTTCAAAAAGTTTTCATTGAATTTTGTAGGCAGAGGGGATACCTTTGAGCAAGAAAGGGCTGGACAAACTGCTAAGAAAGCTAGACAAAGATGGCGACGGAGAGGTGGATTTTGGGTAGGTCATGTCCTTTACAGCAACAATCAAAGAAATATAAAATTTGCTTCTATCTCATTTTCACAGTGCTGCTTATTTTCTCAGGTATGTTAATACACTTAAACGTTTATTTATAGGGAGCTAATGCAAGGACAAAAGGAGTTCACTAGAAAGCTATTAATGTTAAAACAAGCCAAGGACGAAAAATCAAAAGAAGAAATTGAAAGATTCCAGGAGCTCCAAAGGAAAGTTACGACTCTTTTACAAAAGCAAAAAACGCCAAGAGAAGAGAAAAAGTCAAAAGCGCCAGCCCCTGTGAAACAGATAACTGCAGTTGTGACCGATATAGAGAACGCCTCCCAAGAGGAAAAGAAGGTCGCTGCCACAGCCCTGAAGAATATGTTCCGTAAGAAAAAGACTGTTGAAAATGCTCTTCCAACCATAGCAGACGACAATACCAAAAACAACGGCGCGGAAGTGACAGAAACTGCAGATGCCAGCACGCAAAATTGAGTATTATCAACTGTTGTCAAGGTTACCCAGGGATGACACGAACGGTGTGGTGCACTGTTTAATAAATGTGGTTAGTTAATTACTAACCAAAACAATATAAAATGTGATTTTGTAGATGGTGTTTAATTGAAAATGGAATGACATATTCAATAGATGGATAACCTTTACCCTGTTTACCTATTTGAAAAACAAATAAAGAGAAAAATGAACGATTTAAAATGAGTACAAATTTTTAAAAATATTAATTATTATGCAGCCAAAACAGTCACGTATTCTAAGTAAGTCAATTTCAAATTTCAATTTTTTTTAAAAGTAACATTGGATTATTTCGTATTGTCAACAGAATTCCCTACAGTGTTGTTTTGTGATAAATGATCAGATTTTTCACTTTTGTATAACACGTGGCCGTGGTGTATCTGTAACTGGGGAAGCTTAGTTTCCTGTAACTCTGTCAGCGTCTTCAGAAACGTTTCGTCAACAAACTGACTCTGAAAAATAATTAATAAGGGGACCAATTAAAAGTATTTCTGATTTAAATAGTAACAAGATAAGATTTATGTTGTTCTTCCTTGTTTCAATAAATACACTCAGCATAAAAATTGTGTATACTATAGTTCATAAACATGTTGTAAAGTGAATGAAGTAATGATTATATCAGGTATGTTCATCAATTTATCAAGCACACGTACCTGTGCGACCTGCAGAGAGAGAGAGAGAGATATGGAGAGAGAGAAAGAAAGAGACTTGCGAACTACTAATATACGGAAGATAAAAACAGCACGTGTGCACCATACTTACAGACACATCTATATTGGACAGCCTTGGATTTTCCATAGTGGTCAACTGTTTCAGAATGTCCATCATACCTTCTAAACCAACAGCATTTTCTCGAAGCTATAAATTGTAAAGAAGAAAAAGCAGTGCTGGTTGTTTACTAGAAGATGGTTAGTTTAAATTAACTCTCATTATGTTATAAATGTATAAATAAGCTTTTATCCGCTTTCAAATGAATTTCTCAGTTACCGTTAAATAAAAATCTACTCCAAATTTACAATGTTTTATTTAGCTTAAAATACGTGGCAGAAACTACTGACCTTCAACGTGATCAATGATTCGTTAGCTTTAAGTCCTTTGAGCAATAATTTAAGGCAAATTCTGTCGATCCTGTTGCAGGAAAGGTCTAGATTCTGTAGTGTAGTGTTGACGGCTAACGCCTTGGCCATTTCTTTAGATCCTTCCAAGTAGAATCCGTTCCATGAGACATCCAGGGTCCGAAGTCCGATGTTTTCCTGGAACAAATGAGACGGCGAAAAGTGGTCGCCGGTGTTACACTAAAAAAACTTACTGTATGGAGAAACCTTAAGAATCTGTCCTTATTACTATTGCTCTTATTACACATTAGCTAAAGAAAGGCCATAGCTCTACCATACATGCATGAAACTTTTCGGACTTACCGCTAGTCCCTTGCAAATGGCGACAGCTCCCTTCCGTCTAAGATGGTTCCAGCTCAGATCCAGTACCTCCAGTGTGTCATTATTACCTGGAAAAAGACCACTCACTCACTCACTCACTCACTTTATGTGCCTTATCCAGGCGGCACTTTCTGCGTAAGATTAATTAAATATTACAAACTTGGACATTGTTTATGAAATTCATGGAATGATTTCGCAATTGCACAGTGACAAATAACTTTGTATTTCATGCATGATTGCTACTAATAGGATACGATTGACTGAAGTCAACACGTATGGCAACAAAAGAAGTTTTTTTTAAATCTGAAGTTATATAGTTCAGCTATTCCTTGCTCTTCTTTATAGACATTTTACCTAAAGCCGGACCCAGAATCTGCCCGCCTCTCTCACGAAATGAGTTATGGCTGAGATTCAACTCTCGAAGAGTGCGGTTCACCTGTAGAGAAAGAAACATTTTAACATTAGATTGATTTTATGATGATTTCATTTCTTTCTGTCTCCCTTTCTTTCCTCCCTCTCTCTTTCTATTTTTGTCCTGTTTTCACTTTTCCTTTCATTTTTTCTTTCTATTTTCGTCCATCTGTGTGATATTTGTTTATTCATCCGCAGATTGACTATATCTTATTTTTTTTATCAATTATCTATTTACTCCATTAAGGGAAAGTGAAATATGTATAATTACTTGTAGCATGTCTGCAAACAACCGGGCGCTGTCTTCCTGGAAATTATTACCTGGAAAATGTTTGCAAATTGTCCACATTTAAAGGTACACGTGTAAATCTTCTTTTTACACGTAATTAATCAACCAAATTCGTTTTCGTAAACTGCGATTCAGACATTCCTATCAAGCTCGGAGTTGGTTTTTTTTTTATAGAATGTTATTTTACGTAGTACACCTAACACATTTAGCAGAGTGGTGTGGCCTTTCATCTCGTGTGAGTCAGAATAATTATTTTAACTAATTATTAATTGTCGAAATGCTTTTCCAGACGAGCAGAACACGAGGAGTTCGCCTTGGAGCCCCCCTGCCTAAATAAATGTCGAACACCATGATAAACAATAAGGTCGTCTGCTTCCTGGCCAAGGTCTCAGTCTACCCTGGTGTGAACGGGTCTGTTATATTTACCTGCCAGGTCCAGCACGGTGATGGCAGTGTTATGTCGCAACATGGTGGTCAGGCACTCGGCTCCTCCGATCTCTAGGTTGTTCTCTCGTAATCTCTTTAAAAAATGAAATTTGGTTATCAGAGCAATATTTTGTTTCCTTGTGATCTCTGATGAAAAAATACAGATGAATGAAATTTTGTTAAGTTATAAAAGTAACAAACAGTTTCAAGGTCATTTTCTCGTAATTTCTTTATAAAAAATTCAACAGACGAATACAATTTTAATCACAATCAAAATAAGTACGCTTTTTAAAAGAGGTGTCTCAACAATAGTAAATTTGTGTAGTTTTGCACAGTGCTTTTTATTGCGCTTCCATTCATCAGCCCTCTCTTAACCGAACAAATAACCACACGAATGTCTCAAACAGACAACCCACATGCTATCACGTGTACGTACCAACTCGGTAAGATATCCATTTTCCAATATTAAATCCGCGATGTACCTTCCGCCTTCTTTGCAAATATGGTTACCCTCCAGGTCAAGTGATTTCACAGTCACGTTGTCCTAAAAAAAGTGCTGGCGTTGTATTTTTATATTCTTTATAGGTGCCTCGATCGATGACGAAAAGCATGTTTCTTCTTAATTAATTTTTCGTTCAGATAATCTACTTATCACCATAAACCAATATAATCAATTTGATATCAAGATAAACCTAGAATTACCAGCCCCCAACCCTTGACTGCTGATGCGAATGAATACTAAACGAAACATAAAATCACCCAAAAGAAAGATCAGATGGTGCTTTTCATATTGACAGTTCTTTTCTACTCTAGACCTGAGCGATGACGTCAATTCTATGCAAAAATTCTCTGGACAAAGTACGCACATTGGACAAAGTACAGAAAAGTGCACAAAAATCCCAGAAAAAAATCTATAAATATTTAGTGAAAAATCAATATGTAGTCGGAGTGGAGGGTTCGAGATACAGGGAGATAGGCATGACGACAAATGATAGTTACATCCAATATAAACTTACCACTACCCTCTACCAGGGAGGCGGATATTATAGGCATATATTCCACCAGATAGTTAGATTGACCATATTTAGCCTGAGACATTATCTGTGAATATCTAGTGAAAAATCAATCAGTGGATCTGGTAGAGGGTAACTTACCACCAAGGCTACGCAGAGGGCTTTCAGGCCATGGCTCCCCAGGGCTCTATTCCGTATTGTAATGGCCTCGCCGTCTATGGTCTTGAGGATCATCTTACACGGGGCCACGCGGAGGAGTTGACAGGCGTCCACATACGCTTTTTGATTCCGTGACAACTTCAGTGGCGGCGGTGGGATGACGTCTGGTTCGTCCTCTGCTACTCGAAAAAATGATATGATATAAGAATGATTACTCACTATGGTCCCAGCATGTAAAAATAATTCATACAACCGTTACGCCAGACTTGCAAAAATAAGTAGCAAGAACGTCTCATCACCCCGAGAAAAATTCCCGAGAAAATTTTCTGCCCCACTTAAATAAAAGCTTTTTTATTTTTCTCTTTACTTGAAACACATCAATCCAACAGTGGAACCTTATGCCGTTCTGTCAAAATAACATAACTTGATAGGTTGTTGACTTTGAAAGTTTAGGTAAAATGAAATCGCAATTAAAGAATTTAAAAACATCTAATTACTATATGCAGGGCCGTGTGCAGTGGTATTTTTGATCATTTTCTCTCTCTCTCTCTCTTTTAAAGAACGTAAACCGACTACATGTGTCGCATTAGTTCACTGAATATGTTTGATACACAACTTAAATTCAGGCAATACATAAAGCTTAATCGCACATTATACTTCTGAAAACCACTTGCGCACGTGCAACCTGCATTGTAAAAATAATCACCACAACCACTAATGGACTAAAACGTTAAGAGGCAAATTGGTCAAAACCGACTTACCATCAAAATCGTACTCGACATCGAACATTTGCAAGTCTTTTTCGATGTCAATAAAGGTATATCGTGATCCCTTCTGAGTCGGCACGGCTGTCTGCCCGTCCACTGCATTCAGAACGTCTCCGCCATTGTTATCCAGGGACCCAGGGTCGTTTTGAGAGTGGCTTGCTCGGCAGACGACGCGTATTTTCCTGTCGATTCTTTTGGCGGACACTTTGTTTCGGACAACTGTCGGGATGTGTGGAAGTTCTCCTTTCTGCCAGGCAGCGGGGGTTATGAATTCTCTGTCCTGGAATTGAGAGTCTCGTGTAGATCTTTTTCAGTTAGACTTTTATAACAAACACCAGCATTTTTTTCAGGTGCAATCAAGTTTTTTTCAATCATTAATTTAAATGATAAACGTTCTGCCAAGGAGGTTCGACTAAAAAAAAGGGGAATTACATGTAGATATTCAAATCCCACATCAAGCCGTTTTTGCTTGATTTTTGAAGATATTACATGCCTTACCGGTATTTTGATCTCGATAACAGACATAGGTTAAATAGCATTAGCAAATTCTCACATGATAACCTGCTTGTCAGCCTTTTAAAGGCTGTCTCCGCTCATTTATAATCAATTTCTCGAAATGTTAATTTCTCTCCTTTAGCTTTTACAAAATGGGGCGTATGATTTGAAGGGCTTTTGGCAAAGAGTACTTATTTGATTGTGTTTCGAGAACCACTCTTCTTTGTTATCAGAGGTGTACGTTATACATGTAACACCATCCAGAAGTTCATTTCCAACTCGGATATAAAAATCGGTTTTGTAATCTTTCTCTTTCAGGGCTGAAACTATTCAATACGTGTTTTGCAGTGCCCCTATAAATCAAATCTGACGCTGAGGTTTGATCCTATCGGTTGAATTTTCTTTATCAGTTTATTAAATTGCATATCTATACAGAAAAGTCATGTGATAAATGCTGGTGTTTTTTATTTTGAAATCTCCACCAAAACTGCTTTTATCTTTGACAAGTCACATGTAAACAAACTGTAAAAAGTTGTATTTATTTTTCATGTGAAACTGCAAAACTGGATTAACAGTCCACTTCTTTTCTGTGATATAACGCAAGGGACCATTCACTGTACCAGTTCATTAAATCTGATTTGCAGTAGCAGTACTATTACAGCGCCCGCCCTTTAAAATGCTTGCAAGCGTCTAACAAATAACTCCGGGGTAAAGTGATACAGTTTTTAATAAAGCCCATACAAAATATGTCACTGATACGTGCCCCATTTGACCCAAGCTAGATATAAATCGTGTTGCTTGGCATTGAATTTCTTGTATATAGACATTGGTGGTAGGTCAGGCGTAAAACACATGCTCTATTTAACCCGGTTGCTAGGGACTCGATTTACACTGAAAAAAGTCAAGTGGGCCATCTGTCTCTGCACAAAGTTGTTTTCACAAAAATGTTTAATATTTTGTATGTTGTCGTCGCCTCAGGCAAATCGTAGAAAGCAAACCTAGTTAAGTAAACGAACTAAACGCTCAATCGAATTTTTTCGTTTTCCCCCGTTTTGCTTGTTGAAATAAACTAGCCGCATTGGGAGCATTCCATCAAGTACTGTATAATATGTAGTTCAATATGTCCTATACGTGTATTTAACTTTTCCCCATGAATCACTCTTCGGAGCTGTGACAATTTTAAAGTCATTTTGACTGAAAGACGAACCCATTGTTAACTGATATTTGCGATATTCTGTACACTTGATCTATCTTACCGTGTAGTTACACAGATGACTTCTCGTCCCTCTCATAATTCCCATATAAGGTCTACTACACAAGTGTGTATGTAGCTGTACGTATATTAACGGTGTGATGAAAACACAAGGTCTTACCTCATAATCAAGGGACATCACTTACAACAGCTGCTGCTCTTCTGTGGATGCTATGTATCCCACTGGAATCACGATACACTACTTTAATCTTTTTCTTCCTTTCAGATCTGAACACTTTATTTTGCCCACTTTAGTAGCTCAAGTTTGTCGTTATTCCAAATAGAAATCTTGCCGTGAAAAGCGTATCCTTGAGCATAATATAATATCAATATTGTCATTGATTTAGTACGCTCACAAATAATCTCCCCATTCCGGCAGTGTCTCTTGGTTGCTCACAGTGCTCAGTGGATTGCCCTATATCTCAGTATAACTGTCGAACTCGACCCCGACCAGCTAAAATGATATAAACATCTGAGCAGATTAGCTTAGTGACTTTAAAATGAGACCAGTCTTAAAACGCGTCCTATAGATCGTCTCGGATACAATCCAGTGTCATCCCTTTCAAAGGACGTTTTCAATATTTGCTTCGCCCTTGTAACCTATACGGATTTGTTTGTTTGATACGTCAGTGTACAAAATGTCGTCCTTTGCCACTTACGAATTTAATATTTAATCCGTAAAGCCTCGAGAGAAACAAGTACGAGTGGTTCCTCGCTTTACATATGTTGAGCTGCTTTTCAAGCAACTTTTCATTTCTTATATTTGCTCTAGTTAAGTGCGGGGCGGAGATTAGATATGCTGTTAGGAACTTTTCAAGGCATTGTAGACAGTACTAGGTTGGCTGGGGCCGGCGCGGACGCGGGCGCGGGCGCGCGCGAGCGCCGGGGGTGGTGTGTGTGGGGTATTGCATATCATAATACGTGTATCTATAACAGCGCGAAATAACTTTAAGGCTCGAGATGATGATAATGATATGAATACATAAAATAACATATCTTGTCGACCTGACCTTTAACACGTCGTCTTAGGATTCAGTGCTTGTACATTACAGTATTTGTTTGTCCCAGGGTGATGCTGATAATGAAGTTTTTTTTTCGTTTCTCATTTATATTTGATCCAATTTAATTTAGTGCTCTTCTGTAGATATGTATAAGGCTTGAGAGAATAAAAATGTGGCAGTAATTTTGTAAAGCACTTTGCAAGGCTTGCATGTGATTTCACATTTTGGGGTAAGGCATTTTCTTTACTCGCAAAGATAATTTACACATTGCCAAAATCACCGTACACCTGCAACTTCTGATAGCAATAATACCTGAGTATTGTTCTATAAACACCCATCGGATTTGGAATTACACATATCATGGGCATTAAGTCTGGGATTTTACCGGTAGGCCCTTATTACCTCAGTACCAACAATTCGCCCCACGTATTCACCGATGATATAATCTAATTCCTCATCAAATTCTTTTTTAATTAGACTGTGGACACGGTATTACTTCAGTTACGTACATATTAAATACATATCTCAGTTGTCACTGTCTTGTCTTTATCAGTTGAGGTGTAACTCACCCGATTTCTTTACCTTAAAGATTACTCCGTCACCTAATTAAATTCCTTGTCGTAAATGTGAGCTTAATAGACAAGTAGTCACGTAAGCGGTGTCTTGTGTTTGTTTGTAGATATATCAGTGTTTTTATGTAGTTAGGAGACCATTAAAAGAGAGTCAGCGATAGAAAAAGTCAAGTAAACGTTGGACTGATACGCGTTAAAATAAGCAAAGGAGCTGGAGTGTGTGGGAGTTTTTTTTAGCCCCCCCCCTCCCCTTTTATCAACCACGTGCGTCATAAGAGAAGGAAGAAGGGGATTGAGGGGAATCCGTTACCTCTATTTCTTTTCAGTGATTACCCCCCCCCCCCCCCCCCGCAAATAAAATTAGCTTCAACTTCCTAAGCGCCTGATGAAACACAAAAAAACGACTCCTCACTACTTCGTTTTTTATTCTCTAGTTATATGTAGGGCAAGATATCAGAGGCAAATGTAAAAAGAGATGGAGGTTGTTAGTGCTCAACTGTCCAGCAGTATTAAACTTTTCCTTTCATTCCGAAAAAGGAAATGAGCTACATGCCTTAGCCTTGCACCATTAAAAACATATTAGGATTCATTACAGACTTCCGAATTCTTTCTTTTTCTTCCACATTGGGTCACGTATATGCTACAATGTATATATATGTTATGGACTTTGTGTCTTTGGTTTATTCGGTAAAATTCTTATCAGTCTTTTTTTTTTATTATGTAGATCATTCTAACATATACAATAATTTAATTGATTCTCGTGTTTTTTCAATGTCCAACAGTACACTGTATGTACTCAATAATGTAGAACTTCAACCTTTCCGTGGTAATTTTGAATACATTATTGGAGACTAGCTATCTATTTCCAATTTCCACATTGATTCGTGTCGTTTTGTAAATGACACGATGTAGAACTGTTCAGTCAAATATAAACCACATTGGTTATATTATAATTATATTAATTCAGCCAATGTATCTGCTTGGCTTATTCCTCTGTCGCCAGTAAAAAGCACCCCTGAGAAGAGTTCTCTAAAAGCACAAGTCTCTGTGAACGTAGTCAGGCCTGTGAGCGTGATTTACCTGACATTAACTATAAATTAACACATAAAAAATATTGCAACCATACCTATTATTTTAAGCATCGACACATACGTACCATTAGTCCATCCATTCTATGTTGCCGTCATGTTATGGATTTTATGTCTCAGTAACGCGAGCTGTATGGTTAAATGCACACCTTATTGCGACTTTAACCTAACAAAACGATCAATGATTTACTTTGGAAACACCATTTATTTTCCAGGTATTTTCTGTGTGATTATGTAAATATTCTTCAATATAACATTGAACGGTTTTCCCTTGACGCGTCTCTTGTGTTGGAAGAGCCTGAAGAGGAAAAGGAGTTGGCATCGTTCTGTGTTGTTGCCTCAGCTAAAAGGCTCGTATTTTCTGCATACCCAGTAGACTCAACTATCGATTTCTTTTGTTTTATTCGTCATCAAAATGATAATTCCCTATTGTTTATTGCATAATAATATTATCACGTTATCAGGAGTGAAATGCTGTGATTTCATATAATATTAATAAAACGACGCATTAAGATTCATTAGATGTGGTTTCTTTCATAGGCTCTATAAACTACTGTAACATGCATCCTAATTTGCACCTCCTTTCTATCAAAAGGCAGTTTTAAAAAAGTTTTGACCCATGCATGTAAAGTGCATCAGTAAATAATGAGGAGCACGCGCGATGTCACTTTGACGGGGGTTGGGGGGGGGGTTGGGGGGGTTGTTATAATTTGCAATAGAGTTATACCTTAAATGAAAGGGGTTTGGTAAAATACTCGAAAAATATGTTGGATGGCAATTGTCAACCCCTCATATACATTGTCGGTATTACACTTTTCTTATGCTAAGTCTCTGATACCTGGGGAGCCGTACTGGATTTTTAGATAAATACACACATTTCGAAACCGAATAATTGCAAAATTCAATAACTGCATTCAGAACAAACACAATTTTTTTTTGCAGTATGTTATGTTTCAGTATAAATTCCACGTGTGTATTAAAGTCGCAGTTATATAGAGGAGACTAATGGCATGTCAACTTTCATGCAGACACTTACAGTCACACCGAGTCAACACAGAATGTATGCAGTCTTCATTAAGTAAATAAAATCCTACCAAGGTTTATTTAGTTAAAGATTTAATACCAGAAATGAATATATAATGATTATTCAAACGCACGCTCTCTATGCTCAGGTCTGAGATATGACGATTCTCTCTCTCTCTCTCTCTCTCTTTCTCTCTCTCTCTCTCTCTCTCTTTCTCAAAGTCACACACAAATCACAATTAAAGAAACCAAAATGAAAAATGTAAACACTTAAAGGCAAGCAGTGCGAAATTATATTTCTTTCACGCCGAGTCCCACCTAGGAGTAAATTTCCCGACATTGTTGTACTGATATGATATGATATGAGAGCTATTATGTCGTGAAGCATATTTGCCAATTTATGCACCAGTAGGCCCTACAAGGAGTGGGGGGCCTATAATGTGAATTTGAAAGTTAATAGTAATAATAATAATAATAATAATAATAATAATAATAATAATAATAATAATAATAATCTAGAAACATGAAAAACGAAATAGTTACATGTGTAGCAATGAAACAATCAAAAAATATATACTGTAAATATACATAAATTACATAAATTACATGCCTGTGTCATGCTCCACACAATTTAAAAATGCCAAAATTAAATTTCTTCCTTAGAATTTACAAAAGAGATGGGCGTAATACAGTTATTGAGAGGAGATGTTATAGAATAAATGAGAAAAGAGGGAGAGAGAAACTACGTGATGGAGCTTGGTTGTACATGTAATATCCTGCTAACATTGAACAGATTGTGCTAGATGAGATCAATGTGGATATTGCGCAATCATCATCTCAATGACATAACAAGCGTCAACAGTTTAAGGATGTAGATNGAGATTATAGGTGACCTAAATCCAAGAGATGGGTACGGAGGCCCTTACCGTCTAGGAGGAGAAGCGGTAACGGTGACTTGGCCACAGAGCTGGCAGAGCCAATGGAACATACCGGTCGGGACTAAAACCATGGGTACCGCCAGCGCCTACGCTGGTGGTACAATAAAATGCTAACAATGTTGCTAATGTGAATGGTTGAAGTCCTTATAAATTATTGAACTCTCAAACAACAGTCATGTTACATGTACTTCCTAATGAACCAAAATGAAGTATAAGAATGCTGAAATAATTTCTGACAGCTTCATGATGTACATGTCAGTTAAATCATATCTGACAGCAATAAGACAACCCTGCATACTGTCTGCTTTGAGTCAGTAAGGGTCGATCCCGATGGTCAGCTCCAATTTCTCCTTACATCTATATCCTTTATGTTAAAAGTTGCTTCTATGAAAGGTTGAACTTATGATTACACATTAAAGGTACATACGAACCGAGCATCGGTGGAGTGTGGAGTCCCAGTAACACATGTAAACCACTTCTACTAGATTCTTATATGACTCAAATAATTTCGACATGCCAAAGGATAAACTGAATAGATCACTCGATCGGCCATTAAAGACCTTTAGACTGCTCCTTTCTTTAAATTTATGGTTGTAAATTTAACCTACTTCCGTGACCTACTTTCCTGCCCCATTGACATACAGCTTAGAATACCAGCAGAAAAATCTGTTCAAACATCACTTTGGGGTAAAATTAAACAATGCCTTTTGGTAATTCTCTTAGTTATACTACTTGTAACTATATGCTGGCATTTGGTTGGTTTTTGTGACAAAAAATTGACTTTGTATGCATCTTTAAACTCTCTAAAACTATAACTGTTATTACCCAATGAACAAGAAAAATGAAGTACAAGATAACTGAACTAGCTTCTGACAATTCCACGATGTTGGGATAAGTCAGGATTTCACGTCTTTGGACTGTCCTGAGTTTATATGGGTCGATCACGCTGATCAGCTGAAATTTTCACAAGTATATATATATACTTTTCCTTTTGGTGTACTTGATCGCGATATGAAGTTTACTTTATTTTATGTGGTTTTCCTATATTTACGCTACTATTCCCCGTCGTTCTTTCCCTCCACTATGGCCGCTGGACTAGTGTTACGGAGCAAATATGACGTCACTGTAATGGGTTAATAGAATGCAATTTTTACTGAAACATTGACGTACCTACAAGTTACATCTCAGAGGAACCTCAGCACACTAAATCTACCATCATCTGCCACTCACGCAGTATAAATCATGAAGATATTTGATGAATAAAACAATGAATCCTCGCCCTGAGTAAAAGTTAAAGAAAGAACACATACATGTACCTAGCATCCAGTTGAGGGGGGCTTCCGGGTTCACGGTAACCTATAACGCAGGTAAGACGAGATCATTGCCGGTAAAGATATATATATATATACAGAAGCCCCCCTACCATCAGTAAATGTCCTTTTGTGCAAAACTTCATTTTATTGGGGTATTTTGTAAAAATGTGAACAGAAGTATCTTCAAAGTCTCTCCATATCTGATTATTAGCCCACCAGTAGTAGGCGCGTGTTAGTAGTCCTCAAACAGTCGGAAAAGCCCCCATTACCGGTGACCCCGAAGAAGCAATCTGAAAATGACCACAGAGCGACGGCATGGAGTTTATTTGTGGATTTGGGTTGTTCTGCAAGGTAATATAATATCTAATTTTATGCGTAGCTTAATTAATTTGTATGAAGATTTTTTTTGTACAGGATCCATCCCCTTTTCAAATTAAATCCTTTATTCTCTCATGAAGTGTTAAAATATGTAAACTACCAGTACAACCACTCGTAGGTGCAGAAGAAACACAGCAAGGAGAATCCAGTAAGTAGTAATACTCAAATATCAATTGTCATACTGTGAAAGACAGTAACCCTTACAAAACGTAAAATGTTGTGGGAGTACTCCCGGAATATAGCCTGAGTACTCCGGTGTGGCGTGTACCGCTCAGAGCGTGAACCATCTCCAGAAAGCATGTCGCCGGTGGGCCGACGTTGGGCCGCCGACTCCAACTACGTCGGCCCACCAGCTACTGTCGCCGGTGGGCCTACGTTGGCCTGACCATCGGTCCAACGTTGGCCCACCAGCGACATATAGCTTGAGCGGCCCAACGTTGGCCCACCGGCGACAAGTAGCTGGTGGGCCGACGTAGGTCCACCGCTTTTATCTATTTTTTATTTTCTTTATTATTCATTAATTAATTGATTGATTAATTTTTTGATAATTATATTCTCATTATTATTGTCATATATAATGGACAAAACACAATGTAATATTTCAAGAGTGTTTATTCTTCTGTAATATTTCTTTCATTTGAACGAAACATGCATGTCAAATGTAATGCTTACATAGTCAAACAAGTTTAACTGTCAAAAACATATGCATATACCAGTAGGTCCATTCAGCAGTACAGGGAAATAAATTTTCTTATATTTTCAAATCCATAGGCATACCAGTCTAATGCAGTCTTTACTTGCAGCAAATAGCACTATGTAGGAACAATATTGTTCATATCACAAAATGTTCAAACAACAACAAAAAATTCTAAGTTAACTCTATTCAGTACTCTAACTGCAACATATCTGTTTGAAATATCCAAGCATAAGTGCTTTAATTTCTAGTCAGAATAATTAAACGGTCAAAAACGTCATATACATGTTCATGTAGATCCAAGCACAGTTAGTCTATGTCTTTGGCAAATATCCCCTCACCTTAATTAATAGTCAATCTTTACTAAGGTACTCTGAAGTATCGAATAAAAGTACTGATGGAATAAAAGTACTGGGTGGAAAAAATCTCAAAATTTAATAAAAGTACTGATGGAATAAAAGTACTGGATGGAAAAAATCTCGAAATTTAATAAAAGTACTGGATGGAATAAAAGTACTGGGTGGAAAAAACCTTNCTGGCATTTGGTTGGTTTTTGTGACAAAAAATTGACTTTGTATGCATCTTTAATAGATAAATCTAGCCAGTGGCGATTTTAAGGGGGTTTCTGAAAAAAAAATGATGTTTTAAGAAGTCACTCAGGTAGTTGGCGATGCAACTCCACATAGTGTTGATTTTACTAACGTTCATAAAAAGTCCAATATAACCACTCTTCATTTCTGCGATCTAAAAATTCGACTCATATTTAAGAAAATTGGACATGTCTACACGGGGATATTGAAAACAGGCCAAGATACCATTCTATAGTCCTCCGAACGTAAAATCGGTGGTGGCACAGTGGTAAGGACGTAGTGTCTACAAGCCAAAAGTGTCGGGTTCAAATCCCAAACTTGATGTGTGTTTTGCTTTTATTTTGTGTTTAAAAAATATTTTAACTTCAAGACAAAGAGTACAGGTAAATACATCAGGTAATGCATTGATCACTGTGTCGTCGTCGGTGGCGCAATTGGTAGCGCACGTGGTTCTGAAGCACTCTTCGATACCGACGAAGGCACGAAGGCGCCTGGGGTAGGCTAGGTGTAGACCAGGCTAGGTGTAGGTTAGATCAGGCAAAGGTGTAGGTCAGTCTAGGAATAGCCTAGGAGTCATTAAGAGCTAGGATTAGGAATATAGTTTAAAAATCCAAATAGGCATTGAAAAATAAGTTAGAAAATCCAATAGGTATTTAAGAATCAAATGAATAAGATATTGTTGTGAAAGAAAGTTATTTTTTAATTTTTTTCTGACATTTCCTATGATGTGCTTTAATTTAAGTGTCAACTAGCAGGATAGAGTGCATACTACAGCCGTTTTTTAAAGCAAATATTAATAATAAAAACAGATACAGTCAAAAAAATATTAACAAGTGAAGTAATTTAGAAGACGTTTGATATATTAAGAAAGCATTGATCGATCGTCAAAAACATCTCAGTAGATGTTTTAAAAAGTCTTTCAGGTAGTTGGCGATGCAGTTCCTCATAGTGTTGATTTTACTAATGTTCACAAAAAGTCTAATGTAACAACTCTTCACTTCTGCTATCTAAAAAGCCGACCCACGTGTAGGAAAATTTGAAAGCTTTGTGAGGGGGGGGGGATAGTGAGTACAGGTAAAGGTACTATTCTACACCATCGTCAACATAACACCGTTGATGGTACAGTGGTTAAAGTCATTGAAATTTGAGTTTGTTGGTAGCGGGTTCGATACTAGCTTTAGAGCTTCACTTTTTTTTCAAAAATGTTTAAATATTTTAACTTCATAGACAAAGAGTACAGGTAAATAGGCCCTATACCAGGTAATGCTGTCATCAGCGTGTCGTCGTCGGTGGCGCAATTGGTAGCGCACGTGGTTCCGAAGCATTCTTCGATACCGACGGAGACACGAAGTCGCCTGGAGTAGGCTAGGTGTAGACCAGGCTAGGTGTAGGTTAGATCAGGCAAAGGTGTAGGTTAGTCTAGGAATAGCCTAGAAGTGATTATAAGCTAGGAGTATGAATATAAGTTAGAAATCCAAATAGGCATTAAAATATAAGTTAGAAGCCAAATAGGTATTTAAGAATCAAATGAATAAGATACTGAAAAAAAGTATTTTTAAATTTTTTCTGACATTTCCTATTATGTGCTTGGATTAATTTTAGTGTCAACTAGCAGGATAGAGTGCATATTACAGCCGTTTTTATTTCTTTCTTTTTTTACCGGGAAGTTTGAAAGAAAAAAACATGTTGACTGAAAACATGTTGACTAAGTTCTTAGCCATGGTAATTTTTTCACCTGCAGTTACCGACCTTTAAAGATTTGTCTCTTACATATCACATGTTTATTTTAAAAAAAGTGTTTTCATAAAAGTAAATATTAATAATAAAAACAGATAGGCCCTACAGTCAATAAAATATAAAAGGGATAATAACTCTTCGTATGAGATCTATATTTCACCATAAAAACATTGTGAACAACTCATAGAAATATAATATATTCTGTTGTACAACAAAAACGGCAGTTATACATGTAGCTATTATTCTGATTTCTGAGCTTGTCTTTAGACCAAGTGACCTCCACTGACGGCTATACTCTGTTATTATTTCTTAAGAGATTGAAAAAAAAAAACTTAAAAAAAAAAAAACAAAAAAAAAAAAACAGGGACTAACTTTGAATGTAAAAATGGATTCATTAATCATTGGTAAGTATGGGGAAATTGTTGTTTACTCCAGGAAAATTCATTTCTTGGCCAAATAAAAAACGAAAGGTAGGCCTACTATTCTACAACCTAGTCGTATTAACATCGTCGATGGTACAGGGGGTAGAAGCGCCGTCGGAAACTAAACCCCTAGTACCGGGGAATAGCCTAGGAGTGAGCTAGGAGTAGAAATACAAGATAATAATCCAAATAGGCATTGAAAAATGAGTTAGAAAATCAAATAGGTATTTAAAAAATAAATAAATAAATAAATAAGATAGGCCTACTGCTGTGAAAGGAATTAATTAAGTTTCAAATTTTTCTGACATTTCCTATGATGTGCTTGGTTTAACTTTAGTGTCAACTAGCAGGATAGAGTGCATACTACAGCCGTTTTATTTCTTTTTTTTTTTTGTACCGGGAAGTTTGAAAGAATAAAACATGTTGACTGAAAGTGTGACAACATAAAATTATGGGGCAGGGTCATGGTAATTTTTTACACCTGCAGTTACCGACCTTCAATGGTTTGTCTCTTACATATCCCATTAAATTTTTTTCATAAAAGCAAATATCAATAATAAAAACAGATACAGTCAATCAAATATTAACGAGTGAATGCATTTAGAAGTCGTTCAAGTATTTAACAATTTTGTACAAGCTGAGATAAAAACCGGTCTTGTCTTGCTTGACCTTTGCCATTCCAATCACCATATAGCACCCTTCGCAAAAAGCCTACAAGCTACACAAAGACATATATTTATAAGCCAATGACGCCATAGCTCTAAACACACCTGTAGTATTATTATAACAACTGAAATTTGTCAGATAAAAACCTCGGGGATATCATTTACAACGCATTTATGCAAATGCAGCACCGGAATTTCCGAGGTCGCTCCAGAGGGTGTGACGTCAGCGGAAATACTCGACCACAACTAATACACTGCCATGGCGGCCTTGAGTTGAGCAATACCGACCTGACACGGATATTTTCACAAAATGCAACCGCCACCAAGAAAGGTAAGTGAATTTTATGCACTCGAAGCATTAAAAATCTTACAGATAAGTCCACTAGAAGTTTTGGAGGTGTTTCGCTCATCCGATCGTCTGCTGTTGTAGGTGAAATCCACTGTCCAACTCAAGAACGTACAGAATGAACAAGTGACAAAACTTCAAGCCAAGCACCAGGCCGAAGTTGACCTGTTGGAAGATTTAAGGTAAGAAGGCTTTTAATTGTGACTTTATAGAAGAAGACAAGAACCATGTGTGCAGTTGGCATATCATAAGATTACATTGAGAGACTATTCTGAATCACACGAGATCCACACTTCTATTACTTCAGTAAGTGGCGGTAGGGCAGGGGGCGGTGTCTTTAATTGGCTCTTACGCTGAAATCCCTCTCCGGAGATTTTGATATTTTTTATAATCGTATGATATGACTGCACGTACTGGAATAGGCATGAGTGGAATTTGAAAGATGCCAATTATCATCGCATAGCAGGTGACACAAAATCCTGAGGGTACATTTCAATGTGTCAGTCAAACACCTAGCTAGTAACTGTAAGAGTACTGTACTGTACCCAGTATATCAATGACAATTTCTCTTGGCATTGTAAGATATCTTAATGGTTTTAAATGACATTTTTATTCATAGACATAATACATACTTTAATTTGATAATCAGTTGTGCAAACCAAAATTTATTTCCTTGACGACACAAAAAAACTAAAAATAATAAATATTATGATTGGCATCAAGAAAGCTTAATCTTGGAATGGGGTTTGTGAGGGGAGGGGGATATAATTTGGGGTAGATTTCCTCCCTTGCATGTGATAGAGAAAGTCCAGAGAATTACTGACTTTTATATGAAATAATCAAAACAATTAATGGAAGTGGGAGATTTCCATCCTGTTTAGGTTTTTGTTTCTATTCTCGGATAACATAATTTTTGATTTTACTTAAAATTAGGATTCATCAGTGTGGAAAGTAATCAGATTGCTACCATATTTTTCAATCAAAATAATGCCCAGGCTCTGACAAGCTTTAAAGACCACAGTGCAATGAATTAGTTAATAAGACTATGCCTCCTTCTTATCTGATTTATTATCAAAGTGAGCAAACACGTCAAGGGTTAGATAAGGGCTCTGCTTCTGTGGTGGCAAGGGTTGAAGAGGAATCAAGCATGTTTTGCCTCCCTCTTTTACATTAATAGTGGCATTATTTAAAGAATTACTGGAGGATCAGAACATGAAGTTTAGTCTGCATACTTGCACTCTTGAAATTTTATTAAAACTACTTTTTTATTTATATTTGCTACAACACTGTTTTATGAAATGCTAATTTATAGGAGTACATGAGAAGGAATACTGAAAATATATAAAGATTAGTAGTATGTGTATTAGGAATGTGCAATATTATATAAGTTGTTTATTGCTGCTAAAAATAAAAATTATAATAATTATTTAAATGTTAAATAATTATATAAATGAAAAGGAAAAACATAGACCTATATATAGACACTAATTTCAACATTATGATATTACTAGTACTGTTCTCAAGAATTGTTGCCAACCATCAACTGTCGCACAACAATCTGCCTTCTTGGCGTCCACTTTACTAATGAGGTATTCCTGTTCTCTAATTGATTTTATTGTGTTTGTGTAAGGATAATAACTCTCAGTATAATCAAAGTGGCAAATGAGGAGCAATCTGTGCACAAATTCAAGCTAATGTTGTTTTAATGGACAGTTGGGTGTTCCTCTTTTAAGCAACTAAAAACTACTTATATATTCTGCTCATTTGGATAGTGCGCACAGTACATCATTCCCTATTATATAAATATGGATTGATTTTACCAGACTATTATTTGACGATATTCCAAAGAGGAAAAATAGTGCTTTCATAAAAAAATTGATACCTGCACAGATTTTGTATGATGTTATTTAAATTATAACTGTCACGTCGTTTGCACCTGTTTTTGTCTCAGGTTAAGATAATGTCGGACATATCTCTACATATCTGAAGTTTTTATATATAATCATTAAGCGTTGTTACATGGCAGGGAAGGTAGCAGGTGGTGGTATAATGGTATGCAAAATCTCCCATCTGTTCTCAGATGAATTAAAAGCAAAGTTGAAGTTGTTGGTACATGGAGATTATTTAAAAGATATAGGACTAGTATGTTCCCTAAGAATGTCAGATGCCTTGTGTTTTCTGAACTTGGAGTTTTAATTTGTATTTCAAGTAAAGTTATTGTTGTGGTTGTCAGGAAAAACTTTTTTTCTGAAATAAGCTTATTACGCAGAATTTCCTTATAATAATTTTAAGGAAGTAGTGACAAAACATTGTTTTGGAGAGTCAAATGTATTAGTTTTTGTTTAAACTCAGAGAGAAATTGTCATAGTACCAGTGGTGTGTAAATTAGATGTATGTTTTTGTGCAGAATGACAAATTTGTTTATAACAAGACCGATAAAAAAGCGTTGACATTTCTGATGGGAATTTAAATTCTATAAATGGCCCCTCAAAAAGATTACTTACAGCCCTTGCTAGTTTAGTGCACATAACTGTACCGGAAATATCCTTAGACCCAAGATTAAGTGTACATACAAAGTCAATACCCAAGTCATCTGAATATACATGGTCATTCAAAACTGTAGTTTCATCATGGTCCCCTTCTGGGATTATTAATGGCACTCTTTCAAGGAAGTTTCGCAATGAAGCTTTTCTCAATCAATGAATCTTGGTATATTCATGCTATTTCTCTTATTGATTGAAGAATTCTTGTGCTCTATTTTTCAGAAACTTTAGATAGATGATTTCAGGCTCTGGACGTTTTTGATAGAAGTATACGTAGTATTGCATGCACTTAGATTATTCTGTGATTTTATTTTGACAAAGTAAAAGAACACAGCTGAAATGTGAAAATTCCAGTTTTCTTTGTCTCATCATGTGGTAGTATTTTGTTAAATACATGTATTTAAAATAGTGATGTTTACTGTAACTCAGTTCTGCATCTCTCATAGGTTTTACCAGAAGTGTATTAAATGTCCTTAGGAAAAATGTACTGTATAAGAATAAAAAAATTAAAATTAAGCCCATAAATCCCCACATTTTGAGACTGGTAGCACAATCCGATCTACAGTGAATTCTGGATCATTCAGTGTCACATCTGGTACAGTAGTTGGGTAGACCTGAGTAAAATGGCTAACATGCAGGGGGGGTATCAAGAGGTTTTGAGCCTCACATAGAAATTATATAGCAATATATTGGGATTTATGTGTTTTTATGGGGCTTGAATCGCCAGCCCAAAGAGTTTTTTCACCCTGGGGAAAAAGGCTGAATTTGTTGAGGGCTAGGTAGTCTTTGGTTATTATAAATTTTGTCATACACATATCATACACTGTATGTATACAATTCTTATAATTAATATTTTATATGGTTTTTCTCTGAAATTGATTGAAAAGTCAGTTTGAGATTCTGTTTATTAATTCATTATTTATGTTTCCAGGAATTTTTCCAAGCAGAGATCAGTCATAGAAAAGGACTATGCTCAGGTAGGTTTTTATTTTAACTACAGGTAATAAGTAATCAGTAATTATTCAGCACAGATCCATGTCAAAGCTCAGGTGATCCATAAGGTGTTCAATTAGTGACCAGCAGAAAACCCTTGCAAAGTCCAAGCCAGCCATGGCACATAGCAACTTCTTGTCACATCAAAAAAAAAAAAAAAAAAAAAAAAAAAAAACATGTCATAAAACTTTATATGTATGTACAATACACAACCACAAAACTATTCACTGTGACTGTATATACCATTTTCTTGTGTTTATGAAGTGAAGACGAGGCCATTTTGGATCTCTGTAGTACATGTATTGTAAATTTCAGGTACCAGTACTAGTGAGCGAATGCCCCTCTAAATGTTATGGGAAACATTTAGAACTAATTTAATTAATTAAAAATTACTAAATTCATCTTATCAAAGTGCAGGGATGGTTTCAAACAATGATTCATGGTTAGGAAAAAACTGCTTTTTTTCCTCAGGAAAAATTCAATTTGTGGGAAAAATCCTTGATAGGACACCTGTAAGACTAATATGTGCATTGCCAAGCTTGACAATATATGAAAATAAACTAATAAACTGATTATTTACTGCATTGCAACTAAGTATCATCATCATGGCAGTTTTATTGTCTGAAGCCTCTAATGCAACCCTGGGTAATTTCCTTCTTATAAAGTGCATACCTCAATTATTTTTCTTTACCAGAAGATTAATGAACTTCCTTATCATGGAAATCAAGCCTTTAGTACATCCATCAGCTGTGAAGTATATATGCAGCTTCCATTGCATATTTGTAATCTGAAAGAATAGAAAAGATAAAGAAGTTAACAATTTGGAAAAAAAAGGGTTTATTTATTGCAAATAAAAGTAACCCAACAAAGAAATGACCATGCAAGTTAGATGAAAATGAAAAGCACATGAGATATGCTTTTAAAAAAGAGAAAATACAAAAAAAAAGGAACATTGCAGTGATGTGTGAACACTTTCGAAAACAACTACTGACAATGAAAGTGAATGTTGTGCTTGACATGCTCTACTTAATGCAAAATTAAGATGTCTCTAACTTTTATGGTTTCAGAATTAGAGAGAATTTTCCATTTCAGCATCTTATGGCTGCTTCTCCTGTGAAAATGCCCCAATTGAGCCCCAGAAAGTTGGGTCACATTCTTGTTCAGATACCTCTTCAGAGAAAAAAGGAAGTGATATGATGAAATTTGCCACCTATCAAGTGCTAAAAGACAAATTTAAAAGCAAACAAACATATAGACTGTCTGACATACATGAACAAAAAAAACTCTGTTTAAAAAAAAAGGAAATTATAAACATACAGCAAAAAACAGTTACACCAGCCACAAGAGAATGTGTGGGTAATATTTATTGATATATTTGACCTTTGGGGAAGCATCCATCTGCTAACTTGGCAGTTGTATTGATCCTTAAACTAAGACTATCAATACTACATTAAATTTTATAGTGCTGGCAGTATAGGATAATACTATAGTAACTGAAGAGAGGGAACTTCCTGCATATTTACCTCCTGTGGGTTGCCTTGTGGTACACAAGGGAAGTATCAGCTGGAAGGCTGTTTTCAGAGAAGCTCAAAAGTTTTAAAAAGACCTCAAGAGACCGCTCTCACATCACATGATGTCATCACACCTCTTGTGTCATGCTTTGTATATTTCTTTTCATTTAGTTCCTGTGTTCTTCTACCGGTATACACTTAAACACACACACACACACACATGCACACATGCACACACACACACACACACACACATGCACACACACACACACACACACACACATGCACACACACACACACACACACATGCACACACACACACATACCAGTGCCACACACATACCTACATGCACATGTAAAGGCACGTGCATGTTTACTTGTACAAACTGGTATGCACATACACACATCATCTACAGCACATTTTCATGTACACTTTTGCATGTATAACCATACACAATCACACACTTTTGCACATGCATCTATAGATATACTTGGTTCACTTGAATTCACTTCAGTTTCACATTATAACACTTGCACCTACTAGTATGCATACTTTCACATGTATGTATACAAATGTACATTTACATCCAATAGGACCAAATGCTGAGAAACTCTTGCAGAGTGGGCATACTTGGTTATTAGAGTTCTCATGGGGACAGCGCGCTGTGCCGAAGGTTCGCTGTGCCGAGGGTTCACTGTGCCGACAAAACCGGAAAATTGGTCTAAAATCGGCTAAGTTTTTCCGGAGCCCCAAAATCAAAGGTTCGCTATGCCGATGGTTCGCTGTGCCGAAAGGGTCGCTGCGCCGAGGGTTCGCTGCGCCGAAAAAGTCGGCTACCCATCACCCATTGTGCTTGTTATGTAACGTGGCGAGCAGTGGCCTTTTTTGAAAATAAACGAGTTTTAAAAGTTCTCTTCTTCCATCCGTACCATTTGGATTTGTTAAAACTGCGCATTGAAGGTTTATCCTTATGGACATAAACATCTTAAATCGCTTTAAATAATCAGTTCTGTAAGTTAATTTATTAATTATTTTTGGCACTATGGGTGTCACCCACATTTAGGAAATTACTGACAAGAAAACATTCTCTAATTATTTTTGGCGAACTTGTTGTAGTTATTGGGTGTGTGTAAAATTAACATCTTTTTAAAAACAATCGGCATAGCGAACCCTCGGTATAGCGAACCTTCGGCTCAGCGAACCCTCGGCATAACGAACCTTCGGCATAGCGAACCCTCGGCACAGCGAACCTTCGGCATAGCGAACCCTCGGCACAGCGAACCTTCGGCATAGCGAACCTTCGGCATAGCGAAGCGCACCCGTTCTCATTAATCTGCTCCCTGTCCTCCAGCACCTATATACACCACAGACTGACAGTGTGACACATGTTACAGGGGCGGATTTAGGCCGTCTTCTGGGTCTTCTGGAAGACGGTCAGATTTTCAAGTTTACATTGTCAGCCATCTAATGTTTTCTGTCGGAAGACGGTCAAAAATGGAAGATGGATCAACAAAGATAATTTGGAAAACTGTCAGAAAATATCTCTGGATCCGCCCCTGTGTTACACATAGCTTAAATAGAGGTACATAATGGTATGTCTGACAGGTAGAAGTCATAGTAAAGGTATGTCATCTGAGAGTATATTCATAGCTCAAATTCCAGAACTAGTATATCACAGTGGCTGTACTAGTAGTACTAGTACATGAGTCATTGGACAATAGGAGGATACAGACTGTCTTGTTGTGCTCTAGTTATTGCAGCATGAGGAAATGTGGTGTAGTTAATAAAAATGTGGTTGTCCTTGACTGTATTCAATTTGATAATGTAAAGCTATGTGGTATAATATCCTTGGCTGTTTTCACTCTGGGACTTCAACAGAAAGGGGGTCTAAAGTCTAGTTATAATATTGTAGCATGATATGAGGCTGTATTCAGGACTTATGTAGAGTGAGCTAGGATCTCTATCTCACCCTGCTTTCCTTAGGTAGACTCTAGGGAGGACGTAGTATGTCAAAAGTGTTAAAAAAACTGCCAAAGAGACTGCTGTAGCCCAGTTTCTTTTTTTATTTGTCTTTTTCAAAATTTCACATATGCCTGCATATTGCCTTCTTTGAAAACGGTAAACATTCGCCTTTGGACATAAGTATGAATTATGAAAGAAATCATTATAATATGGCATTTATCAAAGAAATACTTTTATATATGCTGCCCCTTTTAACAATCTGGGTGAAAAATTGGGAAATCCAAATCAGGACGGCAGTGGTAAGGTTTTGAATGCAAAGTACAATATAGAAATGTGAGGCATTTTGTGTAAACATATTTTCAACAGGTGTGTTTACATGGCATACCTTGCATTTGAAGACCTGTTATAAACCACAAATACATCACACACTGTGAATTCAATTTCACACATGTTAAATATTCAGGCCAGTAATGTTATCCTTCTATTTGACATGTCTCCCTTCATATAGTCCTTGAATGGGGGGTGGGGGTGGGGGGGGGGAGGGGGGAGGGAGAATTTGAGTGTCAGGTGTGCCTAAAAGTCATATTTAAGATGTGCATCTATTTAAAGTGATAATGATGAAGGGAAATTAATATGACATGTGCAGATAATTTTCAAAGATATAAACTAAAAAATTTTTAATGAATAAAATTGGTCCCCTTACACTTCACTCCTAGGTTTCTTTATGGTTTATTATTATAATTATGAATGTATATAAAGGATGTCTTTGTAGTTTATCTTGGCTGTTGATAATGTCATCAAGATTTACATACATTGCGTACACACCTAATATGTCCCACGCATTGACTGTTAACATGACCTTCAACTGATTAGACAGAAGACCATTCCTGGAAAACTAGTCCTATTTGTCCTCCTACTGATAAGACAAGACCATTCCTGGAAAACTAGTCCTACCTGTCCTCCTACCTGTCCTCCCACTGATAAGAGACAAGACCATTCCTGGAAAACTAGTCCTACCTGTCCTCCCACTGATAAGAGACAAGACCATTCCTGGAAAATGAGTCCTACCTGTCCTCTAACTTAAAGAACAGAAGACCATTTCTGACTTGTACTACCTGTCACCTTAGGGGGCATTCACATAGAAATTATAGTACATGTACTAGTACTATATTAGGTAGTTTGAACTAACTCCGCAGGGACTCTAGCTGAATACAATCAGATTAACAGGCATCTTCTTGTTTCCAGTGTACGTATTCATATTATCACCTGCTTAGTTGTAGTTGTATCTACTTAACGGCAGGAAGGGGCTTGTTAAGCTGTTTATCAGATTGCACAAAGTGAAAGCCCCAGACACAAACCCACACACACACACACACACTTTACTTTACTACCCATCAGTAGTAATTTAAAATAGAAATTAGGAACTAAAAGCAAAATTACTATTCTTGTAAGCATTCTGAATCAGTTTTTCTTTTTAAATGAAGTGGGAAATTGCTATCTGTTTGGTGGTTATGATTAATCACATGACAAATATTTCAATTTCTTAAGATTAACTGTGATTCTCTCCGAAGATGAAAACGTGCCCATTTATCCAGAGCTCAAATTTTCTAAGTTGAGATATCAGTGTACATGGCTTATATAAATGCTGTGCTCTATGTATCAAGTTGTTTATTTAGTGATACAGTATCATTTAGAGCTATGAAATTTCATATGAGTATATTTACAAGAACATATTTTTGGGACATATAACATTGAAAGTTGAAATGATTTATGCTGTGGTATATCAGGGGCGGATTTAGGCCCTCTTCTGGGTCTTCTGGAAGACGGTCAGATTTTCAAGTTTACATTGACAGGTATCTATTTTTTTCTGTCGGAAGACGGTCAAAAATGGAGGATGGTAAGAAAGATAATTTGGAAGACTATCAGAAAATATCTCTGGATCCGCCCCTTTATATGTCACCAGAGGTTTTAATTAAAATTCCTCTGAAAGAGCCTCTTAACGTTTGTATCAGTCAGGCTCATCAGATTTAATGCGTTTAGGTTTATACTGAGTAATCAACAGTTTGCATTGAATATGAAGCCTCACTTAAAATAAATGTGGTGTTTTAATTTGCTTCTTGTTTTAATGTAACTGTCATTATTGCTCAGGCTGGATGTAAATTACTAGACTAAGTACGTATATTCCTTTGATGTCTCTGTGCCATAGCTGGCTGTTTAAGTAGTATTTAAAAAAAAAGTATTTTCTTTTTTGTCCACAGGCTTTATCCAAACTTGCCACCCAATATTTAACTAAAAAAGATTTCCCAGCTCCCCCTGAGGTTCATGGTGAAGATGGAAAGGAATACAAGTAAGTAGATAGATGAATTTAACTTAAATTTTGGGAAAGTTACTAGTACTTAAATTTATAAATCTTTAAATAAAGAGTTTATATGTTCAGAAAATATATATGAATGATCACTGTGCTGGTACGTAATAATCCTACTCCGTTTCTTAAATTTAATACATACAAACTGCGCTGTTTGATCAAATTGTGCTTGCCTCCTGCAAGACATAATAAGTTGTTCGCTTAAGAATTTCAAAGAATTTACACAATAACTTGTATCATTAATGTTATTGTGTTAATTCTTTGAAATTCCTGCAAGTCTTTCATTCTGACTAACAGACTGAGTATGAGTGATTACGTAGGGAATTGCAATAGATTTCTTATTGTGGTAAACACATGTATATCCCTGACATTGCATGAGAAACAAGTTTGCTGCTTCGCTTTGTGAAAAAAAATCACAGTGTACGTATTTGCTTTATGTATTCAATCTGAGCATGAATTGTCAGCAGAATTCTAAACTGCACATGGCTTAATATGATCATGCAGTGTTTTCTGAATGCACTGTGGTACTCTACCTGTTCTCACCAGATCTAAGTTGGATCAAAAATAGTTCATCATCCTTTAATTTATTTACATTACCATTTGGAAAGTTACAGCATTGACATATCTCATTTTACGTAAATTCATTCTATTTTTGAATGAAATTTTAGTTAACTTGCACTAGCTCCGAGTTCACAGGTGTCAGTAATATGAGAAACAAGCCAGTTCATTCAAGGGTTGTACACTCCTACTAGCTTTAGTAGGCTAGAGCATATGCCCTAAATAGGCTTGTGAAGATGGTTTATTAGCTAAGTGGTATTTTTTGTCTGACATTAAGTGAGTCTTATGCACCCTGAGTTTTAGAAGACAGTGGAAACTCAACTCTGTACTAGTAAATATAATTTAGCTTGTCGGTTTCAATATCTGTTCCACTCACTGCTGGTTTTATAGATGTGAGTTTCCAGTGAACTCCGAAAATCAGGGTCTGCTAGCTGACGTGATATCAGACGTGAAGCATTTTGCAATGATGGTGCACCCTGAGATTGTGGTTTATCTGTTCACTTGGCTAATAGACCATGGAATGCAATCACATTGTGTGCTGGTGGGAAATGGAGCTGCTTTCGGCAGTCTGAAACCCAGGGTGTCAGAGCTGAGACCCATATTATGCAAGAGACCAGTTTCACATAAAAGAACTTTAGACTGCAAAATATTGTCTTGACTTTTAGACCAAAGATTGAGTCTACTTAAGTTCAAAATAAATTCTCAGTATAGATAAAGTAAGTATATGGATTAAGTAAGCACTAGAATTGGTCTGAAAGATTCCAATTTTTTTTATTATAAAACTTGCTCAAAAATCTGTGTACTAGTAGTATGAGTTGTACTACTCTCAATTTATTTTGGGTCAGACTATAAGAGTTTGGTTTAAATGTTAAGAACAATTTTCAAACCATGGTTCTGTACTAAAACAGGGCTCTGGAGTGTTCCTTGGATGTACATTGTTTTGGTATGTTATGTTTCTCTGTATAATGAGAATGCTTCTTTGTAAGCTTGAAAATATCAATGCTACTAATCTCAATATAATCTTTTTATGCTTAGGATAAGCCATGGAAGGTAAAATATATGCACAGCTTTATATCTGTTAATAGGGATTTTGTTTTTAGATATTTTTTAATGTTTATTGTTGATGTATGATGATTTTTTTTATTTTTAATGTTTTTGTTTGTAGCTGTTGTTGCCTCTTATGAGTTACAATCAGCGAGAAAATGTCAACTGCTTAATTTTGAAGCATTAACTTTAAGCTTTAGCATGCAGGTTTTTCTCATTTAACTGGCTTGTTTTAGATATATTTTGTATAATTTGTAATTACTATTATAAGCAAGCCCCTGCCATTGCATGTTTGCAATTTCCTCACAGTACAATTTTTTTAGAAATTAAATATTTTTGTGCATGTTTTTTGTTATTGAAAATCAATAGGACAAATGTTGCCAATAGTATTTCTCTCTGAATTTGGTTTTTGTTTGTGAAGTTTAAGTTCAATTTCAGATAATAATATTTGTGACAGATATTGAACTTTGGTGTACACATTTCAGTAGTTGCATAATCATGTCATTTAAATAATTTGAAGAAGGAATATTTTGCCTTCAGTTTGAAGTTGATCAGATTGGTTAAAAGCAAAGGTTATCTTGGTGTTCACCTAGTTTTAGTATTTACATATATATAGACACTGGTAGACACTTGACTAGGTCTGTCTGAATAATTTCTCTTCATCTGGAAGACTTCATTGATCAAGCTGTTGTTTTGCATCATATAGCTAACTTAAGGGCTATATTGCTGGGTCTTTTTGCATATAGTCCTGAAGCATGTGATTGAAATTGGGCTAATAGAAGGGTCATGGCCAAAACTGAATCACGCTCTTGGTCAAAATCAATGTCACTCTGGGATGAAGTTGCTCTTCTATCAGATTATTTATTATGCTTTCCTTGATAGTGATCTGTACATGCACTTGGGGTATGGGAGAGAGATCCTACTCTCTCTCTACACAATTAAATTCCTGCATGGTTTATAGGTAACCTGGTGACACAAATTTATTGTGGATTAGTTTGACTGGAATTTTGTCTGAACCTGGCATTTTGTTTAAAAAAACTTTTTTAAGACTTATATAGTCACAATAAATGTTCATAATTAGCAGGCATTACTTTTGGATTCTTATATATGCATATCAAATGCAGTCATCACTCCTCTTTCTTATGCTGTCTTTTACCATGACACACTTAAAAGATATAAGATAACAACTTATATACTCATTAATATACTGGTTAATAGACCTAAGCAGGTAAAATAAGAATTAACAGCTAGATGAGAGTCTAAAACATTCCGAGTAAGTCATTAATTATACTTAGTGCATGGCTTTTGGTTAGACTTCACTTGAATGAAGGTGCAGATGTGCGTTAATATCAAATACGAACATTTTTTTTATAAGATTTGAGTTTTAACTCAATATTACAGCTTAACATTTGTAAAACAATCCTTGTTTGTTCCAAGCATCGAAACTGAGGCAAATTTACAACAACCTTTGCTCCTTGGTATCTGAAAGAGTGTCTGATATAAGGCAAATAATATTATTACTCACTAGAAAGCTTTCTAAAGTGGAGACTTGGCAAGAAAAGGCAATTACTGAAAAGAATAAAAAAGAATGAATATTTTCTTAATTAATAGAAGATTTGGTTGAAATTGTAATCATACACTTCTTTCCCTCCTGAATAACTGTCTGTTCTCAGAAATTTCATCAAATTGGGTGAAGAACAATTTGAGATATATTGTCCCCTTACAAACAAGTACACACTGTCAGGCAATCCAAAAGACGATGAAAACATAATCTCCTTTATTGGCTATGGGAGTCATCGTCTTGGAATCCGGCGTGCGCTCGTTGTCTTTACAACTAGTAATTGCCTGCAGCGTCCTGGGAATCTGGCCAATCGATTCCGTCTTTAAATTAAGACATTGACCACTCATGTGCACTGAATTGAGTGGCCATCACCTCGGGAGTGATTTTAATTTTGATACACATCCAGGGAAATTAGGGTCATTTTACTTAACATTGGTGGTACCCTGAGATTCCCTCACTTAAAAGTAGGATAGGAAGAGTATTGTTTATTGTGAGCAAAATTAGTCTCAATTCTGCTTTCCTCAGGGTGATTCATTCATGGGTTTAGTACTATTATTTTGTGGATAATAAAGTACTTTGAAAAGTTTGTAATGGGAGTAATATTGAGAAATGTTCCTATGGATTCAATCAGAAAGTTTCAAAAAAGAGATGATGTGTAATGTGCCATTCATACTCCTTTATTGTGTATTGTGTTAAATGCCATTCCAAATCACAAGTTATTTAAAACATTGGATGTTTTTATTTGCTCATATTTTTTTACAAGAATGTACTTGCACTTAACATGCATTCATTTCAATATGACACTGGTGAAAGTGTATTTAGGAAGCAATCACACAGTATTAATTGATCACCTGATCACAAGTTACAAGTAAACCATTTTTACAGTCAAAAAAAGTGCTTGTCTGAGAGCATGTCTTATAACTACATTATTCACATTGTCTATGATCTATGTGTTCTAGGACAGTGTCTTCTGTTTGGAGAAGTCTACTGGAAGAAATGGAGAGGATGGCCCAGAAAAGACTCAAGGCATCAGATATCTATATGCAGCAAGTTTCAGAGCCTGCTAAGAATGCCAAAAATACAAAAATGACCCTTCTTAAAAAGGTACCAAGTGTGATATATATATATATCGATATTACTCTGACTCTCAATCATGAATTCTCTCTCTTTCTCTGATTAATGTCAGCAATATATACAATTTGTCATCATTATCATCATCATCATCATCTTTATTTGGCTTTTGTAGTGATTCAAAATGTATTTGGGTGCTCTGTGTCTCACATTTTGTATTTTTACTGTACATGTTCAACATATGCTGATGTGAAAAAAATAAAGAAATTAATAACATATGCTGATGTGAAAAAAATAAAGAAATTAATAGCATATGCTGATGTGAAAAAAATTAAGAAGTAAATAATAATAATAATAATAATAATAATAATATAAAGCAATTGTGTTTTGTTTTTTCCTAGGTCATCGATAACTTACAGCTTTTACAAAAAGAAGTAACTCAGACTGTGCAAGAAATGGCAAAGACTCAGAAAATCTATTCAGATGAAGAGCACTTAGCACACGATGCCAGACAGAAGGCAGCAGAAGCAGAAGAAAAGTATTGACATTTTGGAATATCAATTTGCTGTAGAGGATTTGAAATGTTTTGACAGCCAAGAGGAAAACAATTTTTATAGAAATGTTTTAAGATAATTCTAGCTTGTACTCTGGGATATAGGTTTTTACTGATGGCTTTTATATTTAATTGTTTGAAATGGAAATTATTGATAGTTGATGTTTTATTGCCAATTTACTAATGCTGGGTTTTCACGTCTGTCTTGAAATCATCTCTATAATCAGAACACACTAATTAGGGATAAGTGGTTTTTAACTCACTTTAATTCACTTAGGAGTAGGATGATTTAGAAAGCTCTGAGTAATTTACTGGTAATTATTTGAACAAATTGATTTGGTTGAAAAATCCATTGTATTAGCCATAGTAAAGTAATTTTACACTTCAGTGGTCCAAGTAATTTTGTAGGTTATTTTATATTTTCTTTAAGTGTAGTATATGAAGGCATGTGTCTTGGAAAAATTGTTTAAAGATAAAGCTTATTAACTTTGAGTGATGAGATTAATGCATTATTATAAGTTATTATAAATTATAGCACATGTATTTCTTGGACTTATAGATAGAGTACAATGTCAAATAACATATACTTATAACAGTGATCTTCGAGGAATTTTGTGAAAAAATGTCAATTGTTGATATGAAAATGCTATTAACAATTGTTGAATTATGGTATTTAATAGATTGTTTTTTTACTTTAGATTAAAAAGGAAATCCACTGGTCTTTTTCAATCCCTTGCAAGTCTTCAGAAAAACAGTGCCAAAGTGAGTTGACATTTTTGTGAAGTAATGATTAATATACAATATTTAATGGACCAACACAATATTTAGGTTAAAATGATGATAGGATACTTTGGCTTGTCAATACTTGGATGTTTTCTGTGATTTAATGCTTTTGTTCTGATGAAAAGGGTAATATTCTTTTCCAATATTTGCTTATGATTTATTTATTTGATTTTATATTGATTTGGTTTTGTTACTGCCAGAACAAACTCTAGATGTTTAAATAAACATGACATTTACAACAAAAGCATGTAAACAATGTACATTTCTCTCAATTTCAGCAGTGGAATATATTACAAATATTTATGAGTAAATTCAATAATACCTCTTGATGGATTTTTTTCAGTTTTCTACCCGGAAAGAATCCTGCGAGGTGAAGTCAACATCGGCAAGGAACGAGTATGTTCTCAACATGGTGGCTGCCAATGCTCACCAGATCCGCTACTACAGCACAGATCTGCCAGCTTTGATGAAGGTGAGGCTCTGGTTGTGTTCACACCAGGACCAAGCTAGACTTAGAATTGACTAGATGATGTCAGTTTATGACCAGATGTTTTATGTGGGGTTCCCAATTCCAATTGCAAGCTGGACACAATATTGTTGACACAGTCTAAGTTGAACTTGTAAATTTTGCCTTGATACATGTTTTGTAACCTAAACCTAAAATTGGGTCTGTTTTCATGAAATAACTTAAGTTAAAACGGTAAATCAGTGATAGTATTACTGTCACAGCTTACAGTTATACTGATGGCAGATCTCTTCATTGTCATTATATTCTATATATTTGATGTGTTTACTTCATCCTTGGTGGTGCAACCAGGAAAAATGATTAATAGTTGTTCTGATCAATTATGTATGTTTTGGTTAAATTGTTTTTGCCATAAAATGTGTCACAGTTGCAGTGAAATATTAATGGCTTTGTTAAGTGTAATGAACAGATATCAGTGATGTTTGATATGCCTTTTGTCAGAATGAAAGCTTGAGGATTAGAGTAATATTATATTGGCCTTCTTTATATCAACTGTAAGTTGACAGCAAGATATTATTTATTATGTATGATATTGTTATGAAGACAAACCTTTGAACTATTCACATCCAATTCAACTAAAACCCAGACTGAAAGGTGTGTGTACATTAAAGATGGGCTAGCCTTTCCTAGTACATTCTGTCTCAGCTCTTTACAAATTCCTGTATGGCATTTTCTTGTCTTTTTTTCCCACCTCAGCCATCTTTGCAAAATCCTCTATGGTGTTTTGTCCTCTTTTTATTCAGCAACTAGATGGCGACTCCTACGAGAAGTTTCAGGAGTTTGTGACAATCCTTGGCAAGACGGAGCTGGACTGTGTCACAGCAGCACATGAGAGTCTCAATAAGATTTTAACAGATGCAGCTTTGGTAAGGAATAAAGTAGAAGTCTGACTCTGCAATGTTTGTACTGACCAATTTTGTTTTATGAGCTTCAAAATTAAAATTTTGATCTGGTGTCCAGTAAAGAATATTATTAACTGTGCTACGAAGTCAGCGTAACAATGATCATAATTTCTTTAAACAACAGTTGAACTCAGAGGTCAGTCATTGTTTGAAGACACTTACACTGTTATTGTAACCTCATTTCCAGATTTTTGCTTTGACAAGAAAAAATAAACTTAACTACATTTATAAGTTAATAATTGTTATTATAAAAGCAATCAGTATTTATAAGCATGATCACAATCAGTGGTTCTGAAATGTTTTATTATGGTTATACATATATGACATTGTTTCAGGTGAGCCGCCAATATAGTCTTCAGTGTTTTCTCCGGGACCACTTAGTCTTCACAGAACTTGTGCAATATCAGTTTGAGGCCTGTGACAATGATCAAGTAAGTCGACCTTTATATGTGTTTTGCATTATAATGTAAAATTATATAATTTATCAGTATATCAATCACTGACAGACGTGATTGGGGGGAGGGGGGGATGTCTGTTGTCAAAGCACTGACACATACCAAGGTAGTTTCTAACTAAATTTGAATGAAATCGGTTAATTGTTCTATCTAGTCTAAGAACAGGATACAGCTTGTTCAAAAAATTTGATGAATGTGATGGAGGAATTTTGAAAAGTACATGTAAGTTTGGTTTTTTGTCAAAAAGCATTTTCATGTCCAATGGTAATCCATATAATATCTTTACTAGTAAAAAGTTTGACGGGCATTAATGATTGTTAGCAATGACTGTGATTATTGTTTATTTTTAAAACTTATGACAGAAATATATTTCTAATTTTCATTTCATATACTAGCTGGATAGATTTTAATCATTATGATAACTATCAATGTCATAGTCATCATCATCATCACTATTATCCTCTTTCTCCTCCTCATTGCAGGGGGGGACCCAGAGATATTTTCTGACAGTTTTTCAAATTATCTTTGTTTAACCATCCTCCACTTTTGACCATCTTCCGACAGAAAACAGTAGATGCCTGTCAGTGTAAACTGAAAAAATTCTGACTGTCTTCCGGAAGGCTCAGATAAGGCTTCCATCTGCTCCTGCATTATTATTATTATTATTATTATTATTATTATTATTATTATTATTATTATTATTCTCTCCCTTTCCCCACAGATCCACAGTGTTACAAGTGCCAATGGTGCTGAGCATCAGTTGAATAAAGAAGCCAGGAAGTGGGCCACCAAGGTTGCCAGGGAGAACAAGGTCATCAAGGACACCAACAAGACCCTGGACCAGCTGAGGTCAGGGTTACCAGGAGACAGAACTTCCAGGGTGAGGGGCAGCTGTGGCACTGTATGATAGTCTGTGACAGAATTTTTGCTGGTCTTTTGTGATGTCAGTTTCTACAGTCATGAAATTTTTTCAGCTATTGGGTGGATTTCTGACTTTTAGGAGCCAAAAATATCATTTTTGAGATAGTTGTGGGAGTCTACCTGGACCCCACATCAAATTTTCAGGCATTTTCACTAAATGGCAAGTTCATCCTTGTTCTAACAATCTGCTAGCCCAAATGCAGAGATGGTGGCCAGTAACTGATAATTTCAACAAAATCTTTTTGGCCCTTGATGACACATGGCATGGGGCATTTGATAACATCACAGACCGCTGTATTGTGCTATGCTTGAGTTATGGTATGCAGTGTTTATTTTCTACAACTAAAATGTAATGCTTAATTTAATTCAAACTTATGCGTGACTAAGTACAATACCAAATGACAAACATCCTAAAATACAATTAGCACTTCATGCAAAGTAACAATGTTTTCATCTGCAGTTGAAGACAACATTTCTAAACAACAAAATATTTAAGATTCCAATTGGATGTTGGCAGCAAAATGTAACACTCCAGTCTGGAAATATTAGAAGTTTCTGTGTCAAATTATTATCTTTACAATTAAAGTTTTTTTTTTCACTGCAGAGTTCCAACACTTCAGGAGATACGCCAGGGCAGGACCCTGAGACCAAGATGGAGGAGTTACGAGAAACCATCAGGAAGGCCGAGGTAATATTATATCCCAGTGAAGCCTGTGTGGTAGTTTACAAGTCATAATCTGTTGTCTAGCTGAGAGATTATTCTTGAGATTCTTGAAGATTCTGTATATACATCTTAGTTTAAGAGTGCTCTTTGTTGTCTCTGTTTTCATTCTTGCATGACTGTTTTACTGTTGTGGTTTTCAAATGGAAGTAGATTAATTTATGTGTTATTTGCATTAATGTAAGTCATTTGCAGTATTCATACTAAACAGATGTGATACTGTATGGCATTTGTTTAGCATTCCAAGTGTATTGGTTTTCTTTATTAGAGTTTCAGTTTGATATTATGGAGTGAAATGTGAAGTATTCTCATCGCTTTTATTTAAAATGCTTCATGTTTTATTCACAAACTTTAGTTTATATCATTAAAATTGATTTCAATTAAAGTCATCGTTTTGAACATTGGCATTCCTATTTTTTTTCAGACCAGCAAAATGAAGGCAGAGGCCAGGCTGGAGGTTTTGAGGACAGCTGGCAGTAAGTTGTGGTTTACGTTGTTTATTTGTTGAATATCAGTGCTTTAGTTTGAATTCCAGGTTTTAGACAGCAATCTATTTTTAACAAGTTTCAAGTTAAGTGGAACATTGGGCACAGTATTATTTATTGGTCGTTCATAATACTTATTAGTTCACAGTCGCTAATAATATAAATTGATAGATAAAAGAAATTTAATAAAAAGTTTCCCTTTTCAGTTGATGTAGATGGCTGGTTAGCAAGTGCAAACAAGGACCTTCTTGCTCCTAAACCAGATGGTGATACCACAAGTTTATCCAGTAGTCAAATGTCTTTTACTACAGAGAGCTCAGGGGTAGGTGGCCTCAGTACAGTAATTATTCTTAAAGTTCAAACACACCTGGAAGTCAGGTGTCCTTTATGACACATGTATTATCAGTATGATACTTCCTTATTAAATTCAAAGACAGTTCATACTGTATTATAAAACATTTTCCTAAAATGCTTAGTTGGATTCTTGTCAAAGTATGCCTTTTTAGTAATTAAAATGGTGCTTTTAGAAATTTTTGGATATTAGATTTTATGTGAATTTTTTCTAGTAATTTAAAAATAAGATGAAAAGGGCGTCAGTCTGGTATTACATCATCGCCTGTTACACTTTATATGTATATTTAGAGGCTATGTCTGAACACAAAATACCAGAGGTCGAAATAAGTGGTTTATAAAAACTTAAGGCTGAGAATTTTATGCTTTTACAGTTTGGAGGGAAAGGGATCGTAACAGCTAAAATAGTTATGCATTGGATGTGAAGGGAGCCTTTTTGATTTCACTATGTTACTGATAGATATGTAGTAAATTTGAAGCAGTTAGTGGGTGTTTGTGTATGGATAAGTGTATGTGTCAAAAAACATTTATATTAAATAATTGTCGACTTCAGGAGCACTCCAGTGGAATGGTGAATGGCACTCACTATAGAGAAGATGACGATGACTTTGACAACTCCTTTGACACATCCGCCAATGCCACAATGATACAGACATCAACAAAGAGAACTTTGGAAGCTGGCTTCCCCAAACCTTGTCTCGCTTTATATGATTTCCAGGTAATATTGGAAAGAATATTTGACACTGAAATTGTGCAATGAAGGCTTAAGGCTTCATTGTTGAGATTTTTACCTGTATGTTGGCTTGGATTTTTTAAAGGGAAGTTTAAAGGATTTGCAGACCTCATCATCATGATCATTCCTTGCCATATTGTAGAATGGCAGCAGCAGCAACTGTTATACTTTTCGTAGCAATTTGCCCTTACTAAAGGTCCATTGTTATCACTTTTAACTGTTAATTAAATTTATGTTTAAAACTAAATATAAGAACATATTCAAATTTTATTTATATAGTTATTTATTTGTATAAATTATTATGCAACATGAATATCGTGACAAAGCTGTATGAGTAAGTTTTCATATGAATTTTTTTCAGGCAACTAACACAGATGAACTTAGCATAGTTGCTGATGAGCAGCTGGAGGTGATAGCTGATGGAGATGGAGATGGCTGGGTGCAGGTGAGAGGGTTTTTTTTTTGGACAAATTGTGCCCCCCCCTCTCCCCAACACACACACACACACACACACACACACACACACACGCACACACACACACACACACTTCATTTCAGTAGGGGTTCAAAATATCTCATTTGTTAAGTCTTTTTAGAGCACCTGATTATTAGAAAAAGGTAGAATTATATGAAACTTTTACATTCTACAAAGTTTAGTATTATCAAAAAAGGAAATGCTTTGAAATTGAAATGAAATGGCTTTTGACAGCTGGTGTCAGTGTGTTCTGGCTTTGGCTTCTTGGACTCGTTTTGGACCCAGTCATATGTCAGAATCTTAAAAAACAATTGTTCCATATATTCCAGAACTCCATCCAAGTGAAAAATGTCTCTAACACATTTAATAGTGCATGTCATGCAGTTACTTTGTTTTCACATCAGGCTGATAAGCATTTTTGTTTCTTGCAGCATAGCAGAGTGTTTCGTTATGTGATATCATTCATCATTATGCAAGACTTCACATTTCAAGTCATATATTTTACCACACAGGCACAAAATTCTAATGGTGAAATTGGCTTGGTACCAGAAAACTACCTACACTACACTGAGTATTCAGAAACCAGTCACCCAGAACATGGCTACTATGCAGAAGAGGATGATGTAGCAACGCCAACTGCAGAGCCGGAGAGTGCAATCCACCATGAACCCCAGGAGTCGTATAGCTCTTCTGAAGTGGAGATTCAGCAGACAGTCACACAGCACAATTATGGCATGGATGGTAAAACTGAAATATTGACAAAAAAATTAAAATTAAAAATTGACTATTAATTGTTGAAAAGAGTTTGATTTTGCTGAAGGAAATTTCATATATATATGTTTTGAGTGATGTTTTGCATTTGGTGAAATTTATCCAAGGAACAGTTATACAAATTATGTAAATGTAATGTTTTGTAAAGTTACTGTTATGATCTGCCTGGTGGTTCATAGCCAGGAGGGGATGATCTTTATAGTTTGCAAACTTTTTATATATCAGACCATGTACTCTGAGCAGTTTCAGACAGTGTATCTTAATCCTTTTATATTAAAATTTAAAAAAAATATAAAAGAAAGGTAAATATGTTGGAATTCAAAGAAAAACATTTGTTTTGCTGTACAAAGGTCTTATATCATTGTGTGCTTTTGAATTTGTTATAAACTTTCAATGGGAATTATTCTTTAGTTTGTGAACTTTGACCACCTTTTTTTCAGATGGAATGTGGGCCAAGGCTCTGTATGACTATGAGGCCACCAACGAGGAGGAACTGACATTTTTTGAAGGCCAAATCATCAGAATTTTACGCAAGGATGAAAATGGCGTGGACGATGGCTGGTGGGAGGGTGAACTGAATGGAGTAGTAGGGGTGTTCCCCTCTCTTGTAGTGGAAGAACTAGAACCTGGCAAGGTAATTTTAACAATGTTATATATATTATATATCAGTCTGATGCCTAAACTTTTTAGGCCACTGATCACTCAAACAAGCAGAGCTTGGAAAACTTTTAGTCCTAATAGAAATTTACAAGACCAAAAATAAAATTTGTTCATCATGGAAGATTAATCTAAAACAATCACGTCTAAAATTTTCCACTTGTTCAATTAATATTTATTTAGCAACAGTGACTTAGAGAAAAATCTACCGGCTCACACTTAATCTACTATTATAATAATCAGTAATTTGCATTAAGTTTATTCTGTCACAGGTGCCCCTACATGAACACACTGTCCCCCCTGTGTGTGCCCCAGCTCCTCCAGCAGTGACAATAACACAGCCATCACCAGACACAGAGGTCAAGCCAACACTGAGTAATAAACCAGAAATACCCAAAAAACCACCAGGTAGAGTAAAGTGTGATATTCTTGCTTGCGTTTATTGTCTATTGAGTAGTGAGTAAAAGGAGATAGAAGTTTACATTGCTTGTTTTTATGTTCCCTAGGTTCACTGCATTTTTTAATTCTGTCAATTTGATGAAGTTACTTAATATTTGGTAATGGTATTTTGAGTATTTTGATAAGTGATTCTAGTTACTGGGATAGCATTGAGAAGAGAGAGTAATTTATGTGCTCTACTGTAACTCTCAATCTGAAAGTGTTATAAAAGAATAGATTTTTAAATTTTTTGGCATTTTTCCAATGGCAGATTGAAAATTTGCATATTTTTCCAGGCCACAAGACAAATTTTTTACATTTCATGTATTAGCTTTAAGTGCTGATTGAGCTAAATGTGTGTATATGCTGTTTCAGGATTGGCTAGATACTCAAATATCCCCACCAAATCTGAGCTAGCTCAGGTTTCCAAAACAGTAACTGCTTCTTCAACAAAACTAACCCGCTCTTCAGTTTCTGGAGGCCCGGTCAGCCCTACCTCCCCGACCAAGCTTACTGACTCTTTCTCTGGGGCGTCTTTAGCTCATATTTCACAGTTAATATCTGCTTCTACAGCACAACAAAGAAACTTTTCATATTCAGGTAGCCCTAATAAAACTACCTCACAGACATCCTCTGGTAGTTATGGACAAACTTCAGTTTCAGGTAATTCTAAGAATCCCCCCGCATCAAATGAACAAAGCCAAAGTGGTTCAGTTTCAAGATATTCGGGTAATCCTATGGCATTCAAGGCTACCCGGCAGTGGCATTCAGTTTCAAGCCCACCTCAAAGTCCCACTGCCCAAACTCCCAGGAAAAGCTTACCAGAGTCTTTGCTGACTCAGCTTTCAGAATCTTTGGCTAAATCTAATTTAAAACCAATGCCAACATCTCAGTCTGCGGTGAACACCAACACCAACAACCAATCAGAAAGAGTCACGTCAACCAGCCAATCACATTCACCAAACTATACTCAGAAGAGTTATTATGCAAATGTACCATCCGCTGCCGACATAGCATGTATTGAAGAAATTGTGACAGCATCATCTGATGCTACAAAACTTAAGCACTCGTCAGTGTCTTCAAATCCCAGGAGCCCCAAAGTCAAAAGTTGCCCTACCAGTCCCAGAAGTCCAACAAAGTTTCCTCAGTCAACTTACTTAATAAATAATGCATCAGCAGGGGCAGAAGTGGCAGAAGTTGTTACTGCAGATTTCACTGTAGGTGGCACTCCTCAGATAACGCGCACCCAGTATCAAAGTACTGATGAGTTAAACAGGCCCAGAAAGTTTAGCAGAACAAATAGTGTCACTGCTTCCAGCAAAGAAACATCTGTTTAATATCTTTATCTATATATGTGCCTTCTACATGTATTATTATAGCTTCTTGTTGAAAAAGAAAAAAAATATATTATTCTTGTAAGTACAAACATTTGTCAAATTAATGATATGCTACAGCCATATTTCAATCAATTTTATATAAGGCTGTCTTTAAACATATCACGTTTTGTTGTTTAACATATGCACTTATCACATGTTTATTCCAAATTATCCTACAAAACTTATTATCTGTTGTAACATAGTAACGGTGAGCAACAAAATATATTTTACTCTTTGCACCCTTTTTATGTCCTATTTTAATCCATCCCTTTATAAATAAATATTAGGAAATTTAAGGTTTGAATTTAAGTGTTTGAACAATATTCATGTAATGGAATAACAACCACAAAATCTTTATAAGTTTTCAAAATTTTTTTGAAAAAAAAGAACCTCAGAGTATCCCTCTTATGAACAGTATACATTGCATTACCAGTACATATTTCAGTACTTGCAGCGTTTTGTATGTAGGTAATAATAATAATATTAATAATTTACATTTACTGTATGATAATAAGACGAGGTTGATCAAAAATAAGATAATTTATTCTAGTAACTCAAATACACATATTATCAGTAATTATATTTCAGTGCAATCTCACTGTATACCACATATGTGAGTAGTTCATGGTATCAGTGGTGCCTCTGGCCCTGAAAAGTTTATATCTCAGTTTCCTTCATGACCTGACCTCTAACGAATATGTTTCTCATCAGTTTTCAGATACCTTTTTTTCACATTTACTGATACTCTGGTCACTAATCACTTAGGAATACATTTATGGTTTTGTAAATCTGAGCATATATTTGTGTAAATAATTGCTTTTTTGAGAAAGCAAAAGTAAAAGGTATTTGGATTTGTTTACTTAAATATAACACCCTGATATGTTGATCTTAGAATACTGACAATTTTTTTTTTTTTTTGTATTTTTGAAGACATGAACCCTATAAACACTGATAAGATGAAAATATCTATAAACTTTAATATTTAACATGGGAAACGTGAAATGTTTTCATTTAATTCTATTTTTCTTATTTGGTTTTTAGGCAAAGATAGATAAAGGGGCTTTTTGAAATTCGTGTTACAGGGTTTTGCACATGCGTTTTGTCTTAATGTATATATCATTCAACAGATGTAAACATGAAAATAATATAAATACAAAGTAGAAATATAACACCTGGTTTGGGATAGTGGTTTAATTTTTAAAATAGTTTTTTTCTGGTGTTAAAAGTTCAATGTTTTTTAGTTTAACATATTAGATTAGGTAATGTACATGTATAACATGTTTAGTAGGTTACATTCTAGTAGATTTTGTTTACTCATCTGTGTGGTTGCTTTTAAGTTGCATCTTTGTCTTTGGGTGTCTGTTAGCATATACCTAGCTTTACTTATACTAGATCCCACTGACCTTGACCCTGACCTTGAGTATGATCCTGACCTTGACCTAGAAAATGACACAGTGGAGTCTGAACCAATCGTTGAGCAAACTAGAGGGCCATCCTGCCCAGATTTGCATCACCTTGACGATGAGCATGTCAATCAGGTGGTTCGTAGAGCATCTTTGCCCGCCCATCTGTCAGAGCTGAACCATGATTGGTCCACAGAGGTGGCTCATGATTGGTCAATTGTTGACAGTGAGGAAACAGGTGAATGTGTCATAGTTATGCAAACTTGTTGCTCTTAGGGAATATAGGGAATTGTTTAAATATTAAGTTATCCTAAGACATTACATGGTGACAGTTAAGTTAATTTTAAAAGAGGATGTATTTTAGTCTCAGTGTTTCATGTGTAACAACTTAGTATTGTGTCTTTGATTCCCATAACATCCTTTTTGATTCCTATGCTGTGAATAGTGATTTGATATAGTCAATTTAGAATATATCTGCACTTTTTTCATTTTTTAAAACAATATGAGTTATAATTCAGTCCAGGTTGATTTGGCCTGAATAGACCAAATTGAAATAAAAATCAAAATTTTATAAGGATGTGGTTTGTAAATTTGTTGTTCATTCCTTGCAATCAGTAGTTTAGATAAATGGACTTCTTGTATCCTACAGTAAATTTGAATCCAAGATTTCTCATCATTAAGCACTATTTGCTGATAGCAAAAATCATAACACCCAACCGATTATATGTAACTAATATGCACATAATTATAACCATGTTCAAACAATGCACTTCTGTAATCACTTTCAATGAAAACAGAATTATAGCCAAGGTCTAAACTTTAGCTGTCTATTCCACAAACCACCTAATATTTGTAAACTCAAATATTGAAATAAAATCTGTGAAAAAAAAAAAAAAAACAAGATGCACATTTATAATATGCACAATAAGTAGGCAGTAGTCAGAATGCCTTGCTCTCACAAATACGTAACCCATTTCTTTTCAGTGTTACAACTATTTATAAGTGTGCACTTTTTTATTACTTTAATTTCATTCTGCATTATCCTCCCAGCTCTGATTTCACTGGTTATTGCATGCTTGTTTCTGGAACAATTTCCTCTGCTTTCCTGCACATGCCTGCCACATGAAGTGATCTCCAGCAGTGTTTATCATCATCATTTTATATATATATTAGAGAAGGATGAAAAACGGTCATTATGTTCTATAATTGAACAAATTTTGGTCTTCTCAATTCTTTTATTGAACAACGATCTTTATAATTCACTTATTTTATTTCCTTTGTAAGTGGAGTTGCAGCTAGTTAGGAAGGATGTCCTGCACCTATACACATACACACGTATTACAGCTATTCATTGATGATATCATTATCCTTTCCTCTACTTCAGTAAGTGTACTTTCAAACTTAATATTTACAAAAACAGCAACTTAAAGCATGGTCTGCTATTAACTCATGTCTGTATGTCCTCTCTTACAGAAGAACTAGACACAAACAAGGAGATGGACTCTTCCAGACATTATGACTTTCCACCCGATGAAAATGTGGGAGAATCAAACACCAAATGCTACTATGATTTTCCCCCAGATGAGGGTGGAGAGGAGGAGGAAGAAGTGTCCATGGTATGAGAATTGGAAGGGATTTCTCATTTGAAAATAATAGATATCACAGCACAATAAGAGACCACTCTCAGACTGGTGGGACAGTACAGTTACAAAGCAGTATTCCACTAGATGAGATCTGGGGGTAAATGTGAAATCTGAGCATTAAACATACGTCATTGAGAAAAATGAGAACAGACATCAACTGAACATCTCAGCTGCCAGTGGGGACGATTTTACTTCAACAAGAACTGGAAAATCTGGATTGTGAGATTGTATGTGGTCTTTGTATTGGCTTTTATGATGATAGATTAAATCAAATATAATACAGGAAACTGTGCAATAATACCAAATTTTCTTAAACTGAATATGGTTACAAATTGGCTACAGATGCTAGCCTTTTGATGGACGTTTTGTGTAACATTTACACCCTTTATAATAACACTGTCTGAATTCCACCCAAAATTTTTTGTGGATTAGTATATATATACATGTATATGTGTGTGCTAGACCATGTGACCATATTTTTAAAAGGGAGGACCAAATTAACCACTGAAAACTTACATTGGACTTTTTTTGGCACGTACATTTTTCTCCAGATTCCGAAAGTGCGTGTGTAAAATGAAACCACAAATATTATTTTAAAATGTTAAAACATTTTTTTTTTGTTATTATGTTGATCAACAGAAAGATGATTTTTTAGATTGGCCCCAGACTAACATATAGGTGATGATTTTTTGGCTGTATCAGCCACTTTGGAACACATTATATTTAACTTATCCTTAATGGTAAAAAGATTATGATCACAACAACATTGAATGTTTTAGGGCTGTTAATTATGGTATCTGTACAAACCAAGAATATTATAGTTGGTATTACAGTATTACAAAGACTTCAAGTGTTACTACAGCTTCTAATATTCCAGACACTAAAAAAGTTAAAATGTTAAAGAAGTACACTGTTAATAGTGAACATCTAAACTACTCCTAGTACTTAAGCTATGTGAGAAAAACAGTTTTTTTGGAAAAACTTGCTTGTATCTGAGAGACCAAACTACATCCTTCCTATCAACACAACTGTTCACTTGGACTTCTTTTCTAAGCATTTGTATTTCTAACGTAATGGTCCTGAAATTCCAATGTGCTTTAACCCTGGTCCTCTTTCCAAAACATAATATTACTGTTCTTCTGAAAAAAATTGTTCTGCTTATTGCATGGATTCCAAAAGCACTTGGACAGCATTAAATGTATGACCATGCATTTTAGAATGCTGTTTGCAACTTCTATAGCTAGAGCTGTTTTTATCAATTTATACTGACACGGAGGATTTATACGCTTCACTACTTTAACTACCACTCGTTTGAGCTTTCAGTTGTACTTTCCTTGCACCCAATACTGTGGATAAAAGAAAGTAACATTTACAGTGTCTCATATAGAACGTGTCATATTGTCAATACATGTCGAGTAGCTTGGAGTGCCTGTACATGTAAGCCTTGGATATAAGATGCAGTCCATCTTTTTAATTTGAAAAAAAAAAAAATGATAAATAAATAAAATAAAATAAAATATGGCCATTATCCATTAGTGACAATAATTGCATTTGTCTTATAGTCCAACATTATTTTCCAGCCTGATTCCACTCCATTGTCATAAAGATTTTCATAAATTAATTAAAAGATACTATTAGTTAACCTTGAGCTGTAGTAGCTTAAACTATTTCTGCATTTGCATGATTTGGATTGGAAATCAAAATTTCTTATTTTGTATTTGTGCAATAACACATCAAATACTCGATGAGACATGGATTTACTGTGAAGTGAACAAATGAGATCTGTTTTTCCTGTTTTTTTTTTTTTTTTTTTTTTTTTTTAACACAGATTATTATCACATTAGACATACATCAGTTTGTTTCTAATTACTGATTTACATATTACAATTAATTAGGCCATTCAGAGAGATCCCTGAATTTTGATAAACTATATAGTATTGTAACTGTTAAGTTTAATTTGCCATGAAAAAGAATTATATGTACTGGTATATATATACATTCCATAATGTAACGCTTATGTAAACATGTACTACTTACATAGTAGTATAAATTATATACCAGTATGTATAAGCATAACATTAATTTCCTATCATTCATTTTGTATGTGTTCAAAGCAGATAATGCAGGCTGCCTGGGTTTTATAGATGAATATACGAACTGTTTTGTTGAGTTTGTAGGGTACGCCTCATTGTGTAAAACATTGTTGGTCGTGTTGCCTGTAATTCTAGTAAGAATGGCTTCTAATAGCAACATCTTATTTATTTTCATTTCTTAAAAGTCCAGTTTGATCAAAAATGTTAATTTGGCGTAGACAAGCTTCCTTTTATGCCTTATTACATGTTACTTAAATTTTCTCCTTAAGAAGATCCAACCTTTTGGGAGTCTTGGCAAATGATAGTTCTCATAGATATGCTGTCGAACCGTATAAATGTAATAATTTTAATTATTTATATGAATTGTAAATAATAATTTTAATAATTTATACGGCTTAAAAGTCGACCATCGGGCTTTTGGATTTTCATAATTAATTTGATATTTTAACTCTTAGTTTTCTGATTTTGAGTGTCACACCCGTGTGTTCTGAGGCGATTCTAAACACGTCGAAGTGGTGAGATTTGTTGTTTCAGTAATCGGAAATTTCCCCCCTGTTTGCCATGATTTGTGAAGTTATGATGATGTGATGTATGTCAAGTACTGTGACAATGTATTTGATAGCATAATGTGATTGTACTTTGGCATGTTCACAGAATGATTAAAGTGATAATAACTCTTCGTTTCGGCCAAAAAATGAATTTTCCTGGAGTAAACAACAATTTTCCCATACTTACCAATGGTTAATGAATCCATTTTTACATTCAAAGTTAGTCCCTGGTTTTTTCTAAAAAGTTAGGTTTTTTGTTAAAATCTCTTAAGAGATTTTAGCAGAGTATAGCCATCAATGGAGGTCATGTGGTCTAAAGACAAGCTCAGATATCAGAATAATAGCTATAACTGGCGTTTTTGTGGTAAAACAGAATATGTTATATTTCTATGAGTTATTCACAATGTTTTTATTGTGAAATATAGATCTCATACGAAGAGTTATTATCCCTTTAAGTAAATACTACTCCGTTATGTAATGACTGTTTACTCTACTATTTAGAACGCTGTTGTGTTCGTTAATGTTATCTCGTGGTCTGGGCAAGATGTTGTGTTTGGGTCTTGGCATCCTAAATGGACAGTGGATTTAATTTGGGCAATATCAACAATGTACATATATGATAACGTCAGAGAAATAAAATGATATAACTGAAATTTTCTTTTTCACGGTTTCATCTGTAATAGGACACAATGATCGTTAGACTTTCACTCAGCAAAAATAAACTTTCCTGCAAATTTCAGTAATGTCAGCATGGGGCTCTTATAACCACGTACTGCACTCATAGCCTGCTATACGGCGATAAAAATGAGCATTGCACCTTTATACATGAAATATTCTGGAAATATTTACAACTTGTAACCATAAACTATGGTATAGCTGCTGAGCTATGCAATGCTGCAAATTTAGCATGAATCTGAAGGATCATAAATGTAAAATTAAAATCGTAGCACATCGGTTCATTCGTTACCAATCCAATTTACGGTTTCTGGCAATTGCTGAGCAAGAAAGATACATGCAGAGGTGCACGCGCGCTTGGCTGTCACCTTGATTGGTCAGAGAACTTAAAACCCTATAAAACGACTAAAGATTACCACGCGTGCCTACTATCAGGAAAAAAAGGAAAGAAAGAAAGAACAAAGAAAAAAAGATGGCAATCAAAATCGATGTATTATTTTAAGAAGAGCATCATAAAAGTGACGTAGATACTCCGTTAAGTCTACTAAATAATGACAACTTTCACGCTTGGCATGTCACATAAAAACGACTTTAGGATATCAAACTAGGTTACCATAGTGAAACAAAATCGATTTATTATTCACCACAGTCTACAAAATAATGACAGATTCGGAAACAAAAACTCCAAACACGCCAGATTGCAATTCAAATAAAAGAAAAACGGACATCAAATTGCTGTCAAAATAAGCACGTCTACATCTTAACATACCAGCTAGGTCCCAGCGTCCGGTATACGTTGGGTATGATGCCACCACGAAATTTGTCGTAAAAGTTGAATCGAGCGCCATCAGCTACATTCACCTGTACAAAACTTATTCAAATCAAGTCAAATGTTTTAATGTGATAGTTTAACATACAATGCATATAATATAATACTAAGTACGTCCACTTTGGGGTTGACTACATTTACTCTTACAACTTATTATGTACTATTGCAGTGTTATATTACAGATATTTCCTAATTTTCTTTACGGCCCCAGCCGTGTACTGTACCTGGTGTACTGCAACCAAACCCAGTCCAAAGCCATAATATAAAGGAACAGTTCATTTCTTTTTTTTTTCAATACCACATTGTTAATTACAATATAATTTTTGGATTAAGTTATTCAGTGACTGGGCATAATGGCAGGCTTTGTTTGTATTACAATAAAAAGGCTAAGCTGACAAAGGGTTACCTTTTTTCAATGGAACTAAGGACGCGTAGTCGAGGCATTTTCCCTTTGAGTAATGGCGGCTTTAAAGTAGTCTACATTTAAACAGATTCAACGCGGAGGTAAGTTTCTAAGAGAGCACTGACATCATGGTGGTAATACAGCATATCAAATATAAACCACAGAACCCTCATTTGCGCCTCACTTGTATGGATCGGGTATCATACATGAAGGCTTATAGTTGATGATTACAACTGTAATTGTAAAGAAATCGGCACAATTTAATATCTAGACATTAAAAGAAGCATTTTATTTGCATGCGGAGTCACCTTCATTGCTGCTTTTAGAAAAGAAATTTGACTCGATACTCATCCATGTATTCAATCAATGTTTTTTCCAGATGCTTTATTTATAAGTCGGTGCACGGAACGTACCTTCTTAATATTCTTCCATGTCTGAATTATACATATTCAGTATTTACCATGAATGAAGACCAAAAGAAGAGGATCAGGCAGCAATATGTCTACCTGGTCAAGAACCTGACAGACCCGAGGAGTACAGGGCTGGTTGAACACCTGTACCAAGATGGCGTCATTGAGGAGAGGGATCGCCAGATCGTGGAGAATAAACCAGCGACAAAAGACGCCATCAAACATCTGCTAGATGCCGTGATGAACTCACCGCATCAGGATGCATTTGAATGTTTTGTCAAACTTTTAGACGACTATGGGCAAGAATACCTTGCCAATGTTTTAAGACAAAGTGCCAGTTCTGATGGAGCAGGTAAAAATACTTAACAATTGTATTTCGGTGATTAGGTGAGACTTTATTAATTGATGAGTTAACGTCCCTGTTAGTGAGACATCATATATTCTTAACTGTGAAAAATCCATGTGCATATTGTAGGATCCCTCTTGGTTTAAATAAACTGTCCGTTTCGAGACATTACAAATTCAACATAAAAATACTAATATAAGCGATAAGTTTCTTTTCAAATTTTCATAGACTTCACGTGAAATGACAGATGAAATAAAATGAATTCATTTTGTCAGTTAGAATATCGCCTATTTCCCTTTTTCATTGAAATTGAAATAAAACAATGATTACTCGTGCTAGTATGCATTTAGGACAAACCGGGGAAAATCGGATCACAGTGTCAAGATAACGAACCAATAATCCAGAATAACGACAACATTTTATTTTGCTCCCATTGTTATTTTGTCAGTATCACCTATGATTGAATAAAAATTTGGTCTTGTTCATTGCAAATTGAATTGGAAGCATACGCAAAGTCACTGTTTATTCAAATTTATTGATTTACATTGCTAACGTGTAAGATTTGTTAGCATTAACAAGGGTATGATATATTTATTTATTTATTTATTTATTTATTTATTTATTTATTTATTTTAGGGCAATGTGACGTGTGTCCAGAAGACGGTAAATCCCCTGCTATCTCCGTGTGTTTGGACTGTAACGAGTTCATGTGTTCTACGTGTGCCGGCTGTCATAGGAGAACAAGGGTCTTGAAAGGCCACACACTAAAGGAATTAACATCTTCTCTTTTAGAAAAATGTCAGGTACATCCATCCCTTTATCTTAAATCCTACTGTCCCCAATGTGACGCCTTCATCTGTGAGAGATGCATGGTGGACACACACAAAGGACACATCGACGCTTGGAAAGACGCTATAACAGTGGCCGAAGATTTGAAATGTAAAATGAACGAGATTATGGATAAAATAAAAAATATCATTCTCCACAAATCTGTGATAGAAAGAGAAGAACAGAAAAGGCTTTTCGACTTGGACAAGCAAAGGCAACGCGTTAAATATGCTATTGAGAAACGTGAAGACGAAATTTGCAAGCTGGCGAAAGCTTGTGCTGAAAAGGCCAAAGAAGATGTGGACAAAGCATATTTCGACGTAAAGAGTCGACTGCAAACAGCCAATAAAATAGAATACCTCGAAAAACAACTGAAATTTTACGAAAGTTTGATTAACAATGCTTCCGTCTCTAGTGTAATTAAACATCAAGCAGAATGGATGACTTTATTGAAGAAAACTTTGGAGACACATTCCCCCACCTATCCTGTGTCCACGCTAAGATTTCAGACCACCAGTTGGGCAGAAACAACTATACAGCAGGCAATGGGTGAGGTTGTTATAGGAGACATCACGCCGACTTTGATCACACAACACCAACTACAGCGTTCCGAGGATCCAGAGGAGTTCCCCATAGTTCTGGACAGCATGCCTGGTGGTGACGTCGTGGTGGGGATTACGTGTAAAGCTGACAAAACCAAGCGTCGTATCATTATCTGTTCCTCCACAGGGGACATCAAGAAGGATATCAAGGTGAAGGATCTGTTCGGACTGACAGGACTACGCGACGGTACAATAGCAGCAACTGTAAGGCACGGCAAAACACAGGAAGTGAGGATATATACTACAGACGGTGTTGTCAAGTCATCGTTCAAGTGCAGCACAGCTGGTCGTATTACAGTGAACCACGAAGGTCACTTGATCGTGATGGATGATAGCTTGCGTAAAGCAGACAAGGTAATGGTATATCGTACAGACGGAAGACTGATCAGATCATTCAGTGATACCTCAACAAACCCAGTAAACTATAGCAAGTACATAACAACCACACCCAGTGGTGACATCATAGTGTCAGATCCCAATGACTGCTGTATACGCGTCTATACACCTGAAGGTCAGCTACAGTATTCGTACGGTGGGATGGATGTCATGAAATGTTCACACGGTGCCTGTGTGGATGAGGATGGAACCATATTTATCTCCGACTTCCTTGCTGATAACATCCACCAGGTGTCTTCTTATGGGCAGTTCATACGCTATGTGCTGACAGCCAAGGATGCACTGTGTAGTCCCACGGATGTGTGTATCAACCAGGAAGGTCACTTCGTGGTACTTCAACAGGACGGATGGATCAAGACATACAATTATAAATAACGATTTATGATTTTGTTCACCAATTCCTGGTCTCTGGTCAAAATGTCACTTCGGGTAAAGTTTTGATATAAAAGCAAGTACATGTATCAAAGATAACGTTTACATATCTGAGCAAATGAATATCACATATGGAGGCAATCGAACTTAAATATCATATTTGTATAATTATATATTATCAAGGAGAACTGTTGCCTAATCAAGACTACAGTTGTGTTAAACCAAATAATTTATAAGGCATGTCGACCGACCCTTCATCAAACGGATCAGACAACCGTACATTCATGACTGACCAAGCGATAGTCTCTTCAGGAACTGGTTTCTTTTTTAAGAGATATGAATGCGTCGAAACATGAGAGGCATTTTTGTATACTAGTTTATGTAGAGTGTACCTGTATGTGGATCTTGGCTTAGTTGCTGCAGAAATAATAAGATGAAGCCCATTTTTCTTGATATCTTGGTTCGGCAGAGGTACATGTCTGTACCAAAATGTATGTACATATAATTGACGCTGTAAATAAACATTCTTTAATCTAATGTAATCATTTTCTTTTACATGACTCACTTTATGCTAGTATATAACAATACCAGTGTAACAAGCTATCATTTATATGTCTGTGTCTTGACAAAAAAGGACATATTCCAATTCTTTCAATTAGGGGTCATGACAATTATTTTAAAAAGGTGTTTTTAATTAAGGAATTCTAAATTTTTAGTCTTTTAGGCCCTATTCAGAATAGGGGACTAATTATTCCGAGGTCCTTATATGACCGACCCACTTATATCTATTCGGGATATCAATTCATTGTCTTAAAGCGGGTTAGACGGCAAGCTTTGCAGTGGGTAGCCATATTTGACCCTATTCTGAATGGGGCCTTACCACTACAAGTTAAGCATCGACGGCGCCATAGCCCTCAGCAGAATATCCGTGTCAACAGTAAGACTTTCTTTATTGAAGAATTTGTACTTTTTGGCCTTAAGTTCAGCATCGCGCAGGCTCTGACTTTGATCTTTTTTATTTAGCATTGGTATGGCTTATGTAGTTGAAGTCTGAAAATTTAATTTCAAATTATTGAAAATAAGACATCAGTTACATGTATATTTTGATGTGTTATGTAAGGTAAGTTTGTATTTCTTTGTCAAATAAACTGATATCCCAACTTTCTCATTCGGTTTTTACATAGACACTTTGTATGAATAGAATAGATAATAGGCAGCACATCTGGTCGTATTACATTGACCCACGAGGGTCACCTGTTCGCGATGGATGCTAGCAAAGACACGTGTGTGATAATGGTATATCGTACTGACAGTACACAGATTACAGTCTACAATGACACCTCAGCAAAACCAGTAGAACTCGGCGAGTACATAGCAACCACACCCAGTGGTGATGCCATACTGTAGTGTCAGATCCCAATGACTGCTGTATACGTGTCTACACACCTGAAGGTCGGCTACGGAAAAGTTTACACGAAAAGTTTACACGGTGTCTGTGTGGATGAAGGTAGAACCATATTTATCTCCAACCTCGAAGGAAAGAGGTCCAACAGACTACACGGGATGAGCTGAAGCAGGCGATTTTGTCGAGATGTGGGTTAATCTGAGCCAACAAACTACAGAAAACTCTTATATTCAGTACCTCGAAGAAAAGATGATGGCATCAGGGTTAGTGGCAGATACCCGAGATGATTACTCCGGGATTAAATACCTAACAATACAGCATTGCCTTTGGGTTATTCTGGCATTCTTCCCTAACCCCCGCCCTTGAACATGGTATTTGCTATCTGTACAAATTACCGATAATTTACCAAATTTGTAATTGATCACCAGAGGGAACCCAAACGAAAACAAAATCCTCAAATATAGTGTATTTTGAAGGTAGAACATGACACACAAGTATATATTACATGCAAGAGCAGCCAGTCTGCAACAATCACTTCTATGGAGACTTGTCTTGCAGAGATTCGAGAATGGATGAAAGTGAACATGTTGGCTTTAAATGATAGTAAGACTGAGTTGATATGGTTTACATCAAGGTTCAAGGCAAATAGAAAAAATGTAGCAAATGCCAACATTTGCATAGGAGATGTTCTTATAAAACCATCTAGTTCTGTAAAAGATCTGGGAGTTACCCTCGATGAAAATGGCACTATGGGCAAGCGTGTATCTGAAGTGTGTAAATCAGCATCTTATGCACTATGGCGCATTGGAAAAATAAGGAAAGTTTTAGATAACAAAACCACTGAAAAATTAGTACATGCATTTATATCATCTAGATTAGATTACTGCAATAGTCTCCTCATTGGTATTTGTGACTATCAGATTAAAAAGTTACAAGTTATTCAAAACTCAGCTGCAAGACTGGTTTGTCAAATTAAGTACAATAGTACACACCATATCACTCCCATTCTGAAAGAATTACACTGGCTGCCTGTGAAGCAGAGGATTGATTTTAAAATACTTTGTATTATTTTTAAGGCGATCCATTCACAAGGACCATTATATTTATCTGATCTTATCTGTTTTAACTTACCACGGCGGTCCACACGTTTTAATACTGAGAATGATTTTATTTTAGAACATTCTGTTTTAGAGAAGGGGTGCCTCAAAAGTTATGGAGATCGTGCTTTTATAATCTACGCCCCAAAAGTGTGGAATGGTCTACCAAATTTTATTAGAAAAACAGAAGACTTTGACAATTTTAAATCTCTTTTAAAGACCCACATTTTTAATTCTGTCTATATCTCTTAGATTTTTTCTTTTTTTTTAAATATATATATATATATGTATTTTAATAAGATGATTTTTAGTAGTGTAAATTTTGAATGGTTTCCAATTTTTAAATGATTTTAGTATATTAGCCATTATTGTAAGGCGCCTTGAGATAGAATGTAAGGCGCCATATAAGAATCTTATTATTATTATTATTATTATTATTATTATTATTATTATTATTATTATTATTATTATTAACATGCAATCATAATAAAACACTAACGTGCTGCTTGTAAGTTACATTTTTCTTAGTTTGAACTTACTGAATTCGTAGATGCAATATTTTAAAAAATATTCCATCATTTTTAGAATCCTTCGTGGAAGTAAAACGACTAGAATATGGTGTTTTTATTGAGTAAAATAGCTTAAACTTTTCATTACATGTCGGTTATATGGGGTATGTGCCGACAGTCCAAAGGTTTTAAAATCCACGCGGTTCTAGTCGCCGATTAACTCAAACCCCAATTTGAAATCAGCTGCTGGCAACGTTTCTCGGAAAAATGATAATAAAAGTCACTTAGTGACAGTGTTGAACGTTAGAATAACGTTCTTTATAACGTTTGCCGATGGTCTAAACCTGTGGTAACGTCATCAAAACGTTCTACATGTATGTTAGCTGGGTACATAGTTATTTTCTGCTTAAAGATTGTAGTACCTTTGAAGGCTGCATGTGTTGCCTTGTTATTCAATAAAGTCGATATCAGTTTACGACATTACAAAAGGCAATACGCCACACCTATAAAGGATATCAATACCCTTTGCAGTAACATAGAGAGTGAAAGAGCAAAACTGATGTAAGGATCAATTTGTCAAGCTGCCGAAAGAAATTTAACAGCTTGACTAAATGTCAATTCACTGAGTTTGTGCCTATATGTTTTTAGCGTATATCAAGTGAACGACGGTGAGTTTTCTTCTCATATATTTTTACGATTTTCAAAGTTCCCACATACATGCATATATATATTTTCGACTTCTGTGGTAAATGTATTTCAAGCAATATTCAAGTCGAGGTAGAATACGTAGCGCTTTATCGATTTTTATTTTAAGTGTGTTATGTACAGTAGAAAAGGAAGAGATTCGTGTGTTTTATCCCATCCCATAGTATAAAACACAGCGAGAATACACTTTAATATCTCATTCATGTACATGTGCTCCATCCTGCGTCTCTGATAAAACCCCTCTCTCTCTCTCTCTCTCTCTCTCTCTCTCTCTCTCTCCACTGCAACTACAGAGACTCGCCATTAACAGCAACCCAAAGTTCAGGATACACACTGGTATATACATAAATGGCTCCTCTAAGCGTGTTTGATAATGAATTGTCCACCCCGTACTCTCTGCCAGAGGACCTTCTTACTACTACAAAATTGGAATAAATACTTTGTCCAATTTTATAACAGAAGGAGTCTAGTAGAAACGCCGAATGTTTGTTTTTCAGTTGTTTGTTATCCAACTGAAATGTGTGCTGTTTTAAGTAAATGCTATGCAATTGTCCTTTATGTAAATTTCAGACTCGCTATGAATGAAGACCAAAAAAAGAGGATCAGGCAGCAATATGTCTACCTGGTCAACAACCTGACAGACCCGAGGAATACAGGGCTGGTTGAACACCTGTACCAAGATGGCGTGATTGAGGAGAGGGATCGCCAGATTGTGGAGAGTAAACCAGCGACAAAAGACGCCATAAAACATCTGCTAGATGCCGTGATGAACTCACAACAAAATGGTGCATTTGATTGCTTCCTCAAACTTTTAAACGAATATGGACAAGACTACCTGGTGAATGTTTTAAAACAAAGTGCAAGTTCTGATGAAATAGGTAAGCCTAATTACAATTGTATTTCAGTGTGATTTGATTCTTTGATGTCTTTGCTTACTTAGACTTCTTCGTCGATTGGGTTTACAGAGAAGGCAAACACCTCTAAGGGGCCATTCCCAGACCCTCTCGTACTAACTGTGGGTTGATCTATCTCCGGGGTTTCTCGCTTAATTGCTTTGAGCTTAAGCGGCTTAGATGTCTGACACGCCTACTGATGCTGCTAAACAATAGTTAATTATCCCCTAAAAGCTTCAGTAAGCGTGCCAGACATCTAAGCCGCTTAAGCTGAAAGCAATTTAGCGAGAACCCTCTCGGAGATGGATCGATCCTGTTAGATCGTTCTATTTATGGGAACCCAGTCTAATTCTCTTTCTCTCTCTATTGATGCTGTGCCTATGGTTTTCCAGCTAGGCTAGCCTTGTCTTCATTTCTTCCTTGATAGTCCCCCTCCACGTTCCCTTGGGCCTGCCACGCTTTCTGCTTCCAGTTTGTGTCCATTTTACAACCCTTCTTGGTATACTGCCCAACTATCCTCTTAAAGTGGCCCAAATACCTCGCCTCCCTTTTATTTCCAATTTCCAGGTTGATGTTCTAAATACCTTTCTGCGACCTCTTGGTTGCTGATTTTCCACAAACTCTATGCAAAACAAGTAATACAATATAAGCCCTTCGCAGCAGTACAATATCACCCTTGGCCTTTTTCCTTTTTTTCGTAGAAAAAATGGTCACTCGTTTAATACTATTGTTTGTTGACGCAGTGAGCAAACATGCATAGTGTTCTAGTAACCCAATCCATTCATAAAAGAGGGGCGACGTTATAAAAAGTGACCAGTTAAGTTGTTAAGAAGTGTTATTTTTGGTAACGTCCCATTCTTTCTGAGCTGAACTGTAACATCAGTTTGATACATTGCCAACGTATAAGATTTGTAAGCAATGCCAAACTCGTTATTTATTCAAATTCTAGGGTTGTGTGACGTGTGTCCAGAAGACAGTAAATCCCCTGCTATCTCCGTCTGTGTGGACTGCAACGAACGCATGTGTTCTGCGTGTGCTGGCTATCATAGGAGGACAAGGGTCTCAAAGGAGCACACACTGAAAGACTTGACACCTGTCCTCACAGACAAATGTCAGGTACACCCATCACTTTATCTTAAATATTACTGTCCCCAATGTGACGCCCTGATCTGCGAGCAATGCAAGGTGGATACACACAAAGGACACGCAGACGCTTGGAAAGACGCTATAACAGCGGCCGAGGATTTAAAATTGAAAGTGAACGAAATTATTGATGATATCAAAAATATCACTCTCAACAAATCTTTGATAGAAAAAGAAGAACAGAAACAGCTAGCCGACTTGGACAAGCAAAGACAACGAGTTAAACAAGCTGTTGAGACACGAGAAGACGAACTTTACAAGCTGGTGAAAGGCTGTGCTGAAAAAGTCAAGGAAGATGTGGACAAAGCATATTTCGACATAAAACTTCAGTTGCAGACCGCCAATAAAATAGCATCTCTCGAAAAACAACTCAAAGCTTACGAGAGTATGGTGAACGACGCTTCTATCTCTAGTTTAGTTAAACATCACTTGGAATGGGAGACATCGCTGAAGGAAATAATGGAGACACATTCCCCCACCTGTCCTGTGCCCACGCTAAGATTTCAAACCACCACTTGGGCAGAAACAGCCATACAGAAGGCAATGGGTGAGGTTGTTACAGGCGACATCACGCCGACTTTGATCACACAACATCAACTTCAGTGTTCAAAGGATCCAGAAGAGTTCCCCATAGTTCTGGACAGCATGCCTGGTGGTGATGTCGTGGTGGCGACGGGGTGTGCAGCTGATACAACCAAGCATCGTATCATCATATGTTCCTCCACAGGGGTCATCAAGAACGAGATCAATGTTACGGGGCTGTACGGACTGACAGGACTACGTGACGGTACAATAGCAGCCAGTGTTATTGACGGCAGCACACAGGAAGTGAGGATATATACTACAGACGGTGCTGTCAAGTCATTGTTCAAGTGCAGCAAACCCGGTCGTATTACAGTGAATCACGAAGGTAATTTGGTCGTGATGGATGCTAACTCAGACACATGTGATAAGGTAATGTTATACCGTACTGATGGTACACAGATAAGAGTATTCACTGACACCTCTGCGAAACCAGTAAAACGCACCAAGTATATAACAACCACACCCAGTGGTGACGTCATAGTGTCAGATCCCAATGACTGCTGTATACGTGTCTACACACCTGAAGGTCAGCTACAGTACACGTACGGTGGGGAGGGCGTCATGAAGAGTTCGGATGGTGTCTGTGTGGATGAAAATGGAACCATTTTTATCTCCGACTTTCTTGCTAACAACATCCACCAGGTGTCTCATGCTGGACAGTTCATGCGAGATGTGCTGACAGACAAGGATGGACTGTGGGGACCCCTGGACGTGTGTATAAGCCAGGAAGGTCACCTCGTGGTAGCGCAAGTGGACGGATGGATGAAGACATACAAGAATAAGTAGCGATATGTGGTTTTATAAAACCACATATCGCTACTTATTCTTGTTGTAATATTCACTGACTAATATGTGTGTAATACCCCATGAAGTGGCATATAATGGGTCTTTTTTCATCACAGGCCAGAAATTGGTAAATATATTTACCAATTTCTGGCCTGTGATGAAAAAATTAGTCAGTGAATATTACAACGTGATATCATATGGATGTTTTATCGTAGTTACATAGGTTTTCAGAGGCTCATGGCGACAACGCACTTGCTCACTGTTCTCGTCCGGTGACTGATTTGTTGCAGAAACGCTTTGTTCTGAGGATGAAGCAACCTTCCCTGAGCCCTGATTCTAACCTTAATGAGCACTGCGTCATAAATTGGAGTTACCAATGCAGGAAAGATTCAACCTCCCAACAATCTGGATCAATTCCGTCAAGCTTTTTGGGTTGAATTTTCCACAAAAAGAATTATTGCATTTGTTAAAGGTATGCCGCACCGAATTCAAAAGATAATTGCAATACGCGGTAACACAGTATTAGACACTTGACCTTTAACGAGCACATGCTGTTGCTAAGTGTGTGTAAATTTGGCAGTGTAGTTATAATTTTAGGGACATTTTTTGCCTGTGTTAATTTGGAAATCAGATTTGAGGGGGTGCATAAATCGTATAAAATATATCTTCGGCGGTATTTTGTATTTTTTGTTCCACGAGTCATGTTATACATGTATTAGACATGGTATATGAAATGAAAAACACTGTTCTAAATTATTTACAGTTGTGGGGTGATCTTTGTAAACAAAAACTAGCTTACCTATATCCCTGTTATTTGTCAAAAGGCGACATATTCCAGTTGTTTTATTGCTAGCGGCGGTATATTTTTGTCTCACTTCACCAATATTAGATTAGATTTCAGAAGACATGCAAAGCAAAGACCAAATGGAAGAAGAATGGCAGAAAAAATTTACTCTACTCTAATGAAAGATTTCGAAAAAACGCCCTTTATGTACAGGAGGCGTAAAAAATTATTACGTTAACGATATCATAATATTAATTTTATGCACACAGAAATGAAATTAAGACCTCCTATATTTAACAATTCAGACTTTTTGGACTAAGTTTAGCATCGTCCAGGCTCTAACGTACTTGGTTCTTTTGGTGTCATCTGTCAGCTCATCAGTGTCAGTGGTGTGAATGTCACAGTGAAAGAACGAAATAAATAATTGAAATGATAACTATATTTTGATGTGTTAAGAAGTTTAGTTCGTATCTCTTTATCAACTTAACTGTTTGTTCAACTCGGGGTTATTTTTGAAATATGCAGAGGTTGTTTAACTGGGACGTTAAAATCGCTCACAAACAAATATTGATGATATATATATGATATAATATGTTAAATAAAGCAAGAGAGAGAGAGAAGGAAGAGGCGTGTGTAGCGAGGTATCCACAGCACTGCCTTGGCCGTTGATAAAGACGGTTAGCGAGAGACCAATGTGGTAGAGAAGCCAGTTTGTCACAATTATCACATTTCATTCTATAGCGAAACTGTTAGTGGTGAAGTTGCGTAGTCTATTCCCCCAAGAAGTTCTTGAATTTGATCTCCCCTTTGTGAAAGAATTATCCCTGAGCAATGGACAATGTTAACTTCTGCCCAGGTCGGTGTCTGGTTTGTGTCCTCAGACATGATAAGGACGGGAGTGTTTATGTACCTTTTATCAAAGTACCACATTGCTCTTTGGAAGTATACGTTCTGTTTGGTACCACGTAGCCATATTCCATCCACCAGTCACTGATGTCATCTCCCCTTCGTACAGTGAAAACTGTGGATAATTCAGGGCTGGATCCAGGATTATTTGAAAGGGCGTCCGCGACAGGGGCAAATCCAGGATTATTGGAAGAGGGGGCGGGGTCCGCGGATGCAAAGCAGACCCCGTCTCAACCTCTTTTGGCGTGGGGTGCAGGGACCTGTGAAGGGTACCGAAAATATTACTTATTTAAGAGGGCGAAAGGTTCCATTTGGTACAGTTTAGAACTATGATTCAGCTAGTCTAAGTTCTAATTAAAAAAAAAAAAAACTGAGGGTGCTTGACTTAACTCCCCCAAATCCGCCACTGTACTTTGATGCTTTCTTTCCAGTTAATTCCGATTACCAAAGAGCATCATTCCAATGCATGCATATATTAGACTCGTTATGTTCCTAACACATGCAGTAAAATTAGTATATTTGGCGTGTAACAAGGTGTATTTTATAATCTTGTCATTTTGTTTGAAAAAGTTATTCTTTGGGAAAAGGATAATCATAATAAAAAGGATGTTTAATAAAGCACTGGGTAAAAGAGACGTATTAAACGGTAAAAAACTCTGAAGCACAAAAATCTGAATATTTACTGTAGCTAGCAAATAAAAACATTTTGTCGTATAAATGATATTAATTCTGAAGGTATGAAGATAAAAAATAATTTTTGAATGTTTTGTTTAATTAGAGACGCGACGTTTGGGAGGTCTATCTAAGAAGCTACGTTTTTATAACTATTTGAATCTAAGTGTGTTGCATTCTACACGTATCCTAATTTCTATCTAATATTAGTGTGTGAGTAGGGTGTTAGTGGGTTAGCTAGGGGAGAAAGATTAGCGTTGAGACAGAAATGGCGACAGGTCAGTTTCGAACCAAGGACTCTTGAGACGAATAAGTAGGCGCTAACAGAAAGCAACCTCATTCGTTGGCATACTTATCTGGACGCTTTATATTTTAACTTGCACATTTTAAGGCAGTCACAGGAACGTTAATGAACAAGACAGTTGTCCCCTACTTAAGATGGCCCTGTGGTAGGGTCAACTGAATGCAAGACAAAGGACCCTGGATCGCAAGTCGGCCAGGCAACCGCTTTTTTTTTCTAATCTTTCCAGTTTTGCTATGACTTTTTTATAGGCCTACCCCCTTTTTACCAAAAATAGATTAACCCCATACAACCCGTTTATGCTTATTAAACATCCAATCGCTACCTTTTCAAAATATATAGAATCTCAAATGAAAGTTGAAATTGATTCGAATTCAGTTAAAAAACAATCATATACTCATCCAAAATTAAAGGAAATATCACCGCCAAAACCGTCCTTTTCATATTTTTTCGGGTAATGATATGCTTGTGTTTTTCCTTCTCTGAATTTATTCAGCTCGACTTACTGAGTTGACTGGGTGCCACTGTAATGGATTGCAATGTAACCTAGGACGCTGAAGTTAGTGTCTAGTTTCCAGTTTCGTTTTTCAAAAACGGACCTGTCAACTAATAACTAATTACTAGTGTCGTTTTTAAAAAAAACGACGAGATAAAACTGGACAGAGGAAGTGGCGACAGGCGATTAGCGTCAACTCTAACCAGGAAATCTTCCCCGTGGAAGCCGGGCACGGTGTTACGGTGCCTAGTCTCCCCGTCGTGCACAGAGACCGTGACAACCGCCCATCGATGTGTACGGTGCGCAGGAAGCCTTCACCTCCAAAAACATGCTGAATTTTACCGTCTCTCTCCGCCGTACGGCGAGGCCGAAAAGGCCACCGCTCGTTGTCTGCAAATAAATGTCCTAGGCCGGAGATTTAAAGTCCCTGGTTGTCTTGCCATGCTGTAGAGTGGGCCAAGTTTGAATTTATTTTAATATTTCAAAAACGATTCTGGCTAACAGAGACAGGTGTCGCTTTACAAAAACATATCTGTGAATATCTGTGGATAATCAATCTGTCGCCCTGGTAGAAGATAAGTGTAAATGTTAATCTGACTGGCAGGTTTCCTAGTAATCCTGTCTGATTGGCACCCCTTGAATAACAATCAAATTAGGAGAAGCTTAAGCAGCCGTTTTTAAGCGGATATGTTTGCTTTACCTTTAAAACACGGTCATGCTATACATGCAAGGGTTCAAATGAAAACAATTTCATTACTTTGCCCATAATCTAAATACTGTTTCTTAGTTCTTTTTCAACGGGTATCCAAAGGCTTTTAGGTAAGAGTGACGTAGCCACATTGTCAACACTCCGATTAACTAGATTCCTAGGAAGCCAAATTAATCAAAGACAAACTACAGATGTACGTACAAGTAGGCGACTGACGTCAAGTACAGTGATTACCAGATCTTTTTGCTAGGCAAGACTGCCAAACTTCCACATAGGCCTACCTAGTTTTATAATCCCCAAAAATTATATCTCTACATTTCTGCATTTGTGGTGCTTTTAGAATAGGACTATAGAGTTGCTCGCTTTTTAATTTTATTGCTACCGCTCAACAGGAATGTTCTAATTATTAAAAAAATATGACTGAAAAATTACAGAACAGTGTATCTGTAGAATTCACATATCCCCATGGAAAAAGATCGAGTAATTGCCATAGCCTCAGATTGAGTTGTACCGCCTATCATAATATTACAATAAATACATGTATATGTACATGCTAAATTAATGTTTAGAAAGTTTCTGGCGTAGAGAGACTAAATGTAACTGAACATGAATTCAGTGTTCAATAGACTTACATGTAGTACTGTTTTTATTTAATAAATATCAACATTTTCTTATCCTGCTTGGCAATTTTCTTATCCTGCTTGGCAAGTGAGATAAAAGGTTCCAAATCTCAACATCTACTTATCTATATACAGTGTTACAAACAAAATCCAATAAAGATTCACTTTTAAGTCATCTAAAAGACTCAACACGTTTTACCTCGTAGAAATATACACTGATGCTCATAAGTTAAGCAACACTTTCTAATTTCTCAAATTTTTCAGCAGCCAAGCTTTTTATTGAGGCAAAGTTTGTACAGTAGCTAGACATGTCTCTCGTTCTTACTTTGAACAAGTGGGCCGTGACATTTGAGAAATTTTTACTGTTGTACAGGGTAGAATATGCAATAGGGGTGCCACTTGCGAAAAACACAGTTTGGGCATGCCATGCGGAGCTCTCAGTTTGGCTAGTTTCATGGGCACAATTGGTTAAATTGTACCAACCAATGGTTAAAAGAAGACTCAAGGAGGTAATCAGATGGGGTGCCAGAGAGATAAATTGCAAGGGAACAGAGAGTGGCACCAAGTCAAGTGTCCAAGCTGGTAGCAAAATGGCGCCAAACTCGTCATGTATTGGACAAGCCTCTTTCTGGTAGACCAAGATAAACCGACGCAAGAGTTAGAAAACGTTTGGTTCGACTACGCCACCAGAACCGGTTCATGTCGGCCAAACAACTGAGAAACATCTGGCCTGGATTAGGAAGAGCTCGAGTCAGTAGGCAGAAAGTCAACAGGCATCTTTTAAAAGCTGAACTTCTATTTAAAGACCTCGTTAAAAGCCACCGTCGACCAAAAGACACAGGGAGATAAGTTTGGCAGAAGCCAGATGCCGAGAAAGATGGAATCTCAGGACTGGGTGAAGGGTCCTGTGGACTGACGAGAGCAGATTCACTTTGATGTATGCAGATGGTCGGCTAGGAGTCTGGAGAGGTCCAAACCAAGCGTTGGCGGAGTATCCGTCATAGTATGGTGCGCTTTCTCATATGGTGAACTATTGCCACTGTACGTCATGCAAGGGAGATACACTAGTCAACGATACAGAGACGAAATACCATTGGGGCGCATGCAATCACACATTCAAGCAAATCCAGGAAGAAATATCATTTTGGTGCAGGACAATTCGCTCATCCATCAAGCACGGTCCGTGCAAATCGCGCTGCAACAGCATGGTATCCCAAATTTGGATTGCCCTGCATATGCCCAGCTACGTGGTGTATTTCATTAACAGAAATATTCAATTTGAATAGGTTGTTAATAAAATATGAAAGAATTATGCATAATTCCACTAACAAATTAAATAATGATCATGATAGAAGAAACTTTTGAAAAAATGTGGCTGTTGCTTAACTTATGAGCATCAGTGTATATCAAAAGTAGAAAACAGATGAAATCACAAGCATTAAGTACTATCACTTGGATATTAGACAGAAAAATGGATCGATGCATTCAAAAGCCAAATTCATTTTGCGGTCTTGGCATGAACGACCCTGAACTCTTCGTCGCATTTCACCTAATTATTGCTTTGAATAACCGTCATATTATGGTTTCATAATGCATGGAAAAATTGTCCTCAAAACGTTAGGGTGTTCTTGTTGTTAAAATCTAAATAAAACTATCAACTTTTAAAATGCAAAGGTGGAGGTTCCGAATGTAGATTCTTTGCGATTACTTTATTCGGGAGACATGTCAAACAACACTAGTAGGAATAAATTTTTGCTTCATATTTCTTTTTCAGATATACATGTACCATTGATTATAAAAATAATAATGTACAACTTCGACAAAAAAGAATATCATTATCACCCCCTTTCAGTAAATATACACAAAAAGCCAGAAAATCAGTGTTGTGGGGAGAGCATTAGATAATTTTGGATTCAAATTCGGGTGTTCTCTAAACTAAAGGCTTCCCTGGTCTTAGAAATGTTGTTCTGCTTTGTGTCGAGAATTGTAAACATAAAACCTATGTCGATCCTTTGGCCAGCGCTTGACGCATGTTCTCCGCAGTGGTGGAGCTATCTGTTGTCATTTATCTTTGCTATTTCGTAAGGTAATTACCTACACTTTCCAAACGCTTAACTTAATCAAGTGCTTTAGATTAAAAATAATTTTGTTATCCACAAAATATTACTTAGAAGCAATCCAACTTGTCGAGACTATTGAATCAGAGTTTTATAATTGCTTACAAAACGATATTCAGGTAAAATGGTTAAGTTATTTTGTATGAATTTAACGAGTAATTGCTGCAATTCAATAGTTCAATTTGGTTGCCTGACAAACCAATTTGGGAGCTGTCAAAACGTATGCAGTAGAATTAGTGCTACTCCAATGTCCAGAAGTGGTGTCATTCTAAGGGTCAATATTACTGATGAGAGTTACTGGACAGAAACTTTTGTCGTCCCTCTTTTATCACATAGCATTGGCAAGAACCCTTTATTACCCTTTTTCTTCTTGAAGTGGCCAACTGAGGCAGATCTTCAGAGGCCAAGTTTGTTGCGTGCTTTGCGACTTCGACAGAACGCTGAGGACTGCTTTGTCGCGAACTGCGTGATATTAAGAAACCTGATAGGCCTCGAAGATAATCTTTCTTCTACATGTATTACGTATCATATCAAAAAAGCGCTATTACAGTAATTGTTGCTTTTGTGAATTCTTAGTCACTTGTCATCGATCCAATTTCGCTATTATAAACACAGGAGGACACTCGCGATACAACAAGCTTAGCATTTTTAAGACTGAGCAGGCTCGACAGCATTGCCAATTAAGGGGCGCCAACCAACGGAATTGCTTGACGAACACAAATATCTGATTCGGTGAGATCTGAATATAAAACTAAGCTTTTCAGGGAATATGTTTATGTTGCCGAGTGACACTGAGAGTGTTTACAGTAGATATAATTGGGAGCAAGATGTCGAATCAAACTATGGCAGAGGTCAACAGCACGGAGGATTTTGATTTGGAACAGGCTTCTACGGAGACACGGTCTTGTAAAGGAATTGCTTGTCTCCCTTTCATTACTGTAGAGGTAATTTTAGCTATCCTTGCAATCTTGGGGAACGTTTTCCTCATTGTCGCTTTTGTGAAATTCAAAGAACTTCGCCATAGATCAAACTTCGCAATCGTGAGCCTCGCCGTAGCAGATTTGCTCACGGGCGCTATTTGCATACCGTACAACATACTAACGGCGTATCTGATTGAAAGCCTCCCGTCTCTGCGCCATCTTTCATTTGACAAGTACACATGCCTTATGAAAATATGCATCTTCAGCATTATGATGGAGGTCTCTTTCTTGCATCAGGTGCTAATAGCATTTGAAAGATTTATGAAGATTTGTCGACATGTTCAATACCCGACATGGGTGACAAGCAAAAAACTTATTATTACTATTTGGTGCACGTGGTTGTACATAGTATTCATCAATCTCCCCCCGCTGTTTGGTTGGAACAGTTGGTCTCCCGGTGTAGAATGCAGATCGAGTAAAGTTCAAGCGGATTTCGTGCGCTACATCATTATTCCCCACCAGCCGATATGTCTTCTGGCAGCGTTCGGGTTCTACATCGCCATTTTCCGCTATGTTCAGCAGCAAAAAAGAAAGATCGCGAGTTACACAAACTCTGAAAACTGCCATCAAACCAATGAGAGTGTTTTGTCGCATGATCCCATTGGGCTTGGACGAGAAGTGGACCACCCAGACTTTTCGATGCCTTCAACATCAAAAACGTCGGTGCCTCTTATGACTGATATTGCAGGGTGTTCTTACAAAACCTCGCCGATAACACGGGTGGAGCCTTTATTCAGAGCTGACCCAAAAAGCCCCGCAATGTTAGATGCTCCAACAAAGGGGAAAGGAAAGGGAAAACGGTCAGCTCCGACTACTGTTTTCGTTTTGAAACAAAATCCTCGACCACGAGAAGATCGTCAAAATTCTTCTCCCGCCGCCCATCAGCATCGTGCCAAGCCTGGAAAAGCCGCGAAAAATGTAGAAGTGAAGGTAGCAAAGATGACGTCACTCATCCTTGCCAGTTTTACGTTACTCTTCATTCCATCTATGATACTATTTTTGTGCGAGAGGTACTTCAGAAATAATAGATACACCTTTAATATTCTTTTCAACATTACTATTGAATGTATGTGCCTCGGGTCTGTAATTAATCCCTTTATTTACGGAATGCTGAATAGGAATTTCAGGGAGGCTTTCTTTAAATTATTAAGATTTGATCGCTTCGGTTAAAATAGTTTGTGGATAAAAATTTTGTTAAATAAAAACTTGACATCAACATCTGAGAAAATGGAAATGAATTTTATTTTGAAGGGAAACTTACGTAAATGGCAGAAAAGTAGACCAATTATGAAGGTGTCGGAAAATTAAGACCAAGCGTGAGGTATCTTACTTCTCACATTGTATTAATATAGTACCGCTATTTCGCCTGTACTATTAATGAAGAACATACATCTTTTTGGGAGCCTAAAAAATTTATTCGTATATTCTTATTTTCCAGTTACAATGTATTCTTTTTTATCCTATAGAGCGTCATTCCAATGTCATGATGTATCATAAAGTCTTTCTCCTACATTACCTTATTTGGTAATGTAATAATTCCTCAGCTATTACACAATGTCTATGATTATCCATTTTTCCATAACTTTCCATCATTACGTCATTACTAAAATGTAATCATTCTCCCTTATTCTTTTTTTACTATTGAACAACACATGCACTCTTTAACTCTCTTACTTACACTGTTTAACCTCTTAACAAATGTATATTGTATCCGTTATTAAATGTACAATGTATCTCAGTACGATCGCAACTTTATATCTGTACTTTTAATCATTTTCATCACGATATTAATATAAGGGGAGGATAATGGCTTAATTAGGTGTGATTTTACTTGACATTTTCTATATTTTTGTAGGATTAGCTGTTCCAATAATTTGTACCCTGCTGATTAATCTAACCTACTGTAACATTTTAAGACCTATGGTAATTAGTTCTTTTTTCTGTTGGCTATCTGTGAATATTTGTAAATAGAATTTACAGTAATTAACTCAAATTTAAAAATGTTCATTTCCATGAAAAAAAGACAGGTGTGAAGTAATATTACTGTTCACAAGCCTCACATAGATTTAGATGTAATTGCATTTCAAATGTTCATTGCAATTAGTTTCAAATTAGTTTCGCTGTATATTATCGTATTTACAGGTCTTAATAATTTCTTTTGTTTATGTCTTTATGTTCCTTTATATATATATATATATATATATATATATATATATATATATATATATATATATATATATATATAAATTCACGCTAAAAGAGTTTTATGTAGTGTGTGTGCTAGAGTTGAAAGGAAAATTTAATAACAATTGAAAAGGTTATGTCTGGATAAAAGATATATCGTGCCACTGTGAAGGATATGAGAAATCAATAATAAGAATACTTCAGCGCAACCGTAAGGTGATACCTGTATTAAGTATTAACCAACACCAATTATGTTTTTTTTTTTTTTTTTGTTTTTTTTTTTTTTTTTTTTTTTTTGCCGAGTTTTTTGCAGAAAGACGTTTATGATAATAATATATTGACTGAGAGGGGATATTAGAATTATATTTGTTAAGTGGCGTTGACAAACATTCCGCTATGTTATTGGTACTGTTAGATTTGTCTACTGCCTTTGATACAGTAGACCATAATATTTTATTGACATTTCTAGAGCAGGGTGTAGGAGTTAGAGATAAGGCCTTAGATCTTTTACAATCCTATCTTGTTGGGAGAATGCATCAAGTTAATATAAATGGCGTGCTTTCTGAACTCTCACAGCTTTTATTTGGTGTTCCTCAGGGGAGCGTTCTTGGCCCTCTAAAGTTTTGTGTTTACACGTAACCTCTTGGAGCAATTCTGCGTTATCATAAGATAGGTTACCACTTTTATGCAGATGATACCCAGTTGTACACATCTTGTAACATCCATGATCCAGCATTGTCTGTGAATACCATTGTTGATTGCATATCAGATCTCAGAGGTTGGCTCATTTCAAACAAATTGAAGGTAAATGATGGAAAAACAGAATTTGTAGTCATTACTCAACCCCACAACAAGGGCCTTGCTCACAACTTGCAACTTAAAATTGGAGCTAGTATGGCAATTTCCTCCCCCCATGTAAAAAATTTAGGATTATACTTTGATTTTACACTTTCAATGGACAAACAGATCTCCAACATCTCTAGGTCTTGTTTATTCAACATTCGGAATATTGGCACCATAAGGAAATATCTGAATCAATCATCTGCTGCTACTGTTATACACTCATTGGTAACTTCCAGGCTGGACTTCTGCAATTCTGTATTATATGGATGTCCAGATGATAAGATCAAAAGATTACAATGCATCCTGAATATCTCAGCACGGCTTTTAATGCTACAGCCTAGGGATTGCCATATCACTCCAATTTTAAAGCAGCTGCACTGGTTACCAGTTAGGGCCAGAATTTTATTTAAGGTTTTAGTTTTTACACATGCTGCTTTTTTATAATCTAGCTCCACCATATATAACTGATCTAGTCAAACATTATAGCCCTCAAAGATCCCTGAGGTCTGGTGACAAACTTTTACTGAAAGTTCCAAAACCAAGGTTAAAATCATATGGTGACATATCATTTTGTGTAGCTGCACCAGTAGAGTGGAATAAGTTGCCAATTTTTATTAGACAAATAGAACCACAAGAATCTTTTAAAAAGGAATTGAAAACTCATATTTTTAAGACATTTTATTCATGAATTTTAAATTTTACAATTTTAAAGAAACCTTGGATTTTTTACTTTTAATTACTGTTTATTACAATTTAGTTTAGCTCTTAATTATATAATATATATCTTAACCATTTTTATCTATAAACTTTTTGTATTTTATGTTGTACACTCTATTGAACATTTTATGGATTTTAGACTTGAAATAAATATATTATTATTATTATTATTATTATTATTATTATATAACTCAGTGACAGTCTGTTCAAGGCATGTAACACTTTTTTATAGCAATGAGAGAATTTTTTTGTTGGAAATTTTAGCAATTTTGTCTCTATTAAAACAGTTGAGAAAATTATGGCTTTTATATGGCTTTGGAACTTTCCATTTCTGTTTTTTACTGTTAAGATTTAAACTAGTGTCTCCATCTACATTTAAAGGGCTTCAAATATTAGGATGTTATAAATATACCTATTTTATATTATTATTTTTTTGAAAGTATTTTTCTTTTAGTCAACTTTCTGTTTCAGTCAAAGAATAAACTATGTACAGGCACAGAAAATGTTTCAGACTGCTTTGTACTCTTTTATTACAAATATTGTTTACATTTTTTTCTGCTAACATATCTTGAACAATGATTGATAAAAAAAGCCTTTTGTTATATGTTTACAGATTGAATATTTGACATGAGAAAGTTTTAAAGATATGATGCTTATATTTATTACAGAATTTCTTTCCAGCATGATAATCATTTTAAGTATCCTTTGAAAAATATCCCTTTAGATCACTCTACAATTAAAAATTTTGTTTTTAAGTAAACTTTGAAAAATATCCCTTTAGATCACTCTACAATTTAAAATGTTGTTTTTTAGTAACCTTTGAAAAAAATTCCTTTAGATCACTCTACAATTTGTATCACTTTTTCAGTCATTCAAAAACTCATCAAAATCAAAAGGCTGTGGATTGTTATTCCTGGATCCTTCTTCTCCTCCCTCACTCTCAGACTCCGAGACTTCCAGGTCCTGATTGAGGTTGTCCCCTTGACCCTCCTGACCTTGACCTTCTTGACCTTCACCTCCCTCAGCGGGCTCATTTTGGATAAAGAACTCAGAGGGGTCAAAATTTTCATCATCATTGATTGACCATTCGACTATTGAGCCCTGATTGGTTGTCAAAGTAGTACTGAGGCATGTCTGCGTTGTCATACGCTGACTGCGAGTCTTGCATGCTGTTGTCATAGCGACCAGGCTCGGGTGATTGGTCATCTCAAATTCTAAAAACAAAATAAATAAAAGGATAACTAATGAAATACTGGAAAATGTGCCTGAAAGACATGACAAAAACCACTGCGTTGAACAACTACCAGATCAAAATCTTACACATTTAAAATCTGTGTTCTCAAATTCAAAACCTTTATTCAACACACTTTGCATTTACAAAAGAACTAAGAAAGCAAAACAAATAGGCTTGCTGTTCTATAAATCTTTCTATACTCATTCATTAAATTTGTTATCTACTCTGCTGCAAAAGAAAAAAAGGCCTACAGACTGTAACCATAATATCATAAATTATCAATAGCCATTTATAATCTAAAAAAAAGTTTATGACAAAGTTTTTACTTTGGGTTTAAAAATTACCTTGTTTCCATCAGGAGTATCCATTTGTGATTCATCTCCAAATTTGCGGTCTTCTTCTTCTTCCATCATCTCAAACTTGCTGTCGTCTGCCTGCATATGACTGTCTTCTACTATGGTAATATTCTCTCTCACACTGTAACTATCTATACTTTCATTGTCCGCACCTATAGCAGACACAAGAAACGGATAGACGTACTCCAATAAGTCCACAATACTAAGCCATAACAAAAACAAATTTAATCTTAGAAACAAAAAATTAATCTACATTTCTTGACTTATTTGATTTGCCCTTTGAAATATAGTACCAAAGTTCTATAATGTCAAATTATGTGTTTCTTAGAAAAAAATTCAATAAACTAATTCTTCAAATAAGTATCAGTCCTAAAAGAACTGTTAATCATGAAATTTACCTACCCATCATAGAGGTATCATTCATAGAAGACCTGGTCATGATACTATCCGTTTCCACGGCATCCAAAGCTGCCTCTTGAGCTGCACGAATCCCCTCCTCAAGTTGAAGGAGGTGTTCTTCATTCTGAGAACAAAATTTGAAAATAAATAGAGGTTCACCAAAGCCTGGCCTGCTGATCCACAGCTCATTATCTATTTGGCTGGAATTCAAAACCAATCTTTTTCACGTTAAAGGCATACATTGTGAGTTAGACTTTTACACAAAAAAATCTTTAGGGTTTCAACTTTTCCCTTACTTCAACCAGATATCCTTTCTAGAACTGCTGAGAATATTATAATCTAAAATCCAACTGTCAAATTCCAGATTTTTATTTTTTTTACCTCCGAGAGTGATACTCACTCGTATCCATCAACATCTCAATCATCATAATAACAGTAATTTAAAATAAGAAACTTGAATTAAAATTATTGTTTTTCTTTTTATCAAGAACTTATAAAATATGTGGATATTACCTCCAATATTTCTGTCATATATCCACATATTTTATAAGCTCTTGATAAAAAGAAAAACAATAATTTAAATTGATACATACACAGCTAATGAAACTGTTCTCTCATTTACAAGAAACTTGAAATTCAAAAGCACATCTACATGTCACATTATGACTGACTACTGCAATAAGTTCCCACCTCTGCCAAAGTTTCTCTGCACACATCAGATATCTGTTTGGCTGTGGCCGTGTACGCACTATCCCCACCATTATACTTGATACTGTTCACATAAATAAGATCCACGTCATCCTGGAACTGGCTGCGCGTGTGGTACTTATGACGTTGTATGTTCCATAGTAACATGCTCAGGTCCATGGGGTTCTTCACAATCTCTTAGTAATCCTTGACAAACTTCTTGTTTACAGGCTGGTGAAAGGGCCAAGACTGTAAAATCAATGTTAGTAATCATTCTTTCTTATGAAATCTCTCTATTCCAATTGCACTATCTAAATTACAGTACTTCAAACCAACAAGTCATGCCAGGTTAAACCATCAAGGGACATTCAGCCTTATACTTATTTTGTTTTCCTGTACCACATACAGTTCTATTCTTACTGTACTATTACATTCTCGTTTTCTGTAACACAGTTTATATGCTTATGCTATATATTTATGCTTATTCTTAGTTTCAGTTATACAGGCCTATGCGCATTAATTCTTGATTTCAGTTAAACAGAATAACTGAAAGATTTTACTTCTCAAACTGCAGTACATGATCCTTACATTATCCACCAATTTGAGTTTTGTCTGGACAATATTTTCTAGAATGAAGGAGAATGCCACTTGGTCATCATCATCTAGAAGTGGGTTGATGGCTTTCTCAAGCCTCATCAGCTTATCTTCTTTCTGCAAGAGTGAAATTAGTCAGATAGAGTCAACAGATGTACAGACAATTAATCTTTATTTTTTTAAATGCATACCATATATATATATATATATCTGGACTTGTGATTTGTCTTTGGATATGGCAGAAACAAAATTGAGTTCATTCACTGCCTTCAATTTTATTATCTTGAAAACACAGTTACTTATGCAGTTTTTGCATCATAATAACAACATTAAATGAACAGGTCACCTCCGCAAACCTCTGTAAGCACAGATTCAACATGGCCTGGGCAGTTAATGTCAGAACACTTCTTACTCCTGGAAATAAAAAGCAAAATATCACAAAAAAATGCCTTTTTTAGGAGTGACATAACAACAGTCATTTTGTGGGATAGTAATGTAGAAATGATTCATTTTGTAAGTTCTTTTTTCTCAAATGAATTTGCCAATTTACTGCTAAAATACCATGCATTCTGCTATAATACCACACTGCCCTAAATCCCAGTTTCTGTATTAATTACGTGTGCATGCATGTGTGCACATGCTTAACCCATCATTGTACAGCTTGCTATTCTCCACCATCTGGTTGATGTCCACCAGGAAAGACTCACGGGACTGGTATTTCTTGCTTTTTATGCTCTGAAGAAGATATTACAGAATTCATCTACTTGTCATGAAGGAACTAGCTATCATTCACATATATTTGGAATATTCCGGGCAAGGGCGGATGCAGGATTATTTGAAAGGGGGCTCCATTTTTTTTTTAAGAATGAAAGGCCTCCGAAGTGAAGCCAACCCTTGCCCTATTGCTGCAGGTGCAAGGTGTTTTAGAGGGAAAACGGTGCCATTTGGTGCAGTTAAGATCTCAAATTCAACTCTTCAAAATCCCAGGCCCGTAGCCAGCAATTTCAAAAGGGGGGTTCTTTTTGTGAAAAAGTGGACCTTTTCCCATAAAAACTTCATGTAACTAGATCAAATTTTACCCAGAGTGGACCTTTTCCCAGGAAAAGGGGCGGTTCTGTCAAACTCCCCGAACCCTCCTGTGGCTGGCTTTGGTGGGTTTCTGAAAGCAAATGTGTTAGAAATGACACCTAACTTAATGTAGCATTGTGCTTGATGAGGCAGAGGCACAACTGTAGCATTTTCCTAGGTTAGCAGGTGTTCATACTTAGGAAATTTTAGGCTGACAGCTGATCAAAATAGGCCTACAAACCATCAGACTGCAAGGACAAAATAAGACTGATGAAATGTAGCTTAAGACCAATTTAAAACCATTTGTGAAAAGAGCTAATATCTGATACCTCATTGTATCTACTCCAGCTTTTTTCAGTCATCTTTCCATATTAAACAAAATTTGAAAAAAAATAGCAGTGCTGAGTTTCCTGTACACTACAGAGACACCAACTACCGAAAGAATGTTGTATACATTAACTGATCAAGTTCTGCTGAAAGTGGAGTTAATGATACATATGAGAGGACATTAATCATTATTCCCAGCATCCTTCAAAGTTCACATTACTCACACTGAGATAGCCACAATGCACAATGATGAGTTCACATTACTCACACTGGGATAGCCACAATGCACAATAATGAGTTTACATTACTCACACTGGGATAGTCACAATGCACAATGATGAGTTCACATTACTCACACTGAGATAGCCACAATGCACAATGATGAGTTCACATTACTCACACTGAGATAGTCACAATGCACAATGATGAGTTCACATTACTCACACTGAGATAGTCACAATGCACAATGGTGCCTGCTCGTCTTCTCTTTTTGTTTTCCATTGCCTGCTTGGGAAAATTGAGCACCAAGGATTTCCTCTTGACATTCTCAGCACTGGAGGTAAGAGATTTACAGTGAATTATTCAACGTCAGGGGAATGTATTTTCAATTCGCAAGATATTACAATATGTGTGGATGAAAATATATATCTTCCAATGAGAACTGTGATATGTGTTTTATAGTTACAATCATGCCTCTAGACTTTAACTCATTCCAAGCTTTAAATTCAAATCAATATAAGGCACTAGTTTCAAACAACATCCCAATATTACATATTTGAGAAATTTTCAGCAACCTAATACATAAATCTGCTTGTTTAAATGCTTTATCAAATTCTACATCACTGTTTCCCTCATTTAAGATTATTCTAATAGACCATACTCACTGTTCCAGTAAATTATTTGACAACTTAATCTTAGTTCCCTCCACGTTCACCAGCTCCTGGTCTGTTAGCAAACTCTTCTCCTCTTCTTCCTCTTGCTCCTCCGTCATGGCAACCGGTGTCGGTGTCGGAGCCACAGAAGGAGTAGCTGGCCCTGAACCACCTCCGCCCCCAGCTCCACCACCACCACCGGTGCCAGCGCCGCCGCCAGCACCACCCAAAATGCCAGTCTTGTAAACTGGGCATTCCTTGTTTGTCCTCATGTGGCCTTCTTGTCCACAGGCACCACACTTCATCTATTAACAAATAGTTTTATGATTATGGAATAAAAGTTAACATTCACAGTTTAAAAATACAATAAAGATACAACAATACAATAATATCTTTTCTTTAAAAATCCATTCTTGACTAAGTTTGTCATATTTTGAACATACTTAACAATTCCCATGGCAACTACTCATATAACAATACATTTGAAAAACAGGAATTCATCATTTTTGCTCTCCAAAATGTCTTATTAGTAGGATTTTAATTTTATTATTTTATTTTATTTTATTTATTTTATTAGTAGGTCAACTGAATGAAAGACAAAGGACCCTGGATCGCAAGTCGGCAAGGCAACCGCTTTTTTCTAATCTTTCCAGTTTTGCTATGACTTTTTTTATACCCCCTTTTACCACAAATAGATAAACCCCATACAACATGCTTATTAAAAATCCAATCGCTACCTTCTCAAAATATATAGAATCTCAAATGAAAGTTGAAATTGATTCAAATTCAGTTAAAGACAATCATATACTGAGGCCACACTTTTTTAATTTTATGGATGACATCCTGCGCGCGCACGGATTTTCGCACGTTCTCCAAAAAAAAAAAAAAAAAA